GTTAACTGCACTTTTCATACTTACACTTTGATCCTGGCAGATGAACCACTTGCACTTACAGGTTCTCTTGTCCCTGCTAAAAAATCCAGTTAAGACCAGTTTCTGTTGGTAGCTAGAATCAGATGGTCTAAGCTGGTCTTTAATGATCAAGGTGGTTCACAAGCTGGACCAGTTGGAATAGGTGAAAAGATGCAATGTGCTAGCCAGCTGATAAAGCTGGTCAACCAGCTTAGTCAGGCTGGCCAAACCATTGTTTCCAGGCATGGTCTTTATTATTTAGATTGGATGTGCTGATTATGTTGAGAATGAAAACAAGTTTTCACTGCAGCACAGTTTAAAATAAAGTTTGGGCACCCCAACCAACATACATGTTGATTTTCTAAGTGAAAATAAGTGAAGTTACAGAGAACACACTTCTTCACATTTTAATGCACAGTTACTCTGTATGGCACATACATTATATGGTATGTGGACACCCCTCCGGAGCTCAGGTGTGTAGGGTGTAAAATCAAGTACATAGCCATGAAATCCCCATAAACAAACAGGTAGTAGATCAGGTCATACTGAAGAGCTCAGTCACTACAAGTCGATTCATTTAGAAATTTCTGTTCTGACAGGTCTGCCTTGTTCAACTGTAAGTGCTATTTATTATGAAGTGGAAGCAGCTAGGAACAACAACAGTTACGAAGTGGTAGACCATGCAATCTCATAGAGCTGTGCTGCTGAGACCTTGAGCACTGAAGGTCTGCACATCAAGATAAAATGGGTTCATTCATGAAATGGGTTTCCATGACAGAGCAGCTGCTGACAAATCTAAAATCACAATGTTCAACGCCATGCGTTGGCTGGAATGGTGTGTAGCATGCGGCCATTGGACTCGGGAAACATGTCCTCCAGAGTGATGACATAAGGTGTAGCACCAAATTTTGGGTGCCTGGCATAGTAGTGTGCCTAACATGTTTATTTTATATTGTATTTCTTTATGAGGTTAGTTGGTATGCATGTAAGTATAAAACAGCTAACAATCAAAAAGGTAAGCTGTGCTTTCACTGCAAAAATGGTTTCTTGGCAGATGAAATCATCTTATATCTAGTTGATATATCTAATATTTCTTATTTTGATATTGTTGTAAGCTTATTTTAAGATTGTCACTTATTTGTAGGCATTTTGTACTTGATCTAAGTAATTTTGTTAAGTTAAATTTTTTCAATATATTGGCAGATAATTTTGCTGGTTTCAACCATGTTCTTTAAAACAAGTAAATTATCTGCCAATGTAGTGAGATCATTTGACTTAAGAAAATCACTTAAAACAAGTAAAAAATATCTAGAAATGAGTTACACAGTCTCCTAAAAAGCTTACAGCAATTTCAAAATGAGAAGCATTAGACATATTAACTAGCTTTGAGATTATTTCACTTGCCATGTTGCCATTTTTTGCAGTGTTGAATCATCAATCTTGCTGTAGTTGAAAAAGGATTACATTTAACCTTGGTTTCTGTTCAAGACAATCAACATAATTAGAGAGAAAAACAAAACAAAAAAACCAAAATATATTTACTGTCATTTTCATTCAAACTGCTTAACAAATGGTTGATTGGAAGTTGGAACACCTGTTAGTCACCTGCATTGGTGAGCTCACCTTGTTTCATGTCTTCAGCTACACCAGTAAAGGAAGAGGTGCTGCTCTCTCTCCCTCAGTGACTTCTGGAACAGTGTGCATTTTCAAGGTTAGCTGCTGAGCAGAGGTTGAACTTCACAGAAACACTGTGACATTAACTGTTAATAAATTGCTTACTAATTGCACTGAATCAAATCCTGCTTATTTATCAGCCTGTGCTTGTTATGAATTACTGCTTGCTAGCTAATCACTAGTTAGCAAGCTAGCTTACTTTACTGCAACAAATTTGCTATTTGGCTCACTGGTTTTCTGACAGTAACTCATCAGCAGTTGTCTACATGCCCTCTTTCGCTTTCACTCTGCATTCCTTGTACTTCTTAAATCCTGATGTAGGTTTTTGTTTTGTTTGTTTTTTGGCCATTACCCACGGTTCAATGCCCCTGGTGATGAATCATGCTTCACTGTCTGGCAGTCTGATGGATAAATTTGGGTTTGGTGAATGCCAGGAAAACGCTACCTACCGGAATGCATAGTGCCAACATGTTTCCAACATGTTAAACTCAGCAAATAAATAGAAAGTGTACACTAAAATGTGCAGAAAATGTTGTATTTAAATTTGTTCTCTGTAGAGGATATGTTAACTTATATTGTCTTAAAAAATCAGCAAAACATAATTTGACCAGGGATGTTCAGAATTTACTTACAACTGTAGCTGTTTAGCAGTCAGGGCTCAATATGCCATTTACACTATTTCTAACTATGAATTGCTGGAAAGCCTCAGGCTGTGGCAAGAGATTAACTTGTTTTTCATTTTAGAAAGTTATTTATATACACTGTAAAAAATAGTTTCCAGGCTGCCTTAAAATTTTTAGTTAGCTTTATTTAAACAAACAATAAATTAACAGTCTGTGTTTTGTGCAATGTCAACTTATTATTTGAAGGTAGCCCAGAAACTAACTTTTTAACGTTAAAATCCAAATGTTTTTGCACAGTGTAGAAACAAATTGGAGTTCTCTGTACAATGCATTTAAACATTTAGCATTCCGTGTATGTGGAATAAACCAAGTTAGTTGTTTATGAAAATGTGCCACACCAAAAGTTTAAAAGATTACAGATCACACCCAATCATGCAGTGACTTTATGCAATCTTCTATTATTTTTTAGACTTAACCACCACAACTGACGTTGCTACTTGCACTATAAACAAAGGGTGTTGTGGCAGGATTTCTTATTTGCTACAAAACTACAGATTTTTTTTTTTTTAATTATAGCATCATTGCGCAGTCTAAGCCAAGTACTCAATGAGAGAGAGAGAGAACAAACAAAAAAAATTTAGGTTTGGTTTGTGTACATAAGTAAGGTTTCTGTACATTATTAAAACATCTCTGTGTACTTCACAATATAATTTTGCACACATTTGACAAATAATTTCCCACAATAACGCAAAAGTGAGGATAGTCCAAAAAGGATGACTCTGTTGGACAGACTTGAATTTTGGTTTAATTTTTTTTTTAGGTTAACTGATCCATAGGGCTGGGTGTAGATCCCAAAAAGAGTTGATTCTCCAATTCCAGGTATTTAGGAATCCTGATTTTCCAAAGCTTTAGACTCAATTCCACACAGAGACTTTCATGTTTGTGTCCTCATATGTTGTGAGATATTCTGCTGTCACTGTGTAGACCAGGAATATTCACCTAAAACTTACAAAGGTCCAGTTCCATCAAATTTCATGCTTATGAAGGTCCAAATCAAGAAACAAACATAAATGAACGGTGACAACAGTTACCTTTAAATGCTTATCCATTAATTTGTAACTGTTTCATAACTTTCATTTAATGAGCATAAAAATTCTTTTGAAAGAAACAGTCTAAAAAAAAGATTTGTCCGCAGGAAAAAACATCCTCATGCTGTCAGGGAATGAACAACCACTTGATAAGATCTTTCATATTGAGCTTTGGCTTTATTTTATTTATGTAATTTGTAGCTAGGTTAATTTGATGTCTGAACAGATAAGATGCATCAGTTTTGAACTTGAAACTGACAGTTCTCTGTTCATTAGTTTTTACACACTCTTTTTTTTATCATCAACTTCCCTTTTTAAAAAAGCAATGCTGTTGCTTCACTAGTCAGACCAGAAACAGTACATAAAAATTAAACATCTATGAAAATACTTAAAATTATTCTCTTTCTCACATGATATTTAGCCCTGTACTCTATTTTCTGATCTCTGTCTGGATGAACTGCCTTTGGCTAAAGTCGTTGACACAAATGCATGTGCATGGATAAAATGTGGGACCGCTACAGCAGCCGTGATGGTTCGTATTCATGTACGTCACTGAAAATTACCATTTTTTAAAAATATGTTATATGGCTTTGCTAAAGATTTTTTCAAGTGCTTGGTCTGCTGAAATACTTTGCACTGCTACAAATTTCCTATACTTTTACAGTAAATTACCGGCAACTAGTTGCAGTAAAATTACAGTTAACATTTTATAGTCACATTGCTGTAAATGTGATCCAGTCACTGTAAATTTACAGCACTGTGATACCCAACTAGTTTTAAAATTACAATGTGATACTGTACAATCCTTACTATATCTTCTTGTAGCACTTTACTGTAAATTTACTGCAACAAGTTACCTGTAAGTTACTGTAAATTTACAACATGGTACTGTAGTTTATTACAACATCTTGTATCTTAGTAATTTTACTGTAATTGCATTACAACTCAGTTGTACGGTACTGTATAAGTCAAAGTAGTGATACATTTAAATATTAGATATAAAACTACATAATATTTTGCAAATGATAACATCATTGTGAAGTCCTTAATACTATACTGTAGGAGGAAGAGAGAGAGAGAGAGAGAGAGAGAGAGAGAGAGAGAGAGAGAGAGAGAGAGAAACAAACAAAGTAAATAAGGTTAGTGTATATCTTTAATTTATTTCACAAATAATTTACTAGTCTGCTGGTCTTGTTTAGCTGGTCCACCAGCAGTATATGTTGTGTTTTGGATGCTGGCATGCTACCAGCATGACCGTGCTGAGGGACCAGCTAAACCAGCACTAGATCAGCACTAGACCAGTTTAGACCAACTCAGACCAGCATGAAATGTTTTTTTTTTCAGCACACATAACACAAATCACAACATAAATCTTAATAATTTATTCTGTACTTAATCAACATTGTACTTTTTTATGTTGCCAGATCTTCTTCCCTAAGTTTTGAATTTTAAAACCGATAATTATTATTGTTTAGAATAGACTGCATCGATTCTCATCCAGAATCTTTCGAATCGGACAACCCTGCAACCGTCTGAAGTAACCTCACTCTACAGCATCAGAGCGAGGAGAGCCGGGCATGCGCAGTGGCGCGAGGCGCGCGTGCTGAGCTGATGAGTGCAGTGACGGAGGGGTTTGATATTAGCAGCTAATGAGAGAAGAACTACAGGAGCTGAAGGAGTGCTGGCTGTCAGAGAATGCCACGGCAAGCCCAGGTTTTCTATTCAGCAAGTCTGAGCGATAAAAGCAGCGTCGTCTCACTAGGGCGTTTAATTTTTAACCTTAAGTCCTAACGGTAGCCTAGCTCATGCTAGAAAGCCCCCAAACAAAATGCCAGCGGGACTGACTCCGCCAGCCAGCGGGATACCTGTGTCCGATGCAGTGGGTACGTGCAAGGTCAATGCCGTTAGCCAGACCCAGACTCATACTGTGGTTTGGTTTATGTCCGAATTCAGGATTAATTTGGGAATTGTTGCAGTGCTCTACATATCTGAATGTCTGAATTAGCCCACCGGTTTAACCCCGAACGCTCAAAACGTTGTGAAACGCTCATTGTTCGATGCTGTATGTCACAATCTATAGGACTGCGCTCAGGCTACGCTGTGTAACGTTAAAACATTCTCACTTTATATCTTAACAGTACAACGTTTTATACCAACTTTGATCTATTAGAAGAGAGTGTTTAGGAAAATGGTCATCTTGCAGATGTAAGTGTTCGTAGTAGGTACTTTTACTGATAACTGAAATCTTCCTTTGCACTGAGTGTAAAGCTACACTGGGATTTTAGAATGTGGTCATTTGCTGTAAACTAAAATGGATCATCGTCAAATCTATAGAGCTCTAATAATAACCTATTTTATAGCTCTAAATACTATGTTTATGCTACATTTTTTTGTAAACAATAGATTAAAAGCCTCGTTGGCGTTTTCATGAAGGAGTAACATTTCTCAATATACAACTGATAAAAAATTCTAAATACATTTTCTAAATAAATTAGGTTTTTGGCATAGTAATACTCTGCTGAGTATTTTATTTATTTGATTTTTCATAAAAATACATTTCTGTATATATAATTCATAGACCTGCAGACAAAATGGATTTGAAAATCTGTGCCTTTTGAGCTATCAGCAGAGATGAAAACAGCGAAACAATAAAAATCCGTTGAAGCATTTTAGAGGTTTCTGTGGTGTTTATGGCTAGCTGTCAATTGAATGATAAAACTTTTAGCCTGAGTCTGCTCAGAAGCTGATAAAACGTGGAAAGCATATCTTCCTCAGATAAGCACATACATTTTTATGACATTGGCCTACTTTACCATCTTTATAGGGTCATTCAAGAGGAGGAAAAGGAAGTCCATCATAGTGACGGTGATGCTGTTCGTCGTGTCTATACTTATCCTAGTCTTTGGGTTGGCTGCTACCACAAGGACACAGAACATTACTGTTGGTGGTTACTATCCTGGAGTCATTGTAAGTAATAATAGTTATAATTCTGTAACTAACTGACACTTTTCTGCATGTACTGAAGACATATTTTTAGTTTTCATTTTATCTTATATGCTTGAAAATTTTTACTGATAAAGAAGGTGAATTCATATTGCTTGCGTTTTTTTCTTCTTTATTCCTTTAAAACTTAAGGCGGAAGTGTAATAATTCATTAGCCAGTGACTGTCATTCTTATTACTGCTCTGAGAGAGAATAACTGTATCTGGATAACCACAATTCAATTCACATAGTGACATTTCTACATAATGAAGTACTGATTAATAATTAAGAACGAATAGTAATTAAGAATAACTTAATGATTGGAATGTAATAGAAATTATATTCAATTTCAAACCTTCCAAAAATATAAAAGCAACCATATGCTACAAGTGAATAGATTGTGTGAGATTCAAATAAGTGTTTTTTCTCCCTCAGGGTCATGTCAGACTGACATATCTTTCAATGAAGTGATGCAACCAGTAACAGCATTTATCCTGTGTTATTTTTAGCTTGGTTTCGGCTCCATTCTCGGAATCATTGGAGCCCATTTAATAGAAAATAAGAGGCAGATGGTAAGAGGTTTTACATTACACCACTTCTTCTTCTTCGTATCAGTTTCTCTGTTTTTGCCCTGCAAATCATTCTGAACCATGATAATGAATATGCATCGCTCCTTGATGGAAAAATCCACATTGGCCCAAAAAATCCAGTTTGGTGAGGAGGAACACTGATTTTTTAAGACTTGCTCAGGTTTTTGCTCATGTTATTATATAGGAGTAACAGGCTCACTGAGTTCAGTCTGAATATCAGAATTTGTTCCAGGGACTCTGGTGAGATGCACCCAGAAATAGCTCAGTGTAAGAGGAGCAGGATGGATGTCCAGGCAGGAATGTACGGAAGCCATCGCAGAGCAGAGGGAATAGGAGGTGTAACTCTGCAAATGAAAAATTGGTTGCGCCAGGCTAATCAGAGAGATCCAGAAAAAACAGGTTTTTAATAGATATATGTAAATTTACGCACAGCTTGTTGTATCTGTTGTCGGAGATAAACTTGAGGGTTAAAGCTGACAGTTGGCATGAGATTAACATTTTTGAAGAATGTAGGTCGTCAAAGTTTTTCATCCTGATGTTTTGCAGTGCCTTTAAATGCAGTGTTCACAGTCTATACGCTGTTTTGGCACAGCCTGGCTCTGTGATGCTGTCAGTTGTAGAATGTGGTATGTCATTGGGAGGGTTCAGATGCTTCCCTCCAGCGGAGGTGTGTGGCCTGCAGACAGAACGAGATGACGTGAAACCGAATGCTCCCTGTCTCCGAGTCAGAGGAGGGAGGGCAGCACTCATTCAGGGAGTGCCTGGCACACTGCCAGCTAGGGGGCACCAGAGAATGGAACTACTGGTCAGACGACTTTATTACCATCATGTCCTCTACAAAGTGCTTCACACCTGCTGACCCTCGGTTGGAAGTAGCAGACATACCAAGTAATGGCTCTATCGTGAATAGTGAATGCCCATAACCCAGAGTTACCAATAAATATGGACAAAGTAGACAATACCCAGATGTTACAACATAAAGTTAGGTAAGATAATGTCTGTGTGCCAACTTTTCAGAAACAAGGAGATAGACTTATGATATTGATAGGTAAATGCGTCAAGAGACTCTATTTGGGCATAGTGACTTTGCAAACTGGCTTGCATGCTGAATTATGAGAGTAGCTGACCAGTGTGTTCACTGTCCAGTAAGCTTTTGTTTTTGTTGCAGCTGGTGGCCTCCATTGTCTTCATCAGCTTTGGTGTGGTGGCTGCGTTCTGTTGTGCTATTGTGGACGGCGTTTTTGCTGCAAGGCACATAGTGAGTTTGGTAGCACTTTATTTGAAGTCTGCTTCCATGGAGAGGCACTTCATAGCACATGCATTAGCATTGTATAACATTACTTGTATATTTGAACATATTATGCCAGTAATTGCAAGATGACATAAGATGTTTCATGAAGTAAATAACACTGCATTGACATAAAGGTAAAAGTGGGTTAAAACTCTTCCTCAGGTTTTAGTTTTGTTATAACCGTTATGCTGGTATGCCACAAATAATCACAAATATTTAAACATACAAACAATGCAAAACATGTTAACATTAGCCCTTTTGGCATAAAGGTTTCAGTCATGTTTCAAATGAAAATAAAAGTGCAGCAGACCTTCGATCACCTGCCGCTGTCTATTCTGTTGTACCTGAGGTAGTCCACTTTGTTTTTTGAACAGCGGAATAGTCTAACATGGACACCAAAGCGATTACTGGGTTTCTGTTTCCTCTTATTCCACTTGAGAAGCTACTTAACTTGGTCAGCTGCATCCAAAGATGCCGCAGGCAGGGCCTTGTGCAAAAGTGTAATGACCGTGTATTACTGTACCATGTTCCAAATTCCAGCAGTTTCTAAGAGTCAGAGGCACAAATGTATGAGACACACATGAGATAAATGACTTGAGAAATTTGACAAAGCTAAAGTTGGCTTCTTATTTGAATTTTCTGTTTAACAGAAACTTTTTACAAAAGGCTGCCAAATAGGAAGCCAGTCTAACCCTTGTAAAAATCCAGATGTGAATTACCATTTTTTACAATAAATATATTTCATATTTATTTTAGTTGTAAAAATGTTTGTTTAATCAGATTGAATGGACATCCCAGAATATAAAGCTACTGTTAACCTATAAAAAATTTAAATAGTAATAATTTAAAATGTATAGTATGATATAAAGTATACCTTCAGAAATTGTAATTATACCATGGTTAAATTTTTGGCCATTCCACACATAAGGGACATTAAGTTAAAGTGACAGACATTTGTTCCATTTATAAAACTAAAGCATCTTTCCATAGTAGTGAAACTTATAAGGCAGAGGCCTAGTTAAGAATGCAATTTATTAGTTCTATATAATATAATATAATATATTATATGTAAATAATATATTTATTAAGTTAAAGTACAACTGAGTGGTTGGTTTCCTTAATGTAACTTGGTTATCAATTTAATAAATTATAATACAAAGTAAGTGTAATAACTCAAATTACTTTAACGTTTGATACTCAAGTTGATTTAAAAACAGTAATTTTGTACTCAAATAAAAATGCAGCCAGGAAACTTCTACTTTTGCTGGATTAATATTTTACCAAGAGTAAAGTACAAAGGTTTTGTATGGGAACATGTACACTGATGAGCCAAAACCTTAGGACCACTCACTGATTAAGCGAATAACATTAATTGTCTCATAACAATGACATATGTCAATCTCTGGGATATTTAGATGGTAAGCAAAAATTTGGGTGGCCTAGTCACGTGTTGGATGTGGGAGAAATGGGCAGGCATGAAGACCTGAGTGAGTTTGACAAGGGCCAAATCGCTACAGCGAGACAATCTCCAAAACAGCAGTGCTTGTGCGGTGCTCCTGGTCAGTATTAGTGAGTATCTACCAACAGTGTTCCGAGGAGGGGCAAACCATGAAACGGTGACAGGGTGCTTCAGGGCAATGAAGGTTGTCTTGTCTGGTCTGAACCGACAGAAGGGCTACTGATGCCCAAGTCAGAGAAATTGCACCTTCATGCGTATGGGCCTGCACGAGTGCTTAACCTCCGTCCTCTGTTGAAAGTGTCTGCAATGGGCCTGACCGTCAGGAAAGGTGACCTTTGCTCCAAAGTCCAGATCTAGTCTGGGTCGTGTGCGCCGTTTACCTGAGGAAGTGATGGTGCCAAGAATCACTGTTGGAAGAAGACGAGCCAGTGGAGGATGTGTGATGCTTAAGGCAGTGTTCTGCTGGGAAACCCCAGGGTGTGGGCATTAATATGGACATTAGTTTGACACATGCCACCTGCCTAAACATCGTTGCACAGATACCACAGGGCATCTTCAGAGGGTTAAAGCTGCTATTTTCCTATATGCATGAAAATGATCACTTATGTTCGAGGGCATCACAATCATCCATCTTCCATCCAAAGGTCTTGACTAGGCTTCTCCTTTATACGTTTGATTACTTGGGAATGATGCTTCACAACCATGTTATAAATTAAAGAAATGTCTGTCGCTGTTGTTTAAGTCCCCTTATGTCAATGTAATATCATTTATTTCATAATTTCACATTTATTTCACATCATATGGCATCTTGCAATCACTGGCATTTTTGTAAATATTCAAGTATTGCTTTGTAAATACGTTAAGCAATGCTTAGATATATGTTATGAAGTTCCTGTGTAGGTAGCCTTCAAATAAAGTGTTACAGTGAGTTCTTCTGTTTTGAGTATCATAAAATGCATCTCAGAGCTGCACATTTTGTCTTTTGCTAGTCTATAACATACTTTTTCTTGGATGTATTTTAATTTCTCGCAGGACCTCAGGCCTCTTTATGCTGGTCGATGTGAATACTACTCCAGCGTAACCTCTTTTGACCTAGATGTGAGTTCATGACGCCGCCTCAAAGGATCCTCTGCAACCCATTTTTAACTCATAATAACTCAAGAGCTCTCCGCTGAATTTACCTTTTTCTCTTTTTGCTTGTAAAATGGAGCGATGCAGCCATCATATTTTCACGTGTATCTGGTCTTTTTTAGGTCCAGTGCCAGACCGCTCGTGTGTCCTGTAAGCTGCGTGTGAAGAGTAACACCTGCTACTGCTGTGACCTCTATAACTGTGGCAAGTACGTGTGCGCCAGCACCCCTCTCACTCTCTCAGGATTTCCTCTTTCTCCAGGCAGATCTCAGGCCAATCTCTGCTGTCTTTGTTTTATCTTGGTTATGGTTTCTATTTGCTTTGACTGAGCGTGCCTTTTTTCCTCAAGCTCTGTTGGAAAGATCGCTTGTGTTTACTTATGTTTCAGAGAACATCCTCTTTTGGGACTTCAGAATAAAGATGTTTTGAAAAAATTTAGGAAATCCACCATGATTTGGAAGTAGGTCTTTCCATTTTTAGCCCCTCGACAACATTGACAACCCATGATTTGTTGTGGTTGAAGTACTCAGTGTGGCTGTGTACAGTGTTACTCCATTGGGAAACATGCAGTACCACTGGAATGAGTGGAGGCTTTTTTTCTGCATGTCCTGGCACTTCTTTCTGAAGTGAGAACCAGGCCTCATTCCTGAACTCCACAAACAAAATATCTTATTGGATTTAAAACTGTAACTCCATTCATTTGTGGTCTAAAACATGATAAAATCTTAAATACATAGTAGGGTAAATTAAGGGATTGTATATATGTTTTTCATGTCATGCTCTTCTTAAGAGTGATGTGCACTGGCAGTCTTTTTGTTTCATTCATAGTTTTGCATGAATGTATTGTTAAGTTTTTCTTTTGTTGCTTTGTGTTATGTCTTGCTGGTACAGTCTCATCTCATGAATTTATTTTGCTATAATGCTCTTCTCTGCATCCTGAAACAGTCGTGTTGAGCTAAGAGGAGGCTACCATGAGTATACTGATGTCCGAAGTTGCCAGGACGTTGTGCACCTCTACCACCTTTTGTGGTCAGCCACTATTCTCAACATTATTGCTCTCTTTCTGGGCATCATCACAGCAGCAGTGCTTGGAGGCTTCAAAGACATGGTAAGACTGTAATATCTGGCTCTTTTACAGTACTGTGCAAAAGTACTATTGTACTATTAAGTACAAGTAATTCATTTTTAATGCATATTTAAAAAAAAAACAGAATCTTTAACAGCTGAATACAATACAATACATTATACAATATAAATGTAGTATGTCCACCATTTGCCTTTATTTCAGCTTCCATTCTTTTTGGGAGATTTGCTTTCAGTTTTTCAAAAAAGTCTGCGGGAAATTTTTTTCATTTTCTAAGTTCACTCTTAGAAGTTGGTTGCATTTTCTGCATGTCACAATCCAAGTAATCCCCATTACAAACCCGTTTGCAGAAGAGTTGGGACGCCATGCAGAATGTAAATAAAATCAGAAGGTAATGATGTGTGAATCATTTAAACCCTGTATTTAATTGAAAATAGATCAAAGACAACAAATATTGAAACTCAGAATTCTTTTTAATATATGGCCATATTGAATTTGGTGCCATCAACATGTTTCAAAAAAGTTGGGACAGGGGCAACAAAAGACTAGTAAAGTTGTGTAATGCTAAAAAAACACCTGCTGGAACATCTCACAGCTAATACGCTTAATTGTCAACAGATCAGTAACATCATTTGGTATAATAGAGCATCCCAGATAGGCTGAGTCTTTCACAAGTAAGGATGGGGAGAGGTTCACCACTCTGTGAAAGAGTGGGCGGACAGATTCAACAATTCAAAAGTTTCTCAACATAAAATAGCAAAGAACTTGATGTTTTCATCATCTATGGTACATAATATCATTAAAAGGTTCAGAGAATACAGAGAAATCTGAATGTGCAAGGCACAAGGGCGAAAACCAATACTGGATGGCCGTGATTTTCAGGCCCTCACGCAGCACTGCATTAAAAACAGGCATGATTCTGTAGTGGAAATCACAGCATGGGCTCAGGAACACTTCCGAAAACCATTGCCTGTTAACACTTGTGATACAGCTTGTCGCTGCATCCACAAATGCAAGTTAAAACTCTTTATAAACCATACATAAACAGGATTTAGAAATGCCACAGTCCTCTCTGAGCCCAAGCTCATTTAAAATGAAAAAGGGTCCTGTGGTCTGATAAATAAAAATTTGAAATTCATTTTAAAAATTGATGGATGCCGTGTCTTACAGGCTAAAGAGGAGAGGGACCATTCGGCTTGTTATCAGTGCACAATTCAAAAGCCAGCATCAGTGATGGTATGGGGGTGTATTAGTGCTCATGGCATGGGTGACTTACACATCTGTGAAAGTGCCATTAATACTAAGGGATTTTGGTTTTGGAGCCACATATGCTCCAAACATATGCTCCATCTAGACATCGTCTTTTTGAGGGAAGGCCTTGCTTATTTCAGCAGAACAGTGCCAAACCATACTCTCTGTGTAATACAACAGCAGGGCTCTGTAGTGAAATAGTCCAGGTGCTAAACTAGCCAGCTTGCAGTACAGACCTGTCACTCATTAAAAACATTTGGCACATTATGAAATGAAAAATATGACAAAGGAGACCCTGAACTGTCACTCTTAGTGTTTCTGTTGCCCTTCAAAGAATGTCTGTCAATGTTTTGTGGACAGCTTTTGTTGGGAGCACACAGCTTTTACACCTTGGTTTTAAGATCAAAAGGATGGAAGAGTTGAAGTAGCAGTGGGTGCACAAAAGTAAACAGTGGACATATTAAATATTGATAGATTTGATAACATAATTAATATCAGAGGTTTTTTTAATTTTGTGTTAAATATGTTTCCTGTTTTTTTCTGAAACTGAAAAATGAATAACTTGCACTTAATGGCCACTTTGACTGGAAATTAAATAATCAAATGGGTGATCTCTGACTTTTACATAGTACTGTATGTATAGGAGTATAGGATAACTGTGCTATTCTTTATGCCTGTGTCTTTGAAGATGCCAGCAGCTCCTGACACTTGTGAGCCAGACCCTCTGGCCATCCCTGGACCCCCAGAGACTCTTGCCCAAACCACATCAAACTCCTTCTACAACACTGCCCCCTGCCTTCCACCTTACACTGCCTACGACCTACAGGTAATCAGCACCTTCCAGAATGAACACCTTCAGGATCGTTATTATGCATTTACAGCCCACAATGGTTTACTAATGAGACATATATGATATTTTTGACTCGTTTTTGGTATTCATTAGCAGCAGCTTTCTCTATAACAGTGTTCAGAAAATTCATACCCCCCGTTTTATTCCGGCTGCTACTCCCTCGACCTGTCCGCTCCACCTCCGTTTGTGTCTTTATTTGGCAGGCTGCTAACATTGTGACTGCGATGTGAATTGCGATTATTTTCTATTAATTAATGTCCAGCCCTCTCTTTTTGGTCAAGAAGACCAGAATATCCACTTTTCCTAGTGCACCAGATGGCCAGTTAGTTGTGTTGTCATGTACGCATCATGCAGGTGTTCAGATTGGTCTAGTGCAGGGGTGCTCAATCCAGGTCCTGAAGATCTCCCACCCTGAAGTGTTCAGATCCAACACATCTGGCTCTAATATTTAGATGCCTAGAAGGCCTTAATTACCTGGATCAGGTGTGTTAGATTACAGTTGGAGCTAAGCTCTGCAGTGTGGTAGATCTCCAGGACCAGGATTAGGTACACCTAGTCTAATGTATCTTTAGCAGTTCACAAGCTCTGTGTTATTAGGTTACAAATTTCCCAATTAAAACTGATGGGCTGTAATTAAAGTTGAAGATTTGGGGAGTATTTCACATTATGAAATACTCCCCAAATTATGAAAATGAATTATATAAAAACAGTGAATCTTTCAGCGTTAGTTCTATCATATCACAAAATACACATTTATCAGTAGATCAAACCTACATGGACTGATTACATGAATAATCTTTGTCCTTGCAGGGCTCCATGTTCCCCGACTCTTCTGGCCTTTCTGATGACTCCCAGTCTGGAGCCAGTCACATGTGGCCAAGTATGATCCCGCCACGCTACTCCCCCCCTTATTACCCACCTGATGACAAACCACCACCATACAGCCCTTAAGGGACCAGCAAAGGATTACAGGAACACTTACCACATTGCCAAGGGTTCAAAGGAAAATGGGCATTTGGGGATGCTGAAACACCTTGACCTGTAGTATAAGAACACCTGCTGCTGTGGAGCCTCACTGTGCAGACAGTCTCACTACACTACCTCATCTGCTGAAGGGAACGAGACTATGGCTGTGGTGTGCAGCTAAGAGACTTCATCCCTGCAGAGCAGATGTAAGCAGTGAGACGCGTCCAGTATAACTTTAATATACTAGGTGGCCTCTCTACCCTCTACTTGCTACAACTAACATCAAGACTGTTCACAGTTATGCCTTAAAAGTGTCTGTCTGCTTCCAAACAGCATAAGCCCTCTGCCCCTGTTATGGGTGTCCTATGCATAGAGCATCGCTGTGGGCTTCTCTCTTGGACACAGTGACTGTGCCACCCTGCGTCTGTCACACTAGATAATGTGAACACTCCCTAAGTGGCACGGAGTGTCCTGGTCCTGTTTTTTGCCTCGCCTTCGCTCAAGAGGAATGAAGAGGAGTCTTATTTTTGATTTGCACTTTATCATCTCTTAGTATAATTAATAATATCAAGCTAGAATAATTACTTGAGTTCTTTTTATTCAGTTCGGGCAGCTAGAATTATATGTATGGAGCCAAAATCATAGGCTACTTCAACTTGTAATATATGGTAGCATTATTTAGCATACAGCCCATGTGTGAAGAATGTGAAATGTGCACAAAATCAAAGCCTGTGTTTTTTAAAAAAATCATTTGTGCTGCAAATATTCTGTTGCTAAATTGTGCTATGATAAAGTGTACAGGAAACAATTTCAAACCGGCCTAGTTACACATGCATTATACACCTCTACCTTTTTTCTGGTTTGGAAATATGGAAATGACAATTTATAGAAAGGTCATGGCAAGTGTTTCAGAACATTCAATTTAAAAATGAGGCACAGCTTTTAGGTCATTAGACCAGCTCTTTTTTTATATAAGACTTTTAATTGCAACTGCAGAATGACAGGGATATATACAAAATTACCCGTGTCCTCCTATACGCATTTCACATAAATCGTCTCTGTGACCTAGTATTACGCACTGGAACTATAGCAACATACTGCCTTCTCTTAATATACATTTACACGAGTCTTAAGACTACTTTCCAGGTATGTATTCACTGTGATTAGTGACAAGTCTGTGTATTGTGTTTTATGTGCTTTATTTGAAGCAAAACATACAACTGTAAGAACAGAATAAGCAAGGGTTACAAATAAGGTGTGTCTGTTCAAAATATACTTAATGTATAAAATGTTATATGACCAGTCTTACCACACTACATGGCCAGATTTGGTGGTTTATGCCATAAAACTGAGCTGAAAAAGGGGCCTCCACCTTATATACGTTCATGTTCTTCTCCAATCAGACTCGCCTTATTGTTAGACTTACTTCACTCAAAGCCATACTGAATACTATGAAATTCAATGCTAGACACCACCACGGAAAAAGGACACTGGAGAAAAGAAACTATTAACTGTTCACATGATCACATGAACTACCACAAGCCATGGAAATAAAAAGAATTAGTAGGTACTCTATAGAGTTTTATTTCACTTTGTACAGCACTAAGACCTAATAAATATGATTCCAAACAAAACAGAAATTGTTAAAACAAAGGTCTTTAGTAGTACAAAATATGCTCATGATTAACAATTGTTAGAGCACTCACTTTCTGACTGAGGCAACACTGAGTCACATCCTACTGTCCAAAACAGTTCATCACTGACAAGACTACAATGGAATATACATATGTAAGAAATGTACAAAAACACATGTTAATAAAAGCCCGAGATCCTTTACGTTACCCTTACAACGTGCTTGGCTTGGACACTTTACTGTTTAGTAGAGGCACGCCATTTATCTTTGACAATTCAGAATTACGCTTTTGGTGGAAATGACCGCAGGATATATGGCCAGCATATAAATAAAATTGTACAATTTTACAATTCTAAAACAACCTCCTAAATCATCGACATATTACTAAAGACATTCACAGATTTATTCCATCCTTCCTCACACAAAAAAAAAACATAAATAAAAAATGTGTCTCTTCATGTTTCAATCCCCACCCTGTGATGTAAACTGATTTTACTCTAATCTGTCAGAAAAAGAAATTGATTTAATAAAATTACAAAATCAGGGCAATAAAGTCAGGATTTCATCCTGGTCAAAGGTGAATCTTTATGTTCAATCCCTGTGCAAACCAAGGGAATCATATTGAAGCTGACGTTCTCAAGGATGGCATACGTTTGTGCATTGCAGTACGTTGTTGAGATTATCATGTAATGTGAAACAAAACTGAAAACGTTGTAGTCTACACTCTTGAAAAAAAGATGGTTCTTCAAGGGTTCTTTAGTAAAGGAAGTGGTTCTAGTTAGAACCATGACTTCTATAAGGAACCATTTTAATGCTTAAATGGTTCTTAGCATGATGAAATGGTTTTTCAGATTAATGGAGAATGTGTTGTATATGTATATGGAACGCCTTTTTTAAGAGTGTACAGCATTTTCATCCCCTAAAGTACTGTATGCTCTTCAAGAGTGTAAATAAATTTGTTGCATATTTACCTTCATCCATGTGTGTTGTCATCATTACACAATGATTATTTTATTCACGACTATTACATCCATAATTGTGTGCCATCAGCCTCCTCATAAGTAAATCCTTCAACCTATACATTCACCTTACAGGACCTAACAATAGCTGTGAGAATGTGAACCGACAAAGGTTTTGAACAGTTATCATGATTAATGTATAAAATGCAACTTACAGTACTGTATCAAACTACAGCATGATTTAAACAAGAGTGGATTGGAAGTCCAACTCATTATGTCGAACCCTACTCACCCATTTGTCCTATGCAATTCAACAATCATATCCTAAAGGTACAATATGTATTTTCTTACAAGTCAGTTTACTTTAAGTCACATTACTGACATTCTGCAGACTCAGACTGGTTTGTTATTTAGATGGTTTGTCATGAAATACCGTCCACTGCTAATGTAAGACAGGTAAGGGCATTTTACAGCTTACATACTGCCTACGTCTTGCCTCTATGTAAAATTCAGTAAATACTACTGTTAGGTAATGTTCTTTTTTTAACGTTTCATTACATTTTGAAGAAAAACTACTTATTGTACCCTTAAACAAAAGTAAGATTATAGAAGAGCTGTTATTTCTTTGTGTAAGAAGTGTTCTTAAAAAGCATCATTCACATGTAAATAAGAGCTGTGGAACAATCCGAAGGAATACATGATTCTGACACAAAAACCCCAAAAAAGCACCTTGAATCTCCAACTCATACTTTTCTCTTTGCTCGGGCCCCCTGTAATGAAACTCTCAGCTTGTTCAGGCAACTGAATTCACTAACAGAATTCATCAAGACCCGAACATAAAAGGCACCAAACGCAGCACTGTGAAAATTTCTCAGTATGTCTCTGGTATGACAAATTCAAACTCTGTCGTGTTCTCAACATTCATTTGGTTTCCAGGTCGAGGTGGTGGCCCTGGGCGGGCATGAGCGCCTGGACGAGTGTGTGCATCCGGCTCAACAAAGATGTCATCCCAGTTCAACATTTTGCTTTGGCCAGAGGGAACACCCTGGTTTGTAAAGTGAGATTTGCCGGGGGTAATGTGCTGGACAATGCCATTCTCGTTGATGACTGGAATTCCACCCGTTTCCTCTGAGACGAAGGAGTATGGTTTGAACTGTAGAGTTTTACAGGGAAGGAGGCGGTACAGGTTGTTGTCAGTGTCATCCTTCTCCTTTCTGCCTGAGGGATCTTGATTGTGAGCTTGTTTACAGTGAGAAGACAACAGCTGGTAGTTCAGGAACATTTCATTACACAGCAAGCACTGGTACCTCCTTTCACCCGTGTGAGTAATCTCATGTTTGGTTCTATATTCTGCCAGGGCAAAGACCTTGTCGCAGTAACGACAGGGGTACTTTCTCTCCCAGGAGTGTGTGTTAAAATGACGCCGGAGACTTGTCAGGCACACGTAGGGACGCTTGCACACAATGCATACATAAAAAGTCTTGCCATCCATAATTAGCTCATAGTGGTCCTCCTGCTCCACTTTCGCTTTCTTTTTGCCTCGAGGTGTGCTGCTGGACACATTACTTGCACCTTGCACAGATGTATGTGATTTTCTTCCAGGGCCTGCTCGAGAGTCTCCTTCTCCTGCATCCTCTTTCACAGGGACAATGTCATAAGTGTTCTCTCCTATGTTAGCATAAACCTTACATCCTGGTGAAAGGGAATCGATTTCCGAGGCTTTGTCTAATGTTATCGTCTTTTTGGTGGACACTTTGGGAACAACATCCATGGCAGGTCCGTTATTTGTGCTGAAGGATGGCCTCACATCCGACAGTTTAATTTTGCCTGGCTGGTCAGGCGAATGCTCCAGCAGTACCTTCTTCTTCTGGACTCCAAGAACTTCACTGGCTTCAAGAGGAACAGAAGAATTATGGGACTCTGTGGGGGTGAAACTGTTCATGCGTGCTGGGGTGGAAGGTGCACTGTGTGAGGAAGATCTGGCAGGAGAGGCAGAAACACTGCTGCTGGGGTCTGGAGACATGATGGGGCTAGCAAGAGGTGTTGTGTCTCGCTGAGGTTGAGGGCTATTTTGAAATTTGCCTTCCACCACACCTTCAGGAGGGCGCTTACATTTCTCAGCTTGGTCAGTGTTCGCACCTTCCTCATTTGTGACCTTTTGTTTTTTAGCCTCTGGTCCACCTTCAGCACTCGCATCCATAACCTGAGAGGGCTTTGTTTTCTGAGCTTTCGGGGCTTCCATTTGTGAGACAAAAAGAACATCATCGCTGTCCGAGTCATCCTTTTCAACACCGCTGCCAGTCATTTTGAATTCCTCAGCAGACAACGAGAACGATTCAGTGATGATTGGCATGTTATCTGTTCCAGCTCCATTTTCCTCTGTGGCCCCAACATTACTGTTCTCGCCTTCTTTCGATAAACCAGGTAAACCCTTGACTTGTGAAAGAGGTGTTGCAAGATTGGCAATGAACTTGACACCTAAGATCTGGCCAGCATTGATAAGATCTTCAAGCTTGTCAGATCGAATTCTGTAGAGTTTAGAGCTGTATATGTAATTCAGAATAATTTCAAATATGTCTGCCTTGATAAAATTAAGCTCGATTACTTGTCCTGCGACGGAAAACAGCTGACGAAAGTAAGTGCTGGATGCCGATAACATTGTCTTGTGTGCCTTGAACTTACGGTCCTGAACAATGATGGTCACATCACAGAATAATCCATTGTTCCGTTGCTCACTGATGGACTCCAGCAATGACAGAGAAAACTGAGTGTCAGTTACAGATATCAGCTTTAATTTCGACATCCCTGTGAAGAGAATGGTCAAAGATGCTTTAAAGAGAACAACAAACTTGTTTTGGTAATCTCTAAATGCTATGCATTACAGATAATCACTCTTACTGAAATATCTCTACAGCACAAAAGGTAAACATAAAGCTGAAAACAAAGTGCACGACATCAGTAATGGACAAAAATCATGGTACCACAAAGAGTAGGATAAAAATTGAGGGAATTTAGGTTTAGTTGGTAGCGCTCAGTCGGGTAATACTGTAAAATAATCTGAACTACCACTAACAGACTGTATCTGACACGCTAGGAGATTCAACGAGATTTACTCTTGTGTACCGTCCAAAGAAGCCTGTGATTCGCTTTACGGGCTGCACATCACAACCGTGCTAGTTAGCTACATCATTAAAGTGTTAGTCAAAGAAGGGATGGGTTTATGGTCATCTAGAAAGATTTAAATACGCGTAGACGATTATTAACGCTCGCATGACATTCTGGTTTGAGGACCTAAACACTGATAACGTGCCGAAGCCTTTAGCTGGCTAACGAGTAGGCTAGCTAGCTAATATAGAGAGCAAGCAACAAAAGCGGAGATAGCTAAATAACTGAGTGCGTTAGAAGCTGCATGAATACTTAATATGCGTCACTTTATGAACAAAGTAATGGGCTGATTTTTCTGTATGTTAACTCCAGACATGTTCCACAATACTCTGAAGTCAGAAGAAAGAAAACAAAAACTAATGACTGGCTAGCTGGCTAATATGTGGCCACTTTTATCCTTCCTGCTTTGGCGGTAGGTTGAGGCCTAGCCAGGCAGCTGGCTGTGTGTAAACTTACTGCTATCCGGAGTAACACGTTTTTAATCGAGGAAACACATCACTGACGTGTAAAACGTTTTCGGATCTACTCGTGAACAGCGCATAATCGCATACCTGCAGTGAGAGGTTTTTGAGTCCAGTCTTCTGTTTTTTTTTTTTTTTTAAATGATTAATGTAGGTTTTGTCGCGGTAGACAACAAAAAAGAGCCTTGTATGAGCGGAGGCAAGGCTGCGACTTACTGTCTAACCAACAGGAGTCGCAAAACATCCGCCTTCGTGTAGGGATTAATAAAGGCAAATGTCGAATTATTTGCATAAATCTTCAATTAGGCATGAATTTTTTTTTAATTAAAATAATGTCTAAAATTTTAGATAAAATTATTGAGACCTTGACTCTGCCAGCCATTTGTTAGTAATAAAATTGTGTGACAAAATCTTTATGATTACAGTTATTGAACAGCGTTTGTTTAACCGGTTTACAAGGCAGTAGTTATACCATGAATTTAACATTTGTCTTAGTTTCAGAACTTATTATAAACTATTCACAAGTCTTCAAACCCTTTTCACTTGTATGTTTTTATGATTTGAGTGCGAGATATTTCTGCTGAAATAGCACCCTAAGCGCGGTCTGTGCTGATCCCTGCAGGCTGTCGTTGTTGCTCCGGTGCTGTAGGGGGCGATACCGCAGAACAGGGTCTGAATCTTTAGCCCTCCTGAATAACACTGGACTGACTGGGCCTTAATGCGCCATAAACAAGAAGTTCGCCATAGCGAGCTTTTCTAGTGCTAAAAACATTTATCACAGTCAGAACGGTTTGGACTATACGCTCAGTTCTACAGCGGAGTAGGTCAGAGGTACAAAGCTAAGTTAAATCTGTACACTTTTGAGCTCGTTGCGTGGATAAAAAGAAAGTAAACAGCTAGCTAGCCCGCAGTGTGTCGTCAGTGTCGCTCAGTAATGTAAATAAGCAGTAATTATTTAGTTTAGCTAACTTGGCTTGGAGATCGATTCGAATCGCGATTGAAAGCTGTTTTAAACCGAGGAAATCACGAAAGATGCCGGAGCTCGAAGTCAGAGGTCCAGAGGGGTTCAGCCCCAGAAGGCGGCGGCGCAGTCGCTCCAGCAGTCCGGCCAGTGAGGCGAGTCCAGCGGCCAAGAGCTCCAGACACGACGGTCCTGAAGAGCGGTCAGCGAGGTGGACAGACGGCAAAGACCGGAGCAGAAACCGTTTCAGGACCGGGAGCTCCCGCAGCAGGTCGAGGTCCAGGTCAAGGGAACGGGAGAAGTTATCCTGGGACAGAGGACACAGAGGATCCGACTACTATGATAAGAGGGACGATGCTCAGCGACAAAGACAAGAAGCTTTCATCGCCAGGTGATGTTTATTTCTCACAACTGTGTGAAGTTTCAGGCTTTGTTGGCAATTCACTCCAAATCTCTGAACCACCGAAAGTGCGCAGTGACCAGTGTCGGATGTAACCGGGAGCAACTGACAAAAAAAGACTCACAATCAACATTTTTCCCCGTTAAAACTCACATACAGCGGTAGAAGCTTACGCAAAATAACGACCTATAAAATTAACAAATCAACAATGATAAATGTTGCCCAATCTTGAAAATAGAAGAGAATTCGAGTCTGTATATTGCCTAATTTGTCAGTTTTGTGCGGTTGAGCTGTTTAAATATTTAGTTAGTGTTCTCTTTAAGTTAAATGTTTTTCAAGTGTATGTTTGGGCTTTAGGGCTAAAAGCAGCTCTTAAAATGGACTGTTTCTTACCATGGTTATGAAATTTAGTTGTTTAACATAGCTTGTCCTGCTTTACAATCTCTGTAAAGCTGCTTTGTGCCAACCTTGATTGCAAAAATATACTAATTGAATTGAGTTTTGTCTTAATCAGGCGTTTGCAAGAACGGGAGAGGATTGGTGAACTGGGTTGTCCTGAGGTCTGGGGCTATTCACCAAGAGTCAGAGAACCTGAGTAAGTCTAATTTCTTAAATTAAGCGTCTTGTCCACAATTAAAGATTGTATGCAAATGTTATATGTACTAATTTTGAGTTTGGTTCTCCTACCAGCTCAGATGAACACACTCCTGTTGAAGAGGATGTGAAAAACAGCAGCTCGGATTCCAGTTCAGAAGGTGATTTACTATTGCTAGCATACTAGTTAAAGGAGTAGTCTAGTGGTCTTGTACCACCACAAGCATAAAAACAGTTAAACGGCATCACATTATCAGGTTAACGTGCAAATGACAAATTAATATTTTGATGTGTTCACCAAATTATTAACAGACAATCATTGTTTTGCTGTTAGCTTGATAGTTATATTCTGGCTGTGCTAACTGCAGTTAACTGATCCATGGTGGACCTGCAGTGGAAGCCGCAATTTGGCATGTGGCTGTACAGTTTTGATGTAAAAGTGGGGTAGACGATAGGGAAAATATATAAAATATCACAATACAGGGTATGTACCACGATATGTAGGGTTTGAGAAGTTGGAACAGACAAAAAAGAACCAATTATGTTGTGTTTAAAATACTATAAAACTATGAATACGATGATTTTTATTCAACATACATACATTGCACCACACCATGAAATATGCAGTTGGTCACTGTTCTTTAACCACTGACGTAATCCATGATTTGCTCAGTAAAGCATGTTGTGATGTAATTCCTGTTGGAAAACATCAGGTATACAGTCTCTAAAAGCAGTTTTGCTATTTCATTCTATGACCTATGAGGAAATTGTTCTGCTGTACCTTACTGTGTGAGCACTTAACATCAACTTATTAAAGAAAAAAAAAGAGCTTTTTTTCTACAGAATTTGCATACACTGTATTCTGTGGTAAGTGCTATTTGTATGGTTGAGGTAGAAGGTTAATTAAGGATTTTGATTTCAGAGGAAAGAAAAAAGAAGAAGAAAAAGAAGAAGAAATCAAAGAAAAAGAAAGCCCGGAAGCACTCTGAGGAAAGCGAGTCTGAAAGTGACTCTGAGGGTCAGTCTGTTTTTCTTACTCAAACTCAATCTAAATTGGTTTTTTACTCCCTGCAAAATCCACTGTATGCTGTAGGAACATAAGACAATAGCTTTTAGACCTCATCCAGTGGACTGATTGTTAAAAGAAAGACACATGTTCAGACTGAACTTGTCTTTTAAAAAAAAGCCTTTATAATGATTTCAACATGAATTATTTCCCAGTGGAACACAATCAGGGAGGGTCTCTTAGCTAGCTTAGCGTTTTCCTTTCTATGGTGAATGAGAATAGCTGGGAGCAGACATTACAATCGCCCCCACTATTCTCATCAAAAATCAAAAGACATTTTAGAGGTCCGTAAAAGTCATTACATTTGAAAGATCTGGGGAAAACAAGAATTATGCCATTTAAATGATATGATTAATCATGCTTACCATGTCCAGGGACATGAACTAACAATATTAAAAGGTCCATGTTAATTTCATATTGATTTTAAAATGTGTTTCTTTGCAGAAGAGGTGAAAAAGAAGAAAAAGAAGAGGAAAAGTAAAAAGTCAGTAAGAGACTTCTTTCTATATTTTCTATATTTTATGTGTGGTCTAAGCTGTGAAGATGTTCTGTGTTAAAGTAATTTTATCATCTTAGGAAGAAATCAAAGAAGAAGAAGGCTAAGAAGAGCAGAAAAGAGTCCAGCAGTTCCAGCAGCGATCAGTCTGCAGAAGAAGAAGAGGATATGAATGAAGAGCTGTGGGTTGAGAAAACTGCTCTGGATGAACATGTTTTTGGACCTGAAGCACCGTTAACTCACCTGTCACAGGATGATAAACCATTAGAGTGGGTATCTGCATCTGCTGTGTTACCCACTGTTTGTACATCACAGTTGGAAATATTGATATTTTCACATGCAAAAATGTTACTGATTTATTTATTTTTATTTATTTATTTATTTTTTTTTAAATCCTTCTCTCCACAATCTATAGTTTTGGTCATGCTCTGCTACCCGGTGAAGGTGCTGCCATGGCAGAGTATGTTAAAGCAGGAAAGCGTATTCCAAGAAGAGGTGAAATTGGTCTGACCAGTGAGGAGATTGCAGAATTTGAGAAGTCTGGCTATGTGATGAGTGGAAGCAGGTATGTAGCCTTTTCTGTATGTGCAAACCTCTGTGTTGTGTATTGCTTTGTACTATGTGTACTGACCCATCTGTGCTCATTCCAGACATCGGCGTATGGAGGCTGTGCGTTTGAGAAAGGAAAACCAGATTTACAGTGCAGACGAGAAGAGGGCCCTTGCATCCTTCAACCAGGAGGAAAGGAGAAAACGGGAATGTAAAATTCTTTCCAGCTTAAGGGAAATGGTGTACAGGAAGACTAAAGGCAAAGAAGAGAAGTAGACTGTCAAGCACAGTGCTAACATTAAAGTTTGTCAGCCTTCTTTTTCTTTGAATCATAATTTAGTGGACATTCTTCGTGCTGAATGTTGATTTTATGGTTTCTTCTAAGTCCTTGCCCTACAAAATATAGTGAGATATTCATAAATCAAAGCTTTCATGTATTTTTGTTATTTTTTTTCTCAAATAAAGAGTGAGTCAATATTCTAAAGATTGTCTGTTGTATTAGGGTTTAGAAAAGTTTTCCTGACACATCTCTTTAATCATCTATTTAATTAAATGTTGTGAATAAAAACATTTAATGTACTAATAAATCTGCAAACTCGGAAAATCAACCTGTCTAAACTGTTTTCTATTCGAAAACGATTGATTGAGTGACTGCCAAGTTTTAATTGTAAAAGTGTGCAACTTTTCAAATTGTTTCAGATTGCTTGTACATAGTACATATAATTTTGTTTGTAATGAAATGTATATTCTAGGTTTTAAAATAAGTAGAAGGAAGCTGTAAATAAAAATTCTTGGTGGGTCCAGAAGGGATTTAGGCAATTCTAAATCGGGGGATTTCTTCATGCATGTAATGACAAAAAGGATTATCAGAAGATCATTGCAGTGTATTATCATTTAGCAATTTCATGTCCTCAAAATACATAAGAATACCTTGTAGTGTTTTGTTTATAATATATATAAATCTATATTACAGTAGTAGTATGTACCATAGTGTCCCCTATCAGATAGTTTATACTAGATGAGAAGTATTTGGATAGGAATTGGTTTGTTGTTGTGAGATCTCTTGGCATGGTTCATTCACATTTCAAAACTTGATATGAATCATGACTTCGTAACATGTTGGCGGACTAAGATTAAACACCCAGTTTTCACAGAGGTCCAAGACACTAGCTTTCTTAGGAGTGAATTTAACTAAGACTGTAGTCTGGTCTAACAAACATCCATCTTATTAAACCAGCTTATGACATAACCAGCTTGTTAAAGGGGAACTCCAGCATTTTTTAAGAAATTCTACATAAATAAATGGCTGATAGAAATAAGATAAATAAAAGTTCACTGGTGGTTTTGGAAAGTAAATAAAATGGCTATGTTTGCATTGTAGACATTGTGACCATGACCCCTGTATCCTGTCACCACCACTATAAAAAAATCTGAGTCTATGTTTCTCTACAATGAACCACTTCACATCAAACCACTTTAAATTGCATCCCAAGGACAGAATTATTCTGAGGTTTTAAAAAATTGGTAAAATTACCCTTTAATAAGCTCTTGCAGAGTTTAAGTGGTCATGCTAGAGCAGGGAAACACTAAAACGTGCAGAGGTGCTCCAGAACCAGTGTAAGAAGCCTGTGGCTTACAGAATCCCAGACATGCCAGATCTGAGTAAAACCATGGTGGCAATAATAACCTATAATAAGTATGACAAATCAGTACCCCAGTTATTGGTCATACAGTGTGCCACTGTATGAGATAAATTGTTATCATTGACTGAGGGTCTGCAAAACTGCAGAGGGGCAATTGCTTCCAATGGAATCACTGTGAAAAAAAAAAGATTACTAAGAAATTATGTAAAAGTATTTTAAGTGCATTATTTTAAAGAATCAAAATGGATGTTTTCTTGTATTCAGGAACATTTATTGCAGTAGCCTATTTTTTCTCCACTGAGTTCAGCATTTTGTGACACAGCTCTGTGGATCATCTTTGTCCACAAGCTGAGCCTGTCAGATGTTAAATTCCACAAGTTAACAGCTTGCCATCTCTACAGCTGACAGAATTAGTAGCAACACTTTATTTTGATAGTCCACTGCAGACACTTTGTAGATGCTCAACTTGTGTTAAACTAACATTCAACGAAACATCTATTAAATGCAAAAGAACTGTGAATTGAATAAACTAACCCTAAGCTTAAATCTCATTTTTAGCTTAAGCACAAAAACTAAATCAGTGGTCATCAATTATTCTCTTTGACATCTACATTTTTTCCAGAGTTGTGTTCAAACCCACATCAACCTGCATGAAGTATGAATGGAACTAGACTCCATGGGAAGATGGTCACCAGGGTTGGTGACCACTGACCTAAACCTAATGCAGTCAACAATCAAATGAGTATATTACTTTATTAACTATTTGAGCATCTGTAGGTAATCTAGTTTACCCACAAAGGGCCGGTGTGGCTCACCTGATACCACTGCTTTAATCAACTGGTTTCAACCAAACAACTGATCATGTGATCTCCTGCTTTGCTGGAATAAAAACATACAGACTGGACACCCCTGCTATAGGGGAACACTACTTCTGGTTGTCTTGGCTACACATTTGACACAACACACAATTCAAGAACAGACTGGACAAATAAAGTATATACATTATTTTAATAGACAGCTGGACAAAATACACATTTCAAAAGTTTTAGACAGGGGCAGGGCTCTTGGGTGATCTTCAGTTAATGTTTTCAAGTCCCTGTGAAATCAAATAGACATTTCAGAAAACTCCTCAAAACACACATAATATAAAACACAAATATATACAAATTTGAAAATGAAATATAATGTATATAATAGAATAAAACTGAAATCATCACCTTTGACTTGTAATGTACTCCAGTCCCCGACAATCGCTTGTCTCTCTGCATCAAGTACCACTGGTAAGGGGCTCTCGCAATTCTTTTCTCCTAAACAACACAAGAAAGCAGTCTGATTAGATCTAGGTTAAAGTAACATGATTTGTTTTCAATCAAGAGTTTGTCTTGATAATAATAAGGACAAAAGCACTGTTTTATCTTCCCATTCTTACATTTTAATCTGATCTACAGTCTTTAAATGACTAGGGAATACAGATCCAGATAAAGCCTAAGCATAAGACTAAAAACAATATCCAATGGTGATTCATCACTGACACTGCAAAATTACGTTTAATCCATGCCTGGGAAACCAGCCCATAGTGTAGAGCCTAGTCCAGAACTACACATGATGCCTAATGGAGATTCTCCTTTAGAAGGAACATCTCTGTACAGGAAACTGACATTACGAGCCAGTTTCCCAGACTCAGATTAAGTCTAAGCCTAGATTAAAAAGAATTACCAATAGTGACTTGACATTTAGTTCAAGACTAGCTTAATCCATGTCTATGAAACCATTCCATATAGTTAAACTTAATTTTCTTGCCTATTTTTAGCATTCATTCATTAGACAGCTTAACCTAGATTTTAAAGATGCATTAAAAATCCAACTCAAACTCAACACTCATGACAGATGACAGAAATATGAATTTATGTTTTAGAAAAAGATGCTGCAAATCAATACTCCATGATGGATAATCCATTGTTTGGATGTATAAGTCCATGGTTATCTGACTAAGATTCAGTATTTTGGAGAAAATGGTCCATCTTCTTTGTTGCCATTTCAGTAGAGATGGAACTGCTCTGATACCAGGTATCGACATCCGTATCGGTATCAGGACGTTATCAACACAAAATGCTACATTGAACATCGGAGGGAAAAAAAATCTGTAAAAAATCCAGCCTAAAACAGGACACACACTGTCATGTGATGTCAGCTATGCATTTCTTCCTGTAGGTAGTTCGAACATGACAGCCTACTTTAGATGCTGATCTTAAGTGAAAGTGCTTTGATTAAACATGGCTAATTTTAAAGCTTAGTAGTTCTAAAGGAATCAGGGCCCAGTTTCCCGAAAGGCATCTTAGCATTAGTTATTAAACCGGTAGAGAGAGAGTTCAGTGTGATGCTCACCCTACCCTTTAAAAGTAATTTTCATTCTAAGATGCTTTTGGGAAACCCAGCCCAGATCACCATCAGCCGATATTGAAGGTTTGAACATCCATAGCAGAATCAGAAAAGAAAAAGTGCTATATTTATTTTAGGTGATTTAGCTTTAGTGATGGCCATGTAACCGAACCAATGTCCAAGGCAGTTTGCATATTTTCCTGCCCAAACACACCTAATTTAACTTCTCAGATTAATTACCATATTTAGAAGATTCCATTCCACAGGGTCCCTAAGCAGTACCTCCTATATTCTCTACAGGGGGTCTCAATCCTGGTCCTACGACTGGACTGAAAACTGACAGATTACATCTTGTCTCACCTTAGAAAGGAACTAGTTGCTCTGTCCTCCTTATCCTCAAATCAAAAAGTCACAGGACCACCAACTTTAATTCCAGTTAATTTAGCTATGACTGAGTGTCTGGGGCGGGATAAATCCAGCCAAACTAGAGCTGGGAAATATTAAATATTTATCATTACCATGATAAATTACATCACGAAATGTCACAATATGCATTTCTCAGCATATTGTGGATATCGTCAGTACTTAACGAACACTGACCGACAGCATGTTTCATTACAAAGACAGCATAATTTGTTCTGTTTAATTAGATTTGTTGCACTTCAGAATGTGAAATGTTGAATACAAATCATTATATTCATTTTTTTCCATAGCATTATTTAAAGTGTGGCACTACTGGTACCTTTTATCAGAAAAAATAAAAATTGTGGCATATCCTATATCAGTTCTTGAGGTATCACAAAATTATATTTTTGCCATATCGACCACCCCTAACAAGTTATATTCCCTAATAAGAGCCTCATGTAATAATAAATGACAATAATTATAATAATCATATTAATGATAATCATAATAATAAATACGTGGCAGTAGGTGTTTTATTTAACAGATGCTAACTACCCAGGCGAGTGTGCACCTGCACTGCACTGGATGGTGGAATTTGTCCAGCGCACAAAAGACAAACGAGGATGTGCAGCGTTATTTGAAACCCTTTTGCCGCTACCGTCAAAATGAAAGACAGCTGTAGAGTCGGATACACTGATTAAGCGATAGAAGATGAAGTGAAGAAATAGCGGCAGAGCTGGTGAAGCTGTGTTCACTCACCTTTCCACTGTTCGTGTATTTTTGTATCTCTGCAGTAGCGATGCCAGGAATGATCAAGCACGCTGTCATTATAGCAAAACCGGGGAGTATTTCATACCACATGACTGGGGTGAAGAGAGGCCTATATACAGATATACAGACTTTAAAAGTCTCCCTCTACACTCTGTTTCGTCTGTTTTGGCCAAAATGTCCGCTGCCTTCACGGTCACAGATCGATTTCCGGTGAGTCTCGCTCTCCCTGCTTATGACTGACTGTGTAATATTACAGCGCCGTCTGGCGGTTCAAATGGTCCACAAGTCCCGCATTTGATACTAATACATATAAGGTTCACGGAAATCAGTCAAGAAACGTGTTAAAATGAGCAGTTGATAAAGTGTAATAAAAGCGCATTAAAAAGTCGAATACGGCTTTTAATGCCCTTTAGTCTGGCCAGCGCTCCCGAGAGGAGTCCTCCAGGTTTCTGTTCCAGCCAATCAGAAACGCCCTCCGTGTTTCCGTCAGACCAATAGGAAAAGTTGTGGAGCGCTTTCGACTCTTGACAGCTTACGAGCTTCTGGCTGAACAATAACACAGTAACTTGTGTCACTCGACAAAGTCCGACGAAAACATGAAAGAAGACAAAGAAAATACGCGGCCCAGAGAAAAGAAGGTGGAAATAAAATGTGAAGAAAGCGAAAAAACAGAGAAGCCAAACAAAGAGAAGAAGGAGACTATGACAAAGGTAGTTAGCCTAGCTGGCTAGCTAAGTTGTAAGTTAGCTTCTTAGCTTCGTCACGGTAACAGGGCTGTTGTGCGGTAGAACAAGTTAGTTGTTTATTTTGTCTAACATTAGTTACATCAACAGGTGACCACATAGAATACATTATACATTTCTTAACCCTTTTCAAGGCAGTTAGCTACTTTTGCGGACATGGGTTCAGCTGTAGCTAATTTTGCGGACACAGTAAACTGGCTAGCTAGCTAACTTAACTAGCTAGCTAACGCTAATCTGTAGAACCCTTTTGTGTATAATAACAGTCTATTTCACGAACCAGCTGGTCAAGACGAGCAACAGTCATGCATCTAGCTAGGTTCATGACTGCGTTTTGGTTTCAATGTTGACGAGCTAAATGAATGCAAATAAATCGCGAAGGCATTAATAACGTATCTCATTTAATTAGCATGGTTTTTAATTACCGTATATCTCTCTGTTTTATTCCCATTTTAATTAGATCGTAATTCGTCGCCTCCCTCCCAGTCTAACTAAGGAAGAGCTAGAGGAGCAACTGCAGCCTCTCCCAGAAGTGGATTATCTTGAGTTCTTCTCTAGTGACACCAGGTCTGTGGCCCACATTTTCACAAAAGAAAGCATGTACTGTTGAATTGAAGTGTTGTAAATGGTGCTTGCATGATGATATATAATGGATTCACAGGGGAACTGATCTAAGATTTCTGTTTCATTGCAGCCTCTACCCTCACCTTTTTGCAAGAGCATACCTAAATTTCAAGAACCAGGAGGATATTGTTCTTTTTAGAGACCGATTTGATGGTTATGTCTTCATTGATAATCAAGGTTTGGACATAAATGTCTGCCCATATCTCTCATTTGCCAGCTTTGTATTTTCCCCTATGATTTCTAAGTTCTCTGAATCACTCTTAAAATAGTTGGTGATAAGTATGTAGTTGGGATTGGTTGCTGGATTGATTTTGTATATACATGTAATGTGTAACAAGTCCAGTGTTGCCTTTTGTGTAAAGGCCAAGAGTACCCTGCGATTGTTGAGTTTGCGCCATTCCAGAAGGTTGCGAAGAAGAGAAGTAAGAAGAAGGATGCCAAAAGTGGGACGATCGAGGAAGGTTAGGAGATGTGAAACTCATACCATACTCAAAGATAACAGACAGTCTGCAGTGTTCTTTTGACCAGCAATAAGTAATTTCATATTTTTATAGATGCTGATTATAAGAGATTTTTGGAGATATACAGTGGCGATGATGAGAAACTTTCTTCCACCCCTGAGACATTATTAGAAGAAATAGAGGCCAAGACAAAGGAACTGTTTGGTAAGCTAGTGGACTTACACAGCTAAATTAAATATGTGCTCAAAACTATTAGCAGAATGAGTGTGTTTAATTATTTGTTACTTTTTATTGCAGCAAAGAAAACAACCCCTCTGTTGGACTTTCTTAAGAACAAACAGGTGAGCAGAAGTTCAAATAGTGACGCAAATATATATGCAAATATATACATACTGATGTGGTGGTGGTGTGTTATTGTGTGTTGTGCTGGTACGAGTGGATCAGACACAGCAGTGCTGCTGGAGTTTTTAAATACCTCAGTGTCACTGCTGGACTGAGAATAGTCCACCAACCAAAAATATCCAGCCAACAGCGTCCTGTGGGCAGCATCCTGTGACCACTGATGAAGGACTAGAGGATGACTAACACAAACTGTGCAGCAGCAGATGATCATCCCTGACTTTACATTTACAAGGCGCACTGACAAGTTAGGAGTGTCTAATAGAGTGGACAATGAGTGGACACTCCTACCTTGTCAGTCCACCTTGTAGATGTAAAGTCAGAGACGATATATATATACATATATATGTGTGTGTGTGTGTGTGTGTATGTGTGTACATATGTATGTGTATATATATATATATATATATATATATATATATATATATATATATATATATATATATATTGTGTTTATACACACACACAAACAAAGTAATGTTTGATAAGTATTTCTGTTAAGTGATCATATTGATATTTACTGTCACACTCATTCAATTCTTGTAAAATTGATGAGAGTTGAAAATGGACAATTAGAAATGGATAGGTCATAGATAATGTTGGATCAAATGTTTTTGTTATTTAAAATAGAGTTGGATTAATGACCTGCACGGATGTGTCCACATATATTATTAGGTAGGAGTATTAGACTACCTGTTGATTTCAGTTAAAGCCATCTCACAGCCAGTGAAGCAAACATCACAGTTTCATGGTAACTTCAGTTTAATTATGCAGGCCAAAGAGTCCAAAAAACACTTTGATGCCTGCACCCTTTCATCAATGTTAAACACTTCCGCTAAATTTGAACACTCTCTGGTGTAAACAAACAGTCGTGCTTTGCTGAATAGGCTCCAGTGCTTGTCTTCTTCATTGTGAATCACTTGAAGTTACATTCTCTTCCATTCCTTATGCTTTAATATGTTTTGGAGAGTAATGGCTAATTTCATTGTGAAATATCAGCTGTTTCATAGGAGTCCAGCACAGATTTTGTTTGTGAATCATTGATGCATGCGTCAGTAGAAATATTTACACATTCTAACTCTGTTAATTAAGAGGTTAAGAGAGGAAAAGAAGGAGGAGAGGAGAAGGAGAGAGTTGGAGCGAAAACGCTTGCGTGATGAAGAAAGGCGCAAATGGAGAGAGGAGGACAGAAGGAAGCGCAAAGAGGCTGAGAAATTAAAAAAGGCAGAAAAAGTACCCGAAAAAGACAAAGACCAAGCTAAAGAGGAGCAGCCAAAAATCAAGGTACATTACTATATTGTGTTTTGCAGACTCTGAGTACCAAAATAGATTTACTTCCTTATTCTCTTAAAGATTCCTGTTCCTCACTCTTATGTGGCAGTGACATTTGTTGTTGTTGTTTTCTGCCTCAGCTCTTGAAGAAACCAGATAAACCAGAGAATGGAGATACTGAAAAGCCAAAAGAGAAGCAGAAGAAGCCAGACCGTGAAAAACTGAAGGATGACAGAGCTCCAGGAGGAGCAGATGCAAAGAAACGTCAAAATGGTGAACACAGAGAAGATAAGACAAGAAAGTGAGCACTCAGAGCATCTTTGATATTTTTTCCCAGTGATGTTTCAGTTCCACTTATGAAAATTATATTAATTATCATAGAAAGTGCTGTTATTGTTCTCTTGAAAAGCTGCTTTGTAGGTTTTGTCTTGTTTCAAAAATACAAAAACAAATTTGGGTCCATATCCATAGATGTTCATGAGTCCATTGCTAATAGAAAAGAAACACATTAAATCAGCCCTTCTTGACCTTTAATGCAGATTAGAGGAGGATGGACGGAAGGAGCACAGAGATCGCGATGCAGACAGAGACCGTAATCGAGAGAGGGACCACCGTCAAAAAGAGAAGGACCGAATCACGAGGCAGGACGAGGAGCGTCGGAGGAGGAAGGAGCGACATGATGGAGAGAATACTTACAAAAAGAGAGAGGATGAGGGGAAAAAAGAAAAGGAGCGTATTTGGGAAAAGAGAAAGAATGAGCATGCTGGAGACTCCTCTGGTCACACTCAACCTGACAAGACTGAGAAGTCCTCTAAAGATGGTAAAAAGGAGGAAAATGTGAAAAAGGACCGTTTAAGAAACAAGGTACAATCTTAGCTGATATGTGTCTGTTTGTCATACATGAACCAGGCATTGGAATTGTCAGTTAGCCACCTTATCAGGTAACCATCCTAAAAACCCACTGTGCAGTTAGTGCAACATTAAATGTGAAATGTTATGTTATAAAATGCATATTTTTACTGTAACCAAATGCTGCACTATTTTGGGAAAGAAAATATGGCCTGAGAAGCTAAAATAATGGCTCTCAACCCCAGTTTTCAAGCAGCCCTACACACTGTAGTTTTACTATACTCAAACAAGGCTCGTTCAACTCTACAGGTAATCATCAAGCCCTCCATGAGCTGATACAGTTGTGTTCAGAGTGAACAAAACAAAAACTTCACTGCACTGTGAAATTTTTATTTAGTAGTAAAGTCAGCTGTAGGCACTGATTTCGTTAGCCCCAGTTAGATGGATCTTCCTCATTCAGTTATTGTGAATGTGAAACCCCTGGTTTATTAACACTGAATGTTCAGTTTACTGTGTTTACCAAAACATGCTTCAATAAAATGAATTTTATTTTCCAGTTATGTGATCTTCCATAATGAGGGCTTTTCATTTTGCTCCAGGATCGACCTGCCATTCAGCTGTACCAGCCAGGGGCGAGGAGCCGCAATAGAGCTGGAGACAGCAGAGCTGGAGATAAGAAGGCTGAGACGGACGCAAGGAATACACAGGAGAAGGGCGAAGAGTGAGGACAGGCCAAAATGGTAGCATGACATGATTGAGGAGGAATTCTGGTCAAGCCAGGCAACTGAGCACCTGAAAAGAATGGTGCTGCCAAAGCAAGAAGTTCCTGTCCTTCTCAAGCTCTTTGTCAAAGAGGCAGAAACAAAACCACCTGACCCTTCAGTGCCTGGATGAGCCCCCTTTCATTTCTGTTTATTAGAAAGACAAGGGAAAGCTCTCACTCCTTGACTGATGCTTAGAGTTGAGCAGTGGGGTATAGCAAGAGAAGCCAAAGTGATTGGACCATGAGGACTCCAAGTGACCTTACTCTTGGTACACAGCCAAACTTATTGTACTTCACAGCTGTTCAGCTTTTTTGGTATGTTAGGCTACTACTCCAAATCATTTAATGTTCCACACCCCAACAGTAGTACCTAGAAGGTAAACCTTGTCAGATTTCAGTTCACTTGAATGATTTCCTTCTACGTGATTAGTAAAAAGTGTTTCACAATACACTTAGCTGATAATACATTCAGTCAGTTTAGTCTGACACCTCAGATGTGGAGTTTATTTGGATGATTTAAGGAGTGTTTTTTTTTTTTGTTTGTTTTTTTTTTTGGTGGTTCTCCAAACCAGCCTTTTAATTTGTACATGGAATATGAGCCATGCACTAAAGTGAGATTTGGTGACATGCCTTTGCCACAGTTTTTTTGTTGTTTTTTGCTCTTGTTTGGAAATCTTGTTGAATTTGGTGAGTGGCCTTCCCTACTTTTGCAATAAAGCTTTACCCAAAAAAAGAATACTGCTCCAGACTGACTTTGTTGGCAGTGTTTTTTTTTTTGTTTTTTTTTTTAAATGGTAGGTAGTAGTAATAAGTCACAAGTCTTGTGGTATAATTAGACAATTACCCACTCTTGTGAGGGTCTTCATCAGATCAGAACTGGTTTATGTTTGAAGCCCCTGGGATGACTGGTGATAGGTTTTCAAGATTATTCCTCAGTTCTTCTTTCTTTGACTTGTTACAAATAGAAAATTCAGTAACCTGGATGTTGAAATTTCTAGAGAAATACATTCCTCTACTGGTACAGACTAACACAGAATGCATTGGATATTTTCCTTTAGATGTTGCAGCCCACAGAAATGGAAATATCAGACTAAGAAAAAGGCAGCTATGAGCACTTTTAGGTCCCAGCAGTGTGCTTTTGGGCAGGGTAACTTGGGGGTGAAGAAGCCCTTAAGGGTAATATGCTGCCTCCCCGCTTTTTTCCTGACTAAACAATGGGGCCAAACCACCTCAACACATTACGGAGTGACTATAGTCCAGTTCATTATGAGTTTCATTTGAATCACTGCATTTCTGGGATTTATACTTCTAAAGTTTTGGGCAAGTTGATTTAATGTTTTGTCATTGGAGGATAGTGATCAGTGGTTTTATATTGTAGAAAAGTTGTTAAAATGTTTTTTTTTCTGGGGGGGTGGATTATAGTTGTAGACGGGGTAGCACATGGAGAGGGGAATAAAAATCAGACGAAGTGAAAATATAAAGTTATTCCTTTGGGGTAAGAAATTCCCATAGACAAGGGGCAAAAGGCACCCTTTACACTACTGTTGCAAAAATATTTAGTTTGATTTTAATTATAAAGACAAACTAGTTCCTCTGGCTAATTATTACATTGTAGCTATTAGTGATTGTTAGCTAGAGTTAGGCAACATTTTTAGCTGTCTTGCTGGAGATGATTTTCTATGCAAGTTTTGTGGCTTAGAAAAAAAAATTGCACTTACCAATGAAACGTTAAACATTGTTTGGTTTAAATAATAATAATAATTATTATTGTCATAATTTCTAAATAAATTAACATATAATTGTAATACTATGTGGTTAAGTAATTATCGAAATATTTCAAATGTTTCTAATGTTTTTACTGTCATTTGTCAGAGTTTATTAAATGCAGTGGAATTATTGACACATTGATAAAATCCTCAGCTTCATTCTAAAATATTATATTTTTTCGGTTGTACTTTCATTATTAAAGGTTTTAGAAAAATGCAAAGACTAGCAATCTTGCCCCAATAGTAGGGCAAAAGGCCCCTTTTAAAGGTTTTTTTTTTTCATGCTTGAAAAACAAAACTGTTTGCTGTTCCATGCTATGCTCATGCGCAGCTTTAACTTTACAGTAAATGGACATTGTTCTTATTTCCCTATACATTCACGCGTGACATCCAAAAATATTTTATTGGTGTTATAACTTATTTTCACATACAAAAAAATCATACTATGAGTAGAAATACCAATTTTATTAATTTTACAGATTAGTGATTTTAATCTTTAGATGCATAACATGAAATTGCTGAAATGCAAAAATACATTCTTTCATTTGGAACTGCATATAAATGTTACTGTCTCATATCATGGAAAACAACTTAAAAAAATAGTTATAGCAGCATTATGTAAACATAGTTTTAAGATTAAAAGTGCACTGTTCTTACAGATCATACATTCTTGATACTCGGACTGAAGGGCAGGTCGTTGAAGTGCTGCAGTCATATTTCACATGATTCTTGTTAGATCATTATTTTTTTTTTAGTTAACCAAGTTAACCTGGCATGTTTCTTTATTATATAAAGTTACCTGTAGATGATTGCAGTCACTGAGAGGCTGGTGGGTCCGCTGAGTGTCGCTGTTGCTATGACTGTCCATTGTCCCGCCCCGTGAGGCGGATATACAGCCGCTCTGTTTCCTCCGCTTCCTCCTCTTCAACCACCGCCATTGTGGTGAAAGGACTGTGTGTCTAGAATGGTGAGAAACAATCAGTCAACATCGTCGTGTATACTCATGTTTTGTGGCAGATTTCTTCAGCATTGTATGCCAGCGATTGTTTTATTTTAATGAATTTAAGAATTGCATTTATTAACCTCTTATAAACCGTTAATTTTACTGAAGCTCGTCACAGTCGGCGCTTCAGTTTCAGCTTCGCTACTGACGGTTTTGATACAGGCCCACAAATTCATGACCAAGTTGTATGTCGTTCCCCAACAAGCACAGCTTAAGTTTCCTGAACTGTGCGCTTGATTGTGTGCATAAATGTTAACTCCCTGAAAGAAGGGAAGTTGTATTTATCTTTTACAGCTAGCCGGCTGGCTAATATGCTAACAGTACTCCAGCTAACCAGCGTCTCACTATGTTTCAGGCGTCGCACAAGACTTTCAGGATTAAGCGCTTCCTCGCCAAGAAGCAGAAGCAGAACAGACCGATTCCACAGTGGATCCGAATGAAGACCGGTAACAAGATCAGGTAGGAAATACCCGCTGTTTGCACTGACGTTGTAGTTTTAATGGAGAGCTATAATGTTAGCTGTCCATTCAGTTGCCCGCGGAGAGAGATTGCTAGCTCTGGCTGCCGCTTATGGTTCTTGTGACTGGTCTATGATAGAGATTCCCAAAGTCGGTCCAAGGAACCCCATATTGTGTAGACATTTTGAACATATTTGTGCTTTATCTTATTCAACATAGCTAACTGTGTGTTTTGTAGTAGGGATAACACAGCGTTTAGATTCCTTCTCATTGGCTTTGGGAACTCCTGATCGGTGTTGGTGATGGGCGCTTACACATGCTCGAGAACATTTGTGTAAAGCAGGACGCAATTACAGTGCTTCATTTGGTGGAAGTACTGCCATTATCCTGCTGAGAGTAACAACCTGCTTTAGAGACACAGCTCATCATTCTTGTCTGATATGAGTGCTCTTCAGCAGAGACAGCGTTGGCCATTTAAGAGAGCTTTCATTGTTCAAAATATGGGCTAAAATAGGGATGCCCATTTCTGGAGATGTACCACCATGGAGAGTGAGCTAAGATCTAACTTGACTCTAATATTCAGATGCTCCTAAAAGCATCCTGTATCTGGATCAGATAGATTAGGTTTTGAGCTAAAGGCTGCAGGGTGGTACAGGACCAGGTTTGCTTTCAGTAAGTGTTGCCATCCACACTGATTAAGTTTAGAGTATTATCAGGTTGTTAGAGCATGTAAATAAGCATGATGTTACGTGCAGGTTCCCATTTTTTGGTAACAAAAGAACTTGGAACAGTTAAGGGATCCCTGTACAGAAGTAGCTTGGCACATGTAGCTGCTCTTTTAGTTTCTGTGTCAGTTGGTACTGTCATAAAATAGATTTATATATGTTGTGTAATAGAATGTTGGTCCTAACTCGATCTCTCCAGATCTTATTTTATACTTATAGAATCAAGAATACATTGATTCTGGAACAGTTAACTTTGGCTTTGCTAGTAAGTAATGTTTTCATTTGGGGTTCCTGTTCTTGCTTGCAGGTACAACTCCAAGCGTCGGCACTGGAGAAGGACCAAGCTTGGCTTGTAAGTCCGCCACTCGCCTCTTCAGCTTTGCCTGCATCTTCATCCTGCCAGCACCACCAACTCGGCCCAGGCCTGGAGAGAAGCCATGTTATGTGGAACAGCAGTCTCTCTTTTGTACAGATACTCTGGAAACGTTCTTGTGGAACAATAAATGATTTGGCAACAAACCAAAAATCTTGGCCTTCTGCGCTTTCTTGTTGAATGTGGGTTTTCATGAATGTGCCTCCATCTGGTGAAAGCCTTATGTGGGTGATAAAAAATGAGCACAAGACACAACAGTCCAGTATTAAACGCTGTTCAGGACAGTTCTATATGGGATAAAGGTTGTGTGATGTGGAAGCTGAGAGTGGCAGAAGAAATGGTAACTGACTTTGCCCCCTTTACCATAGCAGTGTAAATTATAAAAATAAAAAAAAATCACATTTGCCTGCCTGAAACGCATTGTTCTGTGAACTTACTGTTTGAGGCTTAATTAACTCAAATTTTAAGGATGCTATGTTGCCATCTTAAGATTGAACAATTTTTTTTTCAGGCAGACCTAGGGGTGGGTTCATGAAAGCTTTCCTAATATAAGCACGAAGTTCATAATGTTCTTAAATTCTTAAAAAAAAAAATTGGTTCACAAATTCTCAAGTGTTTTGAGGACAGTAAAATAAAAGTAAAGCAAAATCAAAAGCTGGTGGAAGAAACAACAAATGCTCTGGATTGATTGCCAAGCTCAGAAGATGTAAGATGAAAATATTTAAAGCCTTTTTTCTTAGACATTTTTAAATTTGTCTTTAAGAGAAAGGTTAAATGAAAAATCTTAAGCTTTTGAAGAATCAATTGATCTCATCTCTGAAGTATGTAGGTGAGAAATAAATAATAATAAGATTTTGTTTCTTAAAACTGGTGAATATGGACCCAGGTTTTTAACACTTGGGACTGTTTATTTTTTTTGCTGTTAAAATATAAGTAGATTAATTGGAAATAATATAGTATATGCAGAGTTTTACTTTAAGAAAACATAAAATAACACATTCATTGCTGATGTAATGCAAAGTTAATTTGAATACTGTGTGTTGATAAAAACATTTAGGAATGTTATTAGAATTCATGTGAGATGTTATGAATGTTATGCAGATACCCTTCATGTAAATCGTGTCAGGATCCAGTGCTTGCAGGCCAAAACACTGCAGACTTCAGCACATTGCTTTAAGCTCACCTAATCCAGTTCTTCAGCTAATCAGCAATGACTTCATGAACTGAATTCAGAGCGTTAGATGAGAGTAAACACTAATATCCACAGCACTTTGGTCAGGAAGGTCCCCAGTTTGACATGCGTGATGTAGAGCTTTGCATGTGAGAAAGAATGTGGGAAATCAAGACTCATAAGGGTAACACATCCTCTGGGAGAGACTGTAGTGGAATTATGCAGTACGAGTAATGCAAGTTTACAAATAACAAACACACTTGTACAGGCTGTACAGAAGAAAGGTAGAGGGTGATGAAAGAAAAAAAATCTGGTGTACAGATTTTGTCAGACGTACAGAATGTACAGACTGGCCACTTGACTAAGTACACCTTTGTATCTACATTGTCCATTTTATCAGCTCCACTTACCACACAGGTGCACTTTGTAGTTCTACAGTTACAGACTGTCGTCCATTTGTTTCTCTGCATGCATTGTATTTGGGTGGTAGGTCATTCTCAGCACTGCAGTGACACTTGGACGTGGTGTTGTGTGTTGGTGTGTGTTGCGCTGGTACAAGTGGATCAGACACAGCAGTGCTGCTGGAGTTTTTAAACACTCCACTTACTGTCCACTCTATTAGAAATTCCTACCTTATTGGTCCACCTTTTAGATGTAAAGTCCAGGACAATAGCTTACCTGTTACTGCACAGTTTGTGTTGGTCAGTCCAGCAGTGACACTAAGGTGTTTAAAAATTCCAGCAGCACTGCTGTGTCTGATCCACTCAGACCAGCTCAACACATATTAACACACCACTACTATGTCAGTGTCACTGCAGTGCTGAGAATGATCCACCACCCAAATAATACCTGCTCCTGGTACCTGACCGTTGAAGAAGAGGGTATCTATCTATCGATCACTGCTGTCGGGACAAAACCTTGTATCTTACTTTTTTTTCAGTTTTTGACATTATTTGAAAACACGTCTTGCCCTTTTACAGTCTGTGTAAATGTCATGATGAATGGACCAAAAGAATTGGCCCAAAATGACCTGGAAAAAAGTCTGGTCCCATTGGCTTATGGATATATATATATATATATATATATATATATATATATATATATATATATAAAGAGCTGCTTGAAAGTTTGCGAACCCTTTAGCATCTGGGCATATGTTTGACCTAAACTGATATCTTCATATCTTCATTCAATAGATATAAAAATAGATACAGAGAACTTGAAACTAATAACAAAAAATCATATAGATTTTCATTCATTTATTGAACAAAGTGATCCAATATTATATATGTTGGTTGGCAAAAGTGTGTGAATCTCTAGAATTATCCCTTTGATAATAGGTGATGATTAGGATCAGGAGGTTCAATCAATTGGATGACAATCAGGTGTGGCTGACTCTACCCTATTTAAAAAAACATATAATTTTTCACCATCAAAGTCTGGTCTTTACCACATACAGCATGTCTCAGTCAAATGAGATTTCACAGGACCTCAGAAAAACTTTTACTAATGTTCATTATGCTGGAAGAGGTTCCAAAACAATTTCTGAAGAGTTTGAACACTGATCCACTGTCAGGCAGATTCGTGTACAAATGGGGTAAATTCAACATCTTTGTTACTCTTCCACGGAGTGGTCATCCAACAAAAATGACTCCAAGAGTAAGGCATGTAATATTCTGGGAGATCACAGAGGCCTCTTTAACATTGACTAATGTCAGTGTCCATGAGACTTTAATCTAGCAAACACTGAAGAGGAAGAGTGCATATGGAATGATAGCATGGAGAAAGTGTCAACTCTCTCAAAACATTGCAGCCTGTTTAAAGTTTCCTAAAGACCACTTGAGCCAGAAGACTATTGAAATAAGGTCATGTGGACGAATAAGGCAAAAATAGATCTTTAAGGGTGTTTGGCAAAAAACAAACATTGCATTTCAGCAGAAGAAGCTCATCTCAAATGTGAAACACAGTGGTGGCAGTATCAAAGTTTGGGCTGTTTTGCTGGCATTGGACCAGGACAACTTGCCATCACTTGAAGGAGCTATAAATTCTGCATTATATCAAGAAACTCTACAGGCGAATGTTCAGGCATCCATCCATGAACAGAATCTCAACAGAAGGTGGGTCCTGCAAAAAGACAACAACCCCTACAAACAACAGTCTACAAAAAATGGTTGAAGCAGAAGAAGTGTTGCATTTAATTTCTCCAGAAGTCAATTGTAAAGATGTAAACAAAGTCATTCATGGTGCTTTGATGTGAAATGCTCTGTTCTAGACAAGCATATCAAGTCAGAATTGTTAACAGTGGTGGTGATAGGAACCAGACCTCTGAAAAGGTTAATGCCTCTAAAAGTGACATCACAAAATGTTTTTTTACATGAAATAGTTATGAATACACTGTGAAGATACTGTTCAATTATAGTTTTGAGATAAATGTTTGGGCTACAATTTTAATTACTTTTTAAAATCCAGTAATGGTGGGAAGATGCATGTAGGGTGTTATAAGGCAAAGTAGTAGTATTAGTAGCTATTATATACATATATATTTAAAATTAGTGGAGCTATTTTTTTCATTTAAACATAGAAGTAAACAACAAAAACTTTTAGAATCTTAAAAAAAGGTTATGGCTATTAAAATGAAGTTTTAAATTCTGCACTATATCTAGATTACTATGCAAATTTGTGAAATTGACAATGATAAGGCCTTTTTAAAATTTTTTTTGTCTTAATTCCTTCCATTAAAACACATGTTTATATGCAGAGGTCATCAGGCATTATCTGTTCACAAATGACTCAAAAGGGACGTGATGGCAGGCTGTTAAAATTTCTGCATTTTTTTAATGAGACCAAAAGAAATGGCACTGAAACTTGCAGTGTTTACATAAAACAACTTTGCATCTTTGTTTTCAGCTGGAGGGTTCAGAAGAAAGAGAGAGTGCAGATATATATGCCTTTAAAACATTCCTGTGACTTTGCAGCCGGAAATGCTTTTTCATGTCTCTCTTTAATAAATGTTTGCAGAAAGTATATATATAAATAAGAGTAATGCTGAATGTTTTATGTGAAATGTAAATATTTGACCCTTTTTTCAAACGCAAACCATTTACACACAGGGTCTTTACTGGCTAGAAATTTAATTAAAAATTGACATTGTGGTAATAAACAGTTGCTCTCCTGAACTGAAATGTTTCTTGTAATTTTTGGCACCTGTAGAACTTACTCTTAGTCATACTTCAGTTCTTGCCTCCTGAGAAAAATGGAGAAAGTAACTTTCGAAATGACCCAAACTGCCACCTGCCAGTTCTTCTGTTTACAGAGTCCACAACATCAGTGTTCTTTGGTGAGTCCTGTACTAAGGACACTACAGCACCTGCACTATTGTTATTAAGATTCAGTTGCCAGTACCTGTGTTCATCGTCCCATGTACCAAGGAGCTCCTTCATCTCCGGTGGTGCATTTTCTCTGAGATATTGCCAAGCCCTTTTCCCACTGTAGTCCATGGCATCTATGTTAGCACCGAACGCTCCCACTAAAATCTTCACCACCATGTACTGGCTGTGCATGGCGGCAACGTGGAGAGGTGTAAAACCCCCACTACCTTTTATGTTCACGTTCACCGGGGAACCTTCTTTTTCAGCGCGTTTCAGAAGTTTTATCAACGTCTCATGTTTCCCGTTCTTGGCCAGCCAGTGGAGAGCCGTATAACCACTTATAAAGTCCCTTCTGGTCAGCAAACTGGGGTCTTCAGAGAGAAACTCCTCCATGGTGTCATAGTTCCCATCCACCACAGACAGCATCCATGCATGCTCCAAGGGGTCCAAAGCCCAAAATGCTCCACTGCTAGTGTCCTCCAAGCTGTATCCTCCTGCGTCCTCCCCATCCCTCGACCACTGGCTATCACCTTTGAGGGACAATATACTAGACAGTCCAGTGTGTGACTTATAGTTCAAAAATAAGTCCTTCAGGTACTTTTTTCGCATGGCAGGGGTGAGAGAGCCTTTCTCTTGAGCTTCTGGTGCTCCTTGAAGTTCAGGCTGCTTTTGCAGTCTGGACCTACGCATGCGAGTCAGACTCCCTTCACTTACAGTATAACTCGAGATTCTACGTTCAGAAAGTTTTTGCCCCCTTGAAAGGAGATCACCTCCACCTATCTGAGAATCTGGTTGAGGTTCAGAGCTGACGGAGCTGCTTTCTGACAGCATTTGGCTGGTGCTGTCATTCATGCTGTTTATACTGCCTGGGTTATCCTCCATTGTTTAGATAAACACTGAACATTCACACGACCAAGAGAGTCTCCTCTTCAACATGCCCCATTCTCTGAAGTCTCTACAGGACACAGATATAATTAGACAAACCCAAATGTGTTGATGGCAAAAAGAGATAGGACAGTTTGGTCTCTTACGAGTTGTCTCTTCCTTGTTTTTTAAACTGTGTTGTTCCTCTTTTTTAGCCGTTTTGAAACCACTGTACAACTGTGCCTATTACTGTTATACTACATATAATACGTCTCACATGCTGTTATACTGTAATAACTATATTATAGCCTACAGACTTTTACAATCTAATATTTAGATAGAAGCAATAATGTCGCTGTTTTGTGTTCCCACAGAGTCTGCTGGCGTTTTATGCTACGTCCTATTACTTGTATTACTACTACTGTGGTTTTTTTTCGCTACGAAACAGTTTCTAACGCAAAGACACATAATCTATAGCGGAGGTCTGTTAGTAAGTGAAGCGAAGCGCTGCAGGCTCACCTGTTATTAACGTTCATCGGTGCTCAGGGCAGCACTGCTCTCCAGAAGGCATGTCCAAACGCTGTTTTACTCCAAAATAGTTTTACTTTCAATGAATCCACATCGTAGAAAATACATGACTTCACGAAAGAGCTCTCAACCACACGAGCGCATTTTCTCCCTTCAAAAGCAGCAACGTCCCGAAGTTGTTTCCGCCAAACGCGCCACCCCTTACGAGTACAAGTTACTGATTCAAAGTTCAAGTCAAATATCTCTAACCAGTCAGCAGTAAGACTCTCTCTGGAGCATGTGACCCTTCAGATTAGCCAGGGTTTGGCCGCTGAGGAGCCGTTCATCAGTCACTAATTAATTATGCAAACTGGAAGATTTACAGCTGCACTATGGGTCCCGTTCAGAGATTTAAAGGGGAATTCAGAGCGGTTTGATGTGAAATGCTCGCCTTAAGAATTATATCAATAAAACCTTACAGAGTCATTATACGAAATGCTTATGAATTATACACTGCCCGTTGCCTGAGAGCTTGTTTTACAGTAGTTTTGAGAGAAAACTACGAAAAATCGGTGGAATTCCCCTTCAAGTGTGGGTGGGTGGTGGAGGCGGATGAAAGGGTGCCATTTGAATCCTCAACAGTCAATATATAAGAGACAAAAATCTGCTAATATGTATTCTTCAAGCTTACATATGTATATATATATATATATATATATATATATATATATATATATATATATATATATACACACACACCGATCAGGCATAACATTATGACCACATCCTTGTTTCTATGATCATTGTCCATTTTATCAGCTCCACTTACTATATAGGTAGTTCTACAATTACAGACTATAGTCCATCTGTTTCTCTGCATATTTTGTTAGCCCCCTTTTACCCTGTTCTTCAGGGGTCAGGACCCCCATGGACCCTCACAGAGCAGGTACTATTTGGTTGGTGGATCATTCTCAGCACTGCAGTAACACTGACGTGGTGTTGGTGTGTTAGTGTGTGTTGTGCTGGTACGAGTGGATTAGACACAGCAGTGCTGCTGGAGTTTTTAAACACTGTGTCCACTCACTGTCCACTCTATTACATGCTCCTACCTTATCCGTCCACCTTGTAGATATAAAGTCACAGACGATAGCTCATCTCCTGCTGCACAGTTTGTGTTGGTCATACTCTAGTCCTTCATCAGTGGTCACAGGACGCTGCCCACAGGACGCTGTTTGGTTGGTGGACTATTCTCAGTCCAGCAGTGACACTGAGATGTTTAAAAACTCCAGCAGCACTGCTGTGTCTGATCCACTCAGACCAGCGCAACACACACTAACACCAACACCACGTCAGTGTTACTGCAGTGCTGAGAATGATCTACCACCCAAATAGTACCTGCTCTGTGAGGGTCCATGGGTGTCCTGACCACTGATGAACAGGGTAAAAGGGGGCTAACAAAGTATGCAGAGAAACAGATGGACTACAGTCTGTAATTGTAGAACTACAAAGTGCACCTATAGAGTAAGTGGAGCTGATAAAATGTACAATGAGCGTAGAAACAAGGATGTGGTCATAATGTTATTCCATGATTGGTATATATACATACATATGAAGGCAGATGAGCAAATACTTCTGGCAATATATATATACTATGCATATGAACTTGAGTGACATCCCATTCTTAATCCATACGGTGTAATATAATGTCGGCCCACCCTTTGCAGCTATAACAGCTTCAACTCTTCTGGTAAGGCTTTCTACAAGGTTTAGGAGTGTGTTTATGGGAATTTTTGACCATTCTTCCAGAAGCGCATTTGTCAGGTCAGAGACTGATGTTGGACGAGAAGGCCTGGCTCGCAGTCTCTGCTCTAATTCATCCCAAAGGTGTCCTATCGGGTTGAGGTCAGGACTTCGTGCAGGCCTGTCAAGTTCTTCCACACCAAACTCACTCAACCATGTCTTTATGGACCTTGCTTTGTGCACTGGTGTGCAGTCATGTTGGAACAGGAAGGGACCATCCCCAAACTATTCCTACAAAGTTGGGAGCATGAAATTGTCCAAAATCTCTTGGTACGCTGAAGTATTAAGAGTTCCTTTCACTGGAACTAAGGGGCCGAGCCCAACTCCTGAAAAACAACCCCACACCATAATCCCCCTTCCACCAAACTTTACACTTGGCACAATGCAGTCAGACAAGTACCGTTCTTCTGGCAACCGCCAAACCCAGACTCGTCCATCGGATTGCCAGATGGAGAAGCGTAATTGGTCACTCCAGAGAACACATCTCCACTGCTCTAGAGTCCAGTGGCGGCGCTTTACACCACTGCATTCGACACTTTGCATTGCACTTGGTGATGAAAGGCTTGGATGCAGCTGCTTGACCATGGAAACCCATTCCATGAAGCTCTCTACGCACTGTTCTTGAGCTAATCTGAAGGCCACATGAAGTTTGGAGGTCTGTAGCGATTGACTCTGCAGAAAGTTGGCGACCTCTGCGCACTATGCGCCTCAGCATCCGCTGAGCCCGCTCTGTCATTTTACGTGGCCTACCACTTCGTGGCTGAGTTGCTGTTGTTCCCAATCGCTTCCACTTTGTTATACTACCACTGACAGTTGACTGTGGAATATTTAGTAGCGAGGAAATTTCACGACTGGACTTGTAGCACAGGTGGCATCCTATCACGGTACCACGCTGGAATTCATTGAGCTCCTGAGAGACGACCCATTCTTTCTACATCTTCTTCTGTGTCTACAACACGAATACAGCCATTTTATTTACTATCCAAAACCACCAGTAAACCTACTTATGTTTTTACATATTATGTTGATGATGATAAAATAGGGGTAAATCTGAAAAAGTTTTCTTTGGGGACTATTTTGAACACCCTTTTTTATCCCTCCACCATAAATGGATTAAAATAAACTGATTAATATACGTTTTAAACCAAAACTTTATCACAAAACTACTGTAAAACAATGTCTCAGATATCAGGAAATGTATTCATAACCATTTTATGTAATAAGGTTTTGTGGGGAGCTTTTAGGCATTAATCTTTTCAGATGTCTGGTGTCTATCACTCAGCAAGTTTCTCTAGAATGAAGCTTTTCGCTCTAAAACTCTCTGAATGATTTTGTTTACATGTTAACCATGTAATTAGGTAGAAAATTTTGAGAAAATGGTGGAGTTCTCCTTTAACCCAAACCACACTGGCACTACTATCACTCAGACACCGAGAAATTATATGCAAATAATGAATAGCCTACGATCTGATTGAAAACTGTCAGTCAATGCCAGTCTTTTAACAATCTCTGACGGTTCATTTCCAGAGCCACATCTCACTTACTCATCCAATTTAACTGTTACCGTATCGTTTAAAATGTTCTCTAAAGCTAAAATGCTCGTTAACGTCGTTTTTTAACGGAGAGTGAACCATTTTAAGAGTGATGGGGGAATAAATAAGAAGTTACACCCATTTCTTAGAGATTAGTTGTTTTTTCTGGAATTGTTTAGTCATGAGCAACATATAACTGTTGTTCAAAACCTTATCCAAAGTGAATTTTAAATGTAGAACTCGGTCTAGGCACGTGTCGATGTTGAATTTTAGTACAACACCCCCGTGTTAAGCTCCTCTTTCCCCTTGCCTCTCTGCTGTGTGAGCTCGGCTGTTTCCTCTTCGAGCGTTTTCAGCCAGAGAGGCGAACCATGGCGGCTACTGAGATCGCGAGACAAGCGGTAAGTCAGCTCTTAGTCTTAAACATATAAATCGCTGTAAATGTCTACAGTAAACGCTTATTAGCACAGCGAACAAGAGCTTCGCAACACTGCGGCCTATTTGAGGTAACAAGTCAGCGTTTTTTCAGTTTCCACTCATGCACATTAAACCGAATGTGGGTTAGGTTAGTTAGGCTGGCTGCAGCGCGGTGTAGATAAGCATTACTGATCAATTTAACAGTAAAACAGACAGTAGATTATACTACACAGACCTACACGGACTGTAAATACGATTCGCTTTGTATTTTAGTTCCGTACAGTCTGATATTTTTCGGGTTGGACTGCCGCTCTCCTCACATGTTGATGGTTCCGGAGCCTGTCTATTTTGATGTCCGCCGGCTCGAAGTGACTAATGTAACGTTTCCACTAACCCAGTTCTGGCCTAGAAATTTCAGTCGCTGAAACATGAATTCTCTCTCATATGCTGCATATGTGTGTATTCTTAAATGGTGTCCTCCACCGACATGTAAAGGAAGAACCACCCATGTCGTGCTCGCCTGGCACCGTTATTTTATTGTTTGACCATCCTGTGTCCCACTAGCTCAATGGGCGTTGTCTACTACGAAGAATTTGCCGTAGAGAGTGATTGAAAGAGAAAAATAAGGATCTTTTCCTCATAATCTTTCAAACGTAGTCTAATTGTGTTGTCGAGATTTGAGCACTGCTTTATACTCATATGCCAGACGGCTGAAGAGGGTGCTCTCATTTTCCCTTCACTCTAAATGTATATATTCTCTCACTGGCACACTACGGTGTGGCAGTGTTTCCTAAATAGCACTCTTTTTCATTCCTCCATAAATGGAGAATGAAAAGGAGTGCTATTAATTGATACCGTAGACTTTCCCATTGGTCTCCATTCAGCCGTGCTTTTGCACATGTGGAGCAGATGGTGGAGTGTTGGTTCTGTCAATAAGATGTTTTGTTCTTGGTTGTTTGTTGTCAGGCTAAAGCAAACTTTAGCATCTTATTGTTAACTATTGCTCAATAACCAGATGTCTGTACTGATCTGCTGTTTTAGAAGACTTTAATGAAAATGAAATCTTAAATACAGTTTTGACACCTTTTATTGAGCTTTAGTACTTATGCGGTATATTAGCATTCACATATTACGGTATAAACCATGTGATGGTGCATTGCTAAACAAGAAAATGCGGCAATCGGTGTGCACAGAACAGTGTTTTGCCAGCTGTTAAACATGAGCCAAATCCAGAGAGAACACTGTTATTTTCTTTCCAAAGGTTTGGGTTAATGTAAACTTAAGGGGCACAGTTTACATTAGCTGTGCGCCCTGGTCCTGACTAAAAGTTTGTGATGTGAGTGTGATTTTTTTAGACTATATATTGAATGTGTTTTCTGTGGAATTGCAGTAACACATTAGATATGACAGCTGGTGGCTACGGTGTTTCCTGTTAGGGTTTGAGAAGGCCAGGTGGCAGGCCTGCCTGAACAGTGACAGAAAATGCTGAAATACAGCCTGGTCAAGAGCAGACCAAACATACACTAGATGTAGTTTGTAAATCAGTTCTGTATTTCCATGGTTCTTGTTTAATTTGCACAAACGTTTCATCATAGGCATAAGCATTGCTAGTTTAGTGAAAACATTAACTGTGCAGTTGCAGTAGACAGTGTGTCATCTGTAAAATGCGGTTTTAAACGGTTGCAGTTAGACAGGAAAGAGGAAGTGTACAATTCACTACCTGATCTGCACCTCTCTTAGTTTTTCACCAGCCACTGAACGTAGGAGGAAAAGAACATGACCAAAAAAAGTAAAATCATGATGTTTTGTATTCCCCATAATTACACTGTAATAGATCATGTAAGTTATGTTGGCACATGATATGTTACACAAATGTCCCCATACAATTTGGGTCTTAAACACCTATAACCAGTAGAGAATACATTTTTTTCAGACTTGACCCAATATGTTTCATTTGCTTGCTCATGCAGTCATAATGCTAAGGATTGCTAAAGAAGATATAAATGCCATAATCAAATATCCTTAATGAATATTGTTCTGGTCATTGGTTTTCAGGGAGAGGGTGTACGTGCTGTCCCACTCTCTGGCCATGTTGGCTTTGACAGCATGCCGGACCAGCTGGTCAACAAGTCTGTTAACCATGGCTTCTGCTTCAACATCCTCTGTGTCGGTGAGTGTGTCATGTGGGAGCTCCCTTCCACTCCCTCGAGCAAAAATCTCTAACTATTCACTTCAGAATGCATACTGATCCCCTCCTTTGACCCACTTACTGTATATGGGTTGGCTGGTCAAGTCCACTTGCTGTATTTTATGGTATTGTTCAGGCTTCACTTACAACTTAGATAAAAACAAAATTATCTTATTATTTCTTCTGCTTTTTTAACAGTGGACACTGATATTTTAGTGACGTTTTGAACACTATTGTATTCATGCTTATGAATGTTACATCATAGACCAGTAAATGAATTTCGTGTGGCTGACCTGAAATTAGCGGTCTGCATTCCAGAGGTATATGCATATGACTATAAACACAACCTTCTAGTTTGATATGTGGGACAGAGAATAGTGTGAATTTTGGTTCACATTCATTGTGGCAATTGCTGGGAAAAAAAACTACTCAGTGTGATCTGGCACCATGAAGTAAACTTGCTATAGTAAGTTGTACTCATTTTCACACTGATTAGTATGTGCAAGCAGTGTTTCCCATAGGATTTTTTCAGCAGCGGTAACAGGCCAAACCCCCCGGAAACCCAGTTAACCACAGGGAAGGAAAAAAGGGAGTTTACTCAAGCCTTAGTCTTTTAGGTGATAAGAGGCTAAAAATATCAGAGCACAAAAATGTATGCACCAAAAACAAGTAGTGGAATGCATTTGAAAAAAGGTTTTATTATTCAGAAATAGCTGAGCAAAAGCTGTAGTTTTCGTGTGGGATAAGTAAAGTTAACAAAGGCTGGTACACTAACTGTTACAATGTTGGATGCTGGTGAGGGCTCGTCTTTTGCACAAGGTATTTTCTCCTCAGTGGATGATGTGCCAACATGTTGAGAAACATATTGTCACTGTTTCTGGACCTGGCTTACATTAGCTAGAACAGTTAGCCTAGGTAGCAATAAAGCCGCGCTCCGTCTGCCTTCGGAGTGGTTGGTAAGAATGGTTGGAGATGGGAGATTTTTCATAGATTTACTGTATATCAGTGCAAAATAAATTGTGATAGTGAATTGCATTGTGGAAGTATGCATTTTATGGAAAACGTCAAAATGAAAAATAATTATTCTCATTCAAAGTATGTATATGTGTTAGACGTTGTGAATGCCTTGATTCATCAGAACTCCTAGGACATCTGTCAAAACAATCATTTGAAATGAAAAATTCTGTTGTTAAAGTGAGGTAATTTTGCTAGTGTGATATCTTTATTGTAGACTTCAGTATTGCAATGTTGATGAATGTGCAATTTATTGTGCAGCCCTAGCCTCTAGCCATAGCCAGTGTTTGTTTTGTTTGAAGAGTCTTCAGAGTGGCCACAGATATCTGATGGCTGATGTTTTCCCTCTACAGAAGACAGGAAGAGTCTTCTAGCTCCACTCCCCGTTTTTAGCCTCAAAAATCTGATGGCAGTATTTTCTTTTAACAAATAAATCACAAAATGTAAACCAGTGTAAACCAGCCTGTTATTATGGTATTATTAATGTGAGATAATAAGCAGAGCCCATAAACCATTAGAAGCTGAAAATAAAATCATTTGAAACTGAAAGGCTGTGTGCCAGCACCATGAGTAAACACAGCAGAAATCTGAGACCTCATGTCTATGGTTTCATTAGGGCTGTAATTTGTCCGTTATAACTTGTAATTTTGGACAATTTGTAAGGGGATGTTGATCCCCACTGATGTTTAGAGGAGTTCTTTGTGCAGTTTTGGTATTCAGCCAATAGCAATGTCCCCCACTGCCAAATCCTTCAGAGGAGAGGATCACAGAAGACTCTTAGGAGTTCTTGGGAATTAGGAGAGGAAAAGCCACCTTGAAACAGAGCTGTCTCGTCTTCCTCTACATTTACATTTGTGTATACTGCAAACCGCATCCTGTGTGAACAGAAATGCTTTGTCTGTCACACTCTGCTTATGAAGAGAAGAGGAAAGGCTTGTGAATCAGTGAGCACACAGTTTCTACTCCGTTGGTTTGTCAGTATGGGTCCGATGATCGATGAGTCAGGCCTCAGCTGCCATTTTCTAATCGCTCTCCTGATGATACCAATTTAATCCAGGCACTCAGCTTTCAGATCGTGTTTTAACCCCAACAGCAGCAGTACAATGTCACCGTTTGGGCAGCCGCTGTAGATTTGAAAGAAAACTTCCTATTTTACTCTGAGGGGAAGAAGCTTTTCTCTTGTGCCGGCAGCCGAGGGGCCCATGGGAAGGCGCTCTGCAAGCTAAATATATGAAGAAGTGGCCAATGAGAGCCATGTATATAATTAACATTCTGGTGGCGTAGCATGATAAGCCTTTTCACTTCTTTCGTGGCTGTCAGGAGTGGAGGAATTAAAGCCATAGGCTGACTGAAAAAGCTTTGACTGTATGGATTTGTTTATGCTTGTACTTAACAGTAACAGAGGCATAATAATAAACTGAGTGATGTTACTATTTTAATAAAAATACTAAACTTTTCATACACAGAGCAGCTCAAAGTGCTTTACAGTGTAATAGGAAAACTGAGTAATAAAAGCGTGTTTGAGGAAATATCAATATGTTGAAATAACTTCAGTAAGGGACGTGAAGCAATAATGCTTTTAGTTTGTTTTGTTCCAGTGAATTGAAATGCACTGATATATCAGATGTCCTACTAAAGATTCAGATCAAAACTAATCAAAACCATTTACTTCATATATGATTTTTTTGGGTGTAGGAGAGACAGGGTTGGGGAAGTCCACTCTTATGGACACTCTGTTTAACACCAAGTTTGAGGGTGAACCAACACAGCACAACCAGCCAGGAGTGCAGCTCAAGTCCAACACGTACGAGCTGCAGGAGAGCAACGTGCGCCTCAAGCTCACCATTGTGAACACAGTTGGCTTTGGAGACCAGATCAACAAAGAGGACAGGTAAGAACTAGCTTAATTACATTTCTGCAGCCTACAAGATGTTTTGGATTACAGCGAATAATTGAGAATATGTGTTAAGAGTTGTGTCTTGTAAAAGATTTACTCCCAGTAAAGAATGAACTTGTGGTGAACTTGTGTCAACAGAACATCACATTCTTCTCAAAATCATACTTTAGCCACAGTTCCTTCTTCCACTTGACTGAACTTTCTCATTTGTTTTTTTCTTTCATAGCCGTCATCATTATTTGATTGCTTTTAGATGCCAGCATTACAACTAGCACTACAGCTATATTTTAACATGAAGAAATGCTTGAAATACTAGAGAAAAGTTTGCCCTTGCCATCATGTTAACTTTTGTGGTGTTAAAGTTAACATTACATTTTGTGAATTCTGACAAATCTGATTTGATGCAAGAAGTTCAGCATCTGACCAACACAGTTTCTGAATCTTGCATGGAAGGGTGAAGAAGTAGTTGAGTTTTTAGTGGCCAAAAGGTGAAATGTAGCCAGGGGCTCTGGGCAATAGGCAATGTTGACCCCTGCTAAAGAGCATTTGAGGAATAGGTTCATCTGAACCTTTTCATTTTCTGTTATGGGTAGTGTGACTATAAGCCTGTTGTAGTTTGTGACAGACCCTCCCTGAGGATTTATGTCATGGTTATACGGTACATTGCAAGCCTGATGTCTGTGGGAAAATGCATTGCTTGGTGCTTTTCTGTAAGGTAACACTCACGTAAAGAAAAGTTCCCATTGTCTCAGTCTTTTTTCATTGTCATGTGACACCTTAGTGTACATTTCTCCTGAAACATCAGAGAAAGGATGACGTCATAATGCTTGTTGTGCCTGAAGGTAAGGGTGTGCAGTTATGGGTCCCTTCACAGGTCACGGTTGATGTCTCCTTTTGGTCTTTGGAATTCCTTGCATCTTTTAGTTCAAGGTATATTTCAATCAGGGTTAGAACATAAAAAGGGTAAAAGTGTAAACAGGCAGACTGTTTTTATCCTTAGCCAGCAGTGGGAGCAGTATTAGGATGAGATCACAGACCTGGATCACCCAGAACAGACTGGTGCTATTGAAGCGGCTCCATCCAAATAGCAGCAGTCATTTGTTATACAGCTGTGCTGTGTGTTGATTTCTAGTCCACACATTCATCTCTTTCATATTTATTTCTCTACTTTCTGTTTCATTACTTCACATTTGTTCTGTTTACAGTTACAAACCTATTGTGGAGTTCATCGACACTCAGTTTGAAGCTTACCTTCAGGAAGAGCTGAAAATCAAACGCACCCTCCACAACTATCATGACTCACGCATCCATGCCTGCCTGTACTTCATCGCCCCCACTGGACACTCCTTAAAGTCCCTGGACTTGGTGACCATGAAGAAATTGGACAGCAAGGTTAGTGCACGGTTTACATCAGTACAGTTGACCCTCACTGTTAATTCTGTGCTCAGTTTTGTTAATGGGATTGTGCTGATATCAAGGTGTCCAATTGGGCAGCAACTGAGGTGGAATTTGTCATTTTCTCATCAGTTTCTTGTGCATTGAATACCGAATGCTCAAGGCTGTGCAGGCTGGATGATGCAAATCTATGGCATACAATGCAAATATAGCATATCAAGTGAGGCCCCACTGAAAAGTATAAAATAAATCAAACTTAGACTTAGAGCTGGGCGATATGGCCAAAAATGTTATCACGATAAACAAAATTCATATCGTTCAATATCGATACATACTGCGATAAATGTCAAATCATTATTTCTTTCAAGTTTGAAGGCTGATTTTTGCTCCTGGGTGGTTAACTGCTGTTTTAAACTATGCTTTATGGTCGGATCATGACAAACACTCGCCAAACAGTGGAACATTTCACAGATCTGTCGTGGGAGAGTGGGAGAAAGAGCTGTTTTTACCAGCTGGAAAAGCATGGCTATTTTGTATAGTCATAATTTAAGAAAGAAAACAGATTATTTTAGCTGGTGACGAGCGCTCGGCTACCCCGCTACAAATGACATCACAGTATTCAGACACCAGCTAGCGACAACTGGATTTCTCTATACTATCGTAGTAGTTTAAGGGGTGAACCGCAAAATATCAACGCCAGACAAACAGAGTCCTCCTTTTAGGTACGTTTAAACTGAAAGCGGTGCTTTTGTGTCGTGTTTGATCCACAGTATCATCAGTTCTCCATGTTGTGCAGTGACGGAGCGCTGCTTCAAGTTAGCCAGCTGCTAAAAACAGCTAGCCTGGAAAACTAGCACTCTCCCGCTCTCCAACACCTCACAGCTTCCTCAGTTTACTGCGCTCAAACAGGGAATGTATAACTCCGCGTTTCAGGTGTTGCTAAAGACTCATCCTACTCGTGGCCCTCTCCCTTTCTAATCATGTAGAAAAACTCGGAAGTGCGCCCTCTCCTGGCGACAGCAGAGTAGTGTCGCTTTCCTTGCAGTAGAAAACGCCACCAAGGCTTTCGCTGAACGTGGAAGTGTGAGAATGGTGTATTATATCGAACATTTCTCGAACATGTCATATCGCTCTATCGAGGAAAAGTTATATCGCAATAATTATCGTTATCGTTTTATCGCCCAGCCCTACTCAGACTACCTCATGAATTGGTCTGATTGCCTTTGCATTTTGGTTTATGGCTAAAGAACCTTGAGGTGTATCGTGTATACACAGCCACAGTCTTCCAGTACTTAAATGGAAAAAAAACAACTACTCAGGACAATGGCTGCTAATGCTACGCATGCACGCATGTAACAAAGAGTTAAACTCTCTACCCAAATTGAAATGACTGTAACGCAGACTCAGGTGGACTTATTGCTTTTATGAAACAGTGACAATAAATACAATTCTAAAAAATCCATTTCCAAGTTGGGACAGTAGGAAAGTTCAATCAGACAGCAATGAGTTGCAGATGCTTTTTGATGTGTATTTATGACAACAGAACAAAGACAAGATATTTAATGTTTCAGCTAATTAAGTTTGTTGTTTTTAGGCCGACGCTTATTCTAAACGTGATGTTAGCAACATGTTCCAAACATGTTTTCCACTGTGTTGCATCACATTTCCCTTTAATCAGTAATTACTTGGGAACTGAGGGCACCAGTTTTTGTAAGTGGAATTTTATCCCATTTTTGCTTGATATAACATATTGTATATTGTATATTGTGCTTCACCAGCCATTTTCGATGGGAGATGGGTTGGGACTGCAGGCAGGCCAGTCTAGCACCTACATTCTGTTACTGCAAAGCCGCACCGTAGTAACACGTGCAGAATGTGGCTTGTCATATTGTCTTGCTGAAACAAGCAGGAAAAACAAAAACACACAATAAAGTTATCTAGATGGCAGCATGTGTTGCTCCAAAATGCATATGAACCTATCAGCATCAATGGTGCCTTCACAGAAGGTACTCATGCCACTGGCACCAACACATCCCCATACCTTGACAGAGTCGCACATTATTTTAAAAAACAGGTGGCCTTGTCAGACCACAGCACATTTATCCAATTTTTGTTAGTCCGTCTTAGATGAGCTTTGGCCCAGAGAAGTTGGTGGTGTTTCTGGATGTTGTTGATATATGGCTTCCACTTTGTGTAGTAGAGTCTGAACTTGCATTTGTAGATGCAGTAACAAACTGTGTTTACTGACAAGGGTTTTCCAAAGTATTCCATGAGTCCATGCGTTGATATGAGCATGTCAGTTTTTAATGCAGTGCCGTCTGAGGGATCGCAGGTCATGGGCATTTAGTATTGGCTTTTGACCTTGCCCTTTACACACAGAGATTTCTCTGTATTCTTTGTTAATAATGTTATGAACTGTAGATTATAAAATCCCTAAATTCCTTGCAATCATGCATTGAGAAATGTTTCTATGTTTCTGTTTTTATAATATACAATATAATTAATACATAGTTTAAGAAAAAAAACGTTTAGATAAAAAAATATTTAATGATCAGTGTTATATATTTAATGCTTTTTTAAAGCTTGGTGCTATTGGAGTAATGGATTTGAATGTGACTCAGTCAGTCAGATCTGTTATATGAGGAACTTGAACCACGCTGTCCATAATTTGGCTTTACCCAGGTGGGGTCTGAGTTCTTAATTAGTTGTGGTTTGTACATCAGCTGGTTTCAGATTGCATCATGCTAAATGGGACCAAAAGGAGAACTAAGGTCTGTTGCAGCTGGTTCAAGTTCAGGTTCACTTAAACAGAACTGACTTTGGTTAATTTAACTGTCAAACCAGTCTGTCAGCACACAGCAAACCCAATCTGTGCTTTAAGATTATGAAGGAGCTTCTTCTTTAAACATTACAGCACAGTCATTCAAGTCACAGATTTATTGCATATTTTTTGTACTGACGTAGAACAACATTTATTTTAAAGCTATTAAACGATTAAACAAACAAAATTCTGCAGAGAAAGACCTGCCAGCAGATTGGTCTAAACGTGTCAGCCAAACATTGCTGTGCACACAAGCATACTGTAAACTGATTAAGATGAGCATGTATTTGGGGTGCTGCTCATGAAGTACATACTAATATCTATGTGTATTATGTTAGAATAGCAACTGTGTCTGCTGTCAGGCACTACAAACCCATGTACGGGTATATCAAGAATGTTAACCTTTGTGTATGCACACTATTGCTTGTATTGCTCAGAATGGATGTTATTTTTGGGAAGTAGTGAGAACTCGCTAGTAGAGTCCAGGTTGCTTGGAATAGCACCAGTGAGCAGTGTGGGTGGAAGACTTAGTGTGGGATTGGAGCACACAGTGTGTGAGCCATGAGTGGAGGCTGAATGTTTGATTAACCCTTAGCAGCAAGTCTTATTTTGCACTCGTTTTACTGTAGTATTTCATCCTACACGCTTGAAATAAGTACCTTCTGCTATCTGCTACGTATTATGTCTTACTGAACTGTTAGTTTTACAGACTAAACCATCCTTTTATTTATTCAGTATTTGATCATTTTAACCTAAAATGATTAAAAATAAATAAAATGTATCAGTGAAAATCACCACCAATTGTAGTCGTATGCACTTACATATATATATTCTATTACAGTTATACAATATATGTATCTTTGAAGCAACTGCCTCAGTCTACGCACTTTTGGGTTACAACTTAAAAGGGACTGTTGAGTTATATTAACGTAAATGAAATGCTAGATTTCCAGGCCTGATTGGGAATCAGGCTGATTCTGTAGCCCCAGGGTTATGCGAGGCATAAAAGGCAGCAGGAGTGAATTTCTGCATCTATTTTTATCTCTGCTTGGCCAGATATTCTCTGACTTTCTCAAGCTGTTCACAGAATGACTGACCTGGATAGGTGAGGAAGAGGTGTCAGATTGAGAGAAATGACAGTAGTTCTCCCTTTTAGGATTAATGTTGGAAATCCAGGAAGACTAGATCTAAACATGTACATATTTTGCTTTTATGCTTATACACTACTGTTCAAAAGTTTGGAATCGTGTTATATTAATAATTTATGTTATTTATTTAATATATGTTATTTATGTTACTTACTTATAGAGCTTAGGAACTATACACCCAAAAATCTGTTTTTAATTTTTTACCTTTATTTGATTTATTAAAACGTCATTATTTATGCTATACACGTTTCTAAGTCATCTTAGGATCATTTGCAGCTCTGTCCATTATTTTTGCCGTATCTAAAAGTTCTTAATTTGTTTACAGTTACCTTCCTCCTTATTATTTGAAAGCTATATAATTGTACAGGACTGGTTTACGGAATTCCTTTTATACATTTTATACATTTAAAACAAAATTATTATATCACTGAAATATAACAGCAATACATATTATGTTCATTGTAAAATATCTCAGGGTTTCACATCGCTGTTTGCTTCTGAATTTAATTTTGTTAATGGAAAGTGCTCACTCTGATGGATGTGTCCCTTCATTTCGTGCAGGTTAATATTATTCCCATCATTGCCAAGTCTGATGCTGTCTCAAAGAGTGAACTGGCTAAGTTCAAAATCAAGATCACCAGTGAGCTGGTCAGCAATGGAGTCCAGATCTACCAGTTCCCCACTGATGACGAGACTGTGGCAGAGATCAACTCCACAATGAACGTAAGTTGGTGATATTCATCAATCTCGCATTGTAGTGATTGCTTGCTGTTTTCAGTGTGACAAGAAAAGCATATCATTACATCACACATTCCAGATTTTAAATGCAAATGCAGAAACTTTGCAATAGATACATTTGTGGCTGCTATGCAATGTACATACTCATTTATAATTGATATTCATATTTATATATGATCATCATCAGTGGGAATGTGCGTGGGTACTTGAGCGCTGTCACATGTGCCAGTATTGAAATACAGAAATCACTTTTCGGGTATTCATCACATTTCATTATGGGAAGACAAAGAAAATATACAGACCAACAAATCAGGGAAATGCTGATTTTATGTATTAATATGACTGTAAATTGTGACAGTTTTGCTACTACGAAGTAGCAATAATGGACACATTATTAAGGACAAACTGACAAGTTGGTACATCATCCACTGAGGGGAAAGGATCTTATATGGAAAACAACAAGTCTTCATTAGCATTTAACGTTTATCGGTTACTGTTAGATCATTACTTCCTCTGAGGAGGCAGCCTCCGTTGCTCATCCAACATGAAAGCCCACTGTATCATGGCTAAGTTTGAATAATAAAAGTTTTCAAATTTTAACTCCCAGTACTATTATCTACAGAGTAAGCCCACAGCCCTATACTTCTTTTGGCCAAAATCCTTTGTCTCTGCTTTTTTTATTACTTTCTCTTTCAGCGTAGTTATATGGATATCCATTCATTAATTTATACAGACACTCAAATATCAAAATTAATCAGAATGCACATCTCTAATACATGTATAATAAAAACCTTTTTAGGTACTGTTTTGTAATCATCTGAATGTGTTTTCCTGCACTTTGGATGTGAATTATATCTTCAGGTCCCACATCCATATTTAATACTTCCGTGCTCATTTTTACAGTTTATGCTATATGTGACAGTAATAAGTACTTAAGTTTAGAAATAACCCATCTGGTTTCCAGTGCTCCACGCATTGCTTGCTGTCAGGAAATGGCAGCGCAGAGGGAGAGGAATGCATAATGAGTATGCTCTCACTGCAGGAAGTGTGGGAAAGACACACACACACACACACACACACATTGTCTATGTAATGCACAGTCAATGAATGTGTAAACTGAATACAGTCCAGTTGCCAGTGGGGCCAGTGAGGTCTTACTGCGCTAATCCTTACACAGGGTCACAAATCCAGATACTGCAGAGCAAATCTCTGTCACGGAGAAGGTATGATAACTGTTCCTCCCAGCACGGTACCGCTGGTTTTCCATTGGTGTGGCTAGAGACGTTTAGGCTTCTATCAGTGCTTCCGCAGACTGGGATGGGACTTATCTTTCATATCTTTCTCTCTGCTGCTCTAGAGGAGTTTCCTGAAAGTAAATATTGTCTTAATGAGGTGGCGGCATCATGTCTGCTTCGTGGGCTGCTTCTCCAGCCCCTGTCTCTTTAACAGCGCTCTCTTATGTTATCAAGTTGAAATAAGAGTACAGTGGCCTTCCTGTTCCAGGGTGTTTGCCTTGATGTCTCAGGGTGATGGATAATGGTTAATGAATATTGAAGGACTGACAGCATGCATGTTTATATCCTGGTTTCACATTCCTCTGTGTCAAATAAACCATTTTCTCCCTCAGATAATGCTGTATGTCTTTGGAGAAATGTTGTATGAATATACACTACCATTCAAAAGTTAGGAATCACTTGTTTTCTCTCCTGATCAAATTTTGGGGTCATTTTAATCTCGATACATTTACTGATTGGTTGTGGTCTAATTAATCCTGAAATTTTATCTTGATGACCACATTCTCAAAATCTATTGCCGCAGACGTTTTTGGGGTCAGTTTGTCTAATTTTTTGTCTTTGTATAATAGTGATCTTTGCTTTTCTACTAACTTGTACAAGAAAATCAAAGATATATGATTATGTGGGAGTTGTACAGAAAACAGTACATGTGGTTTTGAGACAAAAAAAGTATTCAAATTGAGAATTTAGACCTTTGGGGTAAGATTTACTCCCAGACATGAGGCAAAAGGCCCATTATATTATTTACTTACAGTTTCATCATAAAGACACAAAGTTGTTCTGGAGTTTCACTAAATAGCTAGCCTTACCATTACATGCGAGCTATGGCTGTCGTTTACTAGAATCAGGCAACATTTTTAGCCATCTTGCTGGAAGTGAGTTTAAATATGAGCTTTGTAGCTTGGCAGTGTTACATCCACACCTAATCTGTTTAGCCATGTGCACTAATCATTTACTACTTACCAATTAAATGTTTAAATTGAAAACCGTACGCTCAGCGTTGAAATCTATAGCTTTGTTTTAAATTGTTAGATTAATAACTTTTAAGTCATTGACACAATTGACATTTCAAGTGTTTCTGTTTTACTGTCATTTGTCCTTTGTCATAACTTACTAAAATGTGGAAAATCACTAAGACAAACTGATGGAATTCTCAATTTTCATTTTATAATATTTTTATTGTTAAACATTGATTAATAGCACAATACTTGAAAAATGCAAAGGCTAGATATGATTTGACAAATTATACATTCTGCAAGTTTAGATTGCACATTGATGGAAAACTTCACGAGGGGGACATGTTATCCCAGATAAGGGGAGATTTCAAAGATATTCCTTGCTTGCCATAAAAAAACAAACAAAAAACTGTCTGCTGTCCAGTTCACCCTAACAGTGCGATCTATGCATCATTATCCTGTTCACGCTAAACTCATCCACAGATATGATTTAGGTTTACGCTTGACATTGTTCTTAAAGGGAGCATTTCTCAGTCATTTCAGAATCATCTACAGCTCTGTTCTTCATTCTGGACACACTTTTTGCAGCTTCCCGCTAATTATTTAGTGTTTAGGTTATTTAGGTTTGAACTTGCTCTAGGCCAGCATACCGAATTATTTTAAACATTTATCTGAAATGTATCTAAAATCAGTTGTATATTATGAAAACATTGATTCCAAACTTTTGAATTGTGATTTCAAACTTTTACATGGTAATGTATGTGGAATTATATGAATGTGTGTCAAAATTTAGAATACAAGAAGTTCACTGATTTGCATGCAATTTGGGTGCTCTGCAGGGCCATTTGCCATTCGCAGTGGTGGGAAGCACTGAGGAAGTGAAGATCGGGAACAAGATGGTGAAAGCACGGCAGTACCCCTGGGGAACTGTCCAGGGTAAGCATAGGTCACGTCTTTTAGAGGAAATGAGGCTGAGATCGTCCTACAGAAACATGAGTCCCAGTTTAGGACATCCAGACCCATCCTCTTTCTCACATCCTGCCACTACATATGATCTACATTTTTTGGCTGCTTTCTCTATGCAAAGCCACGATGACAGCAGTACTTCTCACGTGATTTGTGAGAGTCTCCGTTACAATTGGGAAGCATTTATTGATGGAGGGGTGGGGTGGTTGCATGGGTGACGAGCATAGCAACACAAACCACATGCAGCTTGAATGGCACAGAGCTGTCCCCAGGCTATTGCTGACATTGTGTCACCATTTCATTCCCTCTCTCTCTCTCTCTCTCTCTCTCTCTCAGTCACTATGCTCTCTGCCAACCTGCGTACATGAGGCCACGGGGCAGTGCACGTGGGCCAGTGCTTAATTTAGTTTATTTTGAGGTTGACCTAGCAAAGAAAATACAGTTATTTTGGCATGTTTGTTTATTTTTATTTGACTTCTGCTGCATGAGATGTCAATTTATTTAGCTTGAAGACAGCAGTGAGCCAAAAGTATTGAAGCTAATTCTGATAACATGGAGTGTTAATTCTCATAATGTGAAGTATTTGATCAGAAAAAACCTTTGTTGTTTTTTTATCTCAGTAAATATATATGGGATGGATATGCAGTAGAAAGGCTTTATTTTTAAGCTTCTGGGTGCACTATATATAAAGAGAACAAGAGCATAAGAGAATACAGTGTGATAATACTGTCGGTTTATCTTAATGTCATGGAGTGAATCATAGGCATAGTCTGAATATGCAGGCCATCTGTAAAACCTTATCTACTATCAAGGGAAATGAATATAGGACTGTAATAAAACAAAGAGCAAGTTTGCTTTTACTAAATATGACTGATGTCTTAAAGATGCCTATCATATTTTTGTCCTTGTAGAGTAGTGGTTTCCAACCAGTGGTTTACATTCCTGTACTCCCTCAGACATTAAACGTCTGTACTCTCTTTCCATATACAAATATACTCACATATATTGCCATGATGAATATGTAAGACAGTTAGATTTTATATATTGCAATTATATATATATATATATATATATATATATATATATATATATATATATATATATATATATACATGTTATGTAAGCATTGTGTTATGAAAAGGTACCTTTGAGGGTATGTTTATCCTTTTTTTCTGATGTTGTACAACCGGCAATTTTGTTAATGTTTATCTTTAGATGAACACAGAGAGGCAGATGACTGCACATTTTTTATTTGAAATCATAAAGGCTGCAGCATCAGTTTGAGGGCACATGTGTGCGTGCAAGAGAGGTTGCGACTGTAAAATGAACAGTGAATAGCACAACGTTTACTAACCTGTGACACAGACCGTGTTTATCACATAACTTCATCCGCTCAGTGGATAACGTGGATCACAGCAGCTGTAAACAAATAAATCTAAACTAATCTGAACTAAATCACGTCTGTGAAAGTGAAACTAACACAAGTACACAACTAAAAAGCATAATGCAAGCCTTAATAACAGTTACAAAGGGATACTCACTTCATTCACTCATGCAGCAGCGCACGATAAACTGTATTGACTACTGTTGTTAGTTTCTCCTGAATGCGTGGGGCTCAGAAGGGGCCAGACTTGAACAATTTTTCTTTAATACAACCTTTTACGATATCGAACTATTAGAGCATGAGTTTGCCCTGTGCTGGAAACTGTTTCGATTGCTTCTATCAGGAAAGTACCTGTGTAACTTTGTGCCAGGCTAATTAAATAAACTTAAATAAAGATGTATGTTAGAATTTTTTGACGTACATCTTTGTGTACGCGTCCCACAGTTTTGGAACCACTGTTGTGGAAGCAATGTATCAGCAAATGCAAGAAAACGTCTTCTTTTCCCCAGTAGTATAGCTTTTGGAACACCATCTGCTGGACAAATCATTAAGTTAAAAGGATAATTTAGGGAATGGATAATTGTAAAAAGGGAAATAATTTTTTTTTTTGTTCATCCTAACATCATTAAAATGTCTATTAAAAAGTAGTGTTTAACCAGTTTGCTGGTCCATGGCATCTGTGTAAAAGTTGCATTCTTTTTCAGTGGAGAACGAGAACCACTGTGATTTTGTGAAGCTGAGGGAGATGCTGATCCGGGTGAACATGGAGGATCTGAGGGAGCAAACCCACACGCGCCATTATGAGCTCTACCGCCGCTGCAAACTAGAGGAGATGGGCTTCAAAGACACAGACCCTGACAGCAAACCTTTCAGGTGAGAAAAGAGTACTATAATTACAGTTTTTTTACAACAGGACTAATGAAAGTTTTTCTTTAGTTTGGTTCATTTTGACAGATGTGAGCAGTCTACGCTAAATAACAGAAGCTTGATCTGCCAAAAATCACAGGTCTCGATCTGGTTCCAAATGAACCTTGTGTCAGTTCACTACTTGTGAAAAAAAGATTTTTACAGTGATATACGCCAAATAAGGGAATGCAAGATCAGAGCATGTTGTTCTCCTCTAGCAGCATGTCACAGCTATGCTCGTATCGTTCTAGAAGCACGAGCTGCTGTTAATAACGGCAGATAAAATAATTTTTGCACAGATTTTTTGGTAAGTTAGACCCATCATCTGCATCTTTTGTGCATTTTATCAAGAATATATTTGAGGGATAAATCTTGATTTTATACTGTGACTAATTAATGAATAAGTAATAACAAAAAATAGGTTGTTTTGGCAGTAATGGAGGCAAATAGTAAAAAAACATCAGTATCCCCACCAAAATCCTGACCTATCAAAGAACACTGATGCGTATAGTTTGGTGCACTCTATATGTTGCAGTGTGAAACCAGCCAAACCAAATGAAAATGATGCAATTTTCACAAACATACTAGATGTAAAAACAGCCATAACCACTGAATGTCCAGTGAAATATAGTATTTCCCACATATTCCGGCTCTATATAAGCAGGTACATCAACACACTAACTTTTATGTGTTTCTGTTGAACTCATGTCTTTGTATTGGTTGGCCATTTAATAGAATGTTTTCTTTTTTTATCTCGTCATAAACAAAAACAAATTTGGCAGCTGGCGAGATGGACTCACTACCTCTAAGACCAAATGAACCCTTGTTTGTGAATTATCCTCTATTTATTTTAGAAATGTTTTTGTATGCATGTCCTTCTGGAAGGTCCCTCATGTAATAGGTAAAAAAAACACCTTATCTGTAGATATTTATTCCTACATACACAATTTTTGAGATAAAGTTGAATGTCTAGTAATCTGGACAGTTGGACTCAGTGAAGTAAATTATGCTTTGATTAGTATGATATGTATTATTAGTATAATAACTCATGCATTACAAAACAAAAATATTTTTGTTTATTTTGTTAAAAAAGAGCCTTCTGTTTATTTAGGAGTGACAGTAAATGCTGTTAATTTCTTTGTTTATTGTTATGACATGAAAATTATTATGAAAATAATTTATTATTTATAATAAATGCAGATGCCAAGAAATTACTTTTAATAAATTCTTTTATTAGTTATACCTACATTCACTTGAGTATTTCTTTGTATACTTTAGTCTGCAGGAGACGTATGAGGCCAAGAGAAATGAGTTTATGGGTGAGCTGCAGAAGAAGGAAGAGGAGATGAGGCAGATGTTTGTCCAAAGAGTGAAGGAGAAAGAAGCTGAGCTGAAGGAGGCGGAGAAGGAGGTCAGTGTGTTTTATGGTTTTGGAATGGTGCACACTTCCCTTTGTTTATGCTCTTAAAGTAAAACCATCTGACACGGTTTGTTTAAATTCTTTTGCTAGAACCTCATTTTCACAAATAGTAATGGTTTAAAAAACAAAAATGTGAACTGCTTAGTCAAATAGTGTTGGACAGTAGGCTGACATCTGTCTTCTGACTGAAGAAGCCACCTCAGCATTAAGTTTTGTTATTTGAATCTGGCATTAAAAGTTTCCAGTATTCACACACTGACCCTGTGGTCTTCATACGTAGCTGCATGAAAAGTTTGACCGTCTAAAGAAGCTGCACCAGGATGAGAAAAAGAAGCTGGAGGATAAGAAGAAAGCTCTTGATGATGAACAGAACATCTTCAAGCAGAAGAAGACGGCAGCTGAGCTACTGCAGTCTCAGGCCCAGCAGGCAGGGGGCTCCACCACACTCAAGAGGGACAAAGAGAGGAAAAAGTAAGTACTGACCTTCATCCTCTCTTTGCCTTTAACTCTCCCAAAAACAGCTTCCCCTTCAAGGTGGAATCGCTGAATACTCTACAAGCCGGAGGATATCCACGTGTTGTCCTCATTGGCCTACTTAACTATTAACTGTCCGTAATGATATTTATGTTAAAAAGGAAAAATGGGGCGTGGCACCATCAACCAAAGACATAAGCCCATGTTTTCAATGTATGTGTGTTATCCCATGTGGTTCTGTTTCAAAAGAGCACAGCTTAAATTCTAGATCATAAATATCTTTTGTGATTTGATTTTAGGGCTTAGGACTTTGGTACCAATTGATGATGCGATAATGAGCCCAAATAAATGTTCTAAATAAGTGCAGTAAACACTTAAAGACCTTACTTTTCTAAAACTTTTTGAAATGTAAACAGAAATTTTTATTATTTTCACTGGCCTAGATTGTTTTTGCATTTCTTAAAGTATTTGGTCACACTATTAATTCAGAATTAAATATGTGATTAAAAATAATAAGTAAATATTTATTATCAGTGACAGCTAAATTATTCATTTCTTTTTTTAACAAGTTTCTCAGATTAATGTTTTAGACCAGTTCAGCAGTGTTTTTTCGTGTAATGCACTAGTGATAATGCAATTGATGTTCAATAGTACTTGCTTTTATTACCATTATTCACTATGCATTTATTAGCATTATTCATATGACCGTAGCTAGTGAAGCTTAAATAATAGCAAAATTTGCAATGCACATTTTATCAATGTATCTTTGTTAAAGCACTGATGCTGAATGATGTCATACCTGGATACCTTATGTGTCTCAGTCCCTCTTAAAACAAAAATTAAAATGAACACTAAGGTGCAGTCTAGAATAAGGACTAGTCTGGTGTAGTATTCAAAAGTGACCAATATTCCTGTTATGCTGGTAATCACTCGTGGTTGTGTATTCAAGCTGATTTGGCCTCCTCACCAGACCATGATACAGAAGGAAGACACTTGCACTGAGAAGGTTTACATTTGTTTTCTTTTCTCTCATTTTCCTCACTGGCTTATTTGCTTCTTAAGCTATTCACAGGTTCTCACAGACAGCTGCCTGCTATGCTTAGAAGCCCATCACATTTCAGTCTGTTACATAATCACGTTACTGAAGAAACACTGTTCGTTGTACAGGGTAGTTTGAGGGCTAGAGAGGGCGATGTTCCTGCATCTGCCCGTATGCCGCAGAAATGCACAGTTCTCCTCAGTAACCAAGCAGGGCATGGCATGTATGATGTTCATTCTGTGTGGTCTGTGCATGTTCTGCATGTTAAATCCATGTTTTTTTACCAGTTAACTCCTCGTCTGCTTGCTGCATGCTGCATGAGACACCTTATGCTGGTAAGGCTTCTAAACATTAAGGCACATTTTAAATCGTAAAACAGAAGAGGGAACATTTTTGGGAAATTATGGTTAGTTGGTGGATGTAGTGGAAGTTTCTCAGGGAAGTATGAATGCTTTTAGACAGTAATAAGACATTACATTACTGTAGCAAATATTGCTCTTGCTCACTTAGTTTTAATAAGCATTTATAAGCATTCATAATCTTTTTTTTAAATGTGAAGAGCTGTGATAGAAGTAGTGCAAATACTTATCATGGCAGTACTGCCAGGGTTGTAGTGTATTACTGACCCTATTTGATGTGCTCTCCCAGTCTGCCCTCTGAATCCATAATAGTCTTCTGTTGCGGCGCTCCCTGTCCTGCCATGACTCCACACAAAGCAGTCTTTCTTTGCTCCCCTCGAGCAGCTGGATCACACTGGTGCAGCACTTGGTCCTAAAATAATGCTTTTGTTGGTCAGGCTATAAGGTCAAGTCCTCCACCCCTGCCATGCACCCATTTTTGCATAATGGCTACATGCATCAGAGCAAAGTTATTCATATTGATCAACTTGTGTGAGAAACAGTGGACAGTCTGGTTGCTGTACAAGTGTTTTTCGAGTCCTGGGGAGCTCTTTGTATGGAGTGTAGAGGGAGGAATTAAAGCAGTAAGCCATGAGAGGCGACGTTTTACGGTGATGTTCCCGTGGTTAATGTGTGTTGCCTTCATGGGTGTTGCCTCCAGTGGCTTATAGCTTTCATGAACCCTGACAAAATGACACTATGATAAATACCTCAGTACTGAGTAAATAATTCATTTATTATTAATAATAGAGATATTTGTGGTATATTGAGTATGTTGTGGCAGCTCTGAATGTGAAATAGCCAATCAGATTTTAGAACTGAAACAAGCTCTTTGATTAGAACTAAGATTCTAGATTGGTGATTATTGTATTTCAGTTCCAGTTGATCAGACATTATTCAAATCAGATATGCACATTGGGAAATTGATGGGTAAAATTTAAAATCTCAGTGTTTGCTTGTTCAAAGAAAGTCCCATCTTAAAACTTATGCACTTATCCCATAATCCCTCAACATCTTCAACACGTATATTAACACATGTATTAACTAACCTTTAACTTTTATGTATAAATGAACACAGTAGTGTGAATGTAACCAATAGAGCAAAAAAATAATCCTCCTTTTCTCTCATTTCCAGTTCAGGATTCCTGTAGAAAGTGCTCCCCCCCCCAGCCAGCTGTGAATGAGTTCTTCCCTCTCAGTGCTCCTGAGCCATGCTGCTCTGCTCCCCTCCCCTCTTTCCCCACCCCTCCCACATCTCACACATAACCACGCTGAAGAGGGACCTTTAATGTGAATGGGATCCTTGACTCAAATGCGTTCTGTTACCATAACTCTTTTATTATTATTGTTTGTTTGTTTTTAAGAGCCAGTGTTCCTCTTCTTTTTAATCACCTGTTTTGTGCTCCCATGACAATGATGATGTTCTGTTTTGCATGACTAGTGTATGCTATTAACATTGACAAGTGTGACTACTGTTGTGGTAGCAAGAGTAGCAGGCTAAAATGAGACTGGCATCAACTTGGCATGGTTTGGCATTCCCAGAGTGTTGTTTAAATTGCCATCTGTGATACATTCATCGGTTGGGCATTCCAACCAGTGACACCATCCCCCCATACTACTAATACTGAAGGTGTGCATCACTCCACATTCTGTCAATTCATACTCAGCTATGAATTGAATTTGTCTTAGATGGTATTGAAATGATGTATTTCAATTTATTATCTAACACCATTGCAACATGTGCACCTCCAGCATCTGAGTAGTACTGAGTATGACATGTGGTTTCATTTTATCCTGATGCATGTTATATGAATGTTCTCTATTCATCTACAGCATACCTCAGTGTCTTTTTTATATACATGCCATGAGCACGCTTGTATTAGGTGTATTAGAGCTTTTGCTGTACCACTTTTTAACTCAATGTCAGCACCTTCTTAATTCCTCTGCTTCTTTTTTTAGTTATTTTATGATAAACTGATACAAAAAGCACATTTTGGACTTTTGTATATTTTAACAAAAATTGCCAAGGGACCAATACTGCACTTGTGTCAGTGTACATAAGAGTTTTCTAACGCAAATAATAAAGGGTAATTTTCACCAAATATTTAAACTGTGGGCAAAATCATTGTGTATGACCATCATACAGCAAATTCTGCATTGTTTCAGTAACGCTTTCATGTGCCTTTCATACATATATTGCTATATGTGCATCACCTGAGGTATAGTTACATTAAGAATTATATTTTGGAGAGAAAACATTTCTTTTGGTGCTGGTTTGTTTTCACTAAAAATGCTAATACAGCTTAGCAACCGCTGTAACTTCTTGGGATTTGGGTAAAAAGCTGATCTAATCCCACACTGTATTTTTGTAGAGCAGCATACTTAGCTCTGCTTAGTAGAGCTTTATGGGAACTACATATATCAGAAGTTATTACTGCATTAAGACTTCAATGGAAGATATACCCAAGCCCAAAGATACTTCTCATATATTTTCTTTTTATGCTAGATATGCATTATCCTTATATGGAAAACTTACATAAAAGATGTCAGCTTTCTGCTGTTTCTAGTTTTAAATCAGTACTATTTATTATATATCATACCATATATATCGCTGTTGGAATAAGTCCTTGTATCTCTAAACTGGCAATTTTACAGGAGAGAGAAAAAAAAAGTTCCTAAGTTTTAAAGGGCCAATATCCTAAATCCTTTTATTTTTTCCTCCTGAGATTCACGTATAACATTTGTGTGGTTTTATGTACCAAAGAAAGTTGTAATTCATTTTTAAATGATCATTTCCAACCATTCTTTATCCCATAGAACAAGCTGATTATATCATTGTGCCTTTAAGACTGGTATATTTTAATAAGTTCTTATTGGCTGGCCTGTATAGCGCTAGTCCAGGTGAGAATGGACGGGGCTACACTGTTGTAGGCTGATTTGGTGGATATTTGTAATAATTTGGTTTTCATGACATCATGAAAACAGTAAAACCACAACGGGCTGTTTTTACAGCTTAGTTTCCATGTATGGACTGTATGGAGTGAGGAGTGAGTGGTGCGATTTGAAACTTTAGCAGTGTTTACAGTGTTTACTGTTTCAAAGCAAGGAAAATGTGTTTTCCTCGATATGAGCCTTTTACTGGAAGTTAATGCAGAAATCATTTGTTCCAAGACATTTTGGACCATTTCTATTCATCCATTCATTATGAGATTTTAATAAAATGTAAAAGTCTGCTGCTGTTTTCAAATGTCAAAAAATAAGAATTGTCAAAAAATTGAGACACAACATTTTGTCCCAACAGCGACGATATCATCTGTGCTTGATTGATACGTCATAGATAAATCATAAAGCATATTTTTACAACAGCATCATTAAAAAGAGGACATCACAGCGCATTTCATACTGACTGGTAGTACTCAGTAGATCTGTATGTTTGGCCTTTTGAATTCTAGGAATGATGGGTGTGACCAGAGCTGAAGTATCGTTCTTTAATTTGGGCCAACCTGTGTTCTCTGGTGGGTCTTGTGCTGCGGCTCGCTACAGCCTCCCTGCTCACTGCTGTGTGTGTATTTACTTTCCTTTGCAGTAATCCCTGGCTCTGCACTGAGTAGTGCCTTCGCCCCCTCACAGCTTTGCTAAGGGACCAGACCATGACTTTTTGGTTAAGCGGTACCCCAAGGCCATGGGGAGACAGTGTGGATCCCAGCCCCTGGGGGGTTTCCAATAGATCAGCTCCCTTGTTCCGATAGAGCCCTACATTCTTTTGGTTTATACAGCAACTAACAGTGTTTAGTGTGTTACTAAATGTCACTTGCTTAAGGCCATGAGTGTACTGCTTGTAACACTGTGTGACTAATATGCTTAACATGTTCTGCCTCTTCAGGGAGATCTTATGCATTTAAAACTTTCTAAATATCCATCTGTATGTGATAATTATTATCAGTTATTTGAGCTGAAGGAAAAAATAACTTTTTGTTGGATGCTTTGAAAGACTTATAGAAGGCAACAGTTCCAGCAAGACTGGACTCAAATTTCATTTTATTCAGCTAATCAAGGGCCACACTGTCATCCATGACACATCACTGTACATTAACAGGTCTACACAGCACTCGCATGCGAGTTATCCGGCTGTTCAAAGTTTTTAACAAGTGTAACTACACTTGATCTGATGCTTAGAAGTAGTGTATAGTGGTATACATAAGTTTGGGCACCCTGGTCAAAGTACATGTTTTGTTGATTTGTTGAACTGAAAGTAAGTCCTCTACAGGGAACACACATCTGCACATTTTAATGCACAATTACTGTTTATTTGCTGAATTTAGCAAATAAATAGAAACTGTGCACAAACATTTGCAGTCATGTTTAAATCAGTGTCCTGTAGAGGATGTGTTAACTTATTATCACATAGAAAATCAACAAAACGTAATCTGACCAGCGGTATTCAAACTTTTGCATACGACTGTATATCTACGCATATTTAAATTTAATGCTTTTGGCTGTCAAAAGTCATAATCAGAAGATTTCTGATTAATGTATGCCTCGCCTTCCCGTTGGTAGCTTCTGCTCTCTCTGGCTGCTTTACACTTTCTCTAACCTGTGTTTGTATCCCCTTCTCTCTTTCTCTAGCTTCTTTTAAATCTGTCTTGGCCACCTGTCTGAAGAGGGGATTGCAGCTTCCACGAGAACTAAAGCACCTATTTTCCTCTTCCTGTCTCTCTCTGCCAGCCTTTTTTATTATTATTTTGAACGTTTCAAAACGTCCTCGCCGTCTGCTCAGTCAAACAGAGCCTTATGTGGGCTTCACAAGGTGTTTTTCGCAATAAGCATTAACTCTCTTTCCTAATTACGGCATGCCAAGCAAAGTCCCACACTAATATTTTTTACAGATTTTGTGAAAAATGCCAGAACCAAAGTTCTGGGAGTAAAACAGCATGAAGGAGACCTAAAAGACATTCTTTGCTGTGAAAACATTAGCTTTTATACATGAGACATAAATACATATTGCCTTGCATAGTAAGCTTACATGTAGGCCTCAGTCTTTCACATTAGCACAGGAATCGTCTGGATTTCTCTTGTGAGAATGTGATTGTATGAGTGAACATGGATTTCCTCTGAAAAAAAAATGATGCAAAGAACAAAACTGTGCAGATGAAATACATACAGGTTAATGTTTCCTTACTACACACTATGTGTTTAAACTTAAAGAAGTAAAGGACAGGCAAGTTCTTTTTTTCTACAACTTGAAAACATTGACTGTCTGGCTGTGAGATATAAAGACCCAAAGAAAGATTTAGTTTGAAGTGTTGTCAAATAATATAAAAGACCTATTTAACTTCTATCTTGAAACCATGTGATAAGACTCAAAGTTGTTGATGAAAAATGTAATTACAATTATTTAAATTTGGTCCATTTCAAGACTGAGGACTAATAACAATATTGATAGTGTCCTCTAATTTGGTGAATTTGAAGGCTGTAGTTTAAAAAAGCACTTCTAAATACCATGTAGATCACTTTCAGTCCCTTTTCATTTAAACTTCACCTTTTGACAGCCTAATCTGCCCTTTGCATGTCTTTTCACATTTTCTTTTGTTTTTACTATAAATTTATTTCAAAGCCTTTTTCAGTGTCAAAAAATGCTCTCTATATTGGCTTGTTTTTCTCTTGCGTATTTATTCCAGGTACATGTGCAGTTGTATCTGCTTGACAAATTTCAACAGATTTTGCCAAATATTACATTTAGATAGATTATAGTTTTGGCAGTTTTGTTCTAAATAAGTCAAATGGCAGATACAGATATTCATCCATATACATATAATTTATAAGGATCTATTTTGTGTATTGAAGTAGAGACGTGTCTTCATGAAAAATAATATTGTTGGGATGTGATGGTTTTCGCTGTGTACAACATCAAGACTCTAGGCTCCATTTTTCTAGTATCTTCATACCTGCCTTTCATTGTCCGCTCCCTCCGCCCCTGTCATAACGCAAAGTTGTGAAATATTTAATTGTAGTGAGATTTCATTGGTGTACATTTTCAATAAAACTACAGTGAAAACAACTGATCGGATATTGATTTTTTCTTTCATTTTCACTTTGATACAGGTTGACTGAGTTACAGAGTTGCAGACAGTGAGACAGTGTGGTGCAGATCTTGCATCAGATCTTGGCAGTCCCACTTGGGACACTTAATGTCCTAAACTGGAAATAATACATGAAATAGTTAACACTGCTGTTACATGTATGAAATGAACAAATTTCACTTTTTAGCCAGCACAGGTCATACAGGAAATACAAAAATTGTTAAATAATTTGAACATGTCTGAGACTGTGGTATAATCGATTATTAAAGGTTAATGGGAACTGTAATTTACATAGCTCAAATGAAAGTCCAGTGAGCTAAAACTACAATGGAACTGATGTGTTTTTTAATACTGAAAGGGGAATTCTGATTTTCTAAATATCTGCACAATTCAATCTGCACTTTTATCAACAATTGCAAATATAGCCATTTTAATTGCCATTTAAAATAACCAGTGAACCTACACGTGTCTTCTATGTTTTTATACTTAACATATTCATGGAGAGAAAATTGTAAATCGAACTATTTTACCTAAGATCACCATGCATTTACCTCCCTGTCATGTACATATTTTAAAATATATATGGCAAGAATTATATATAAGACATTTCTTGAAACTGTGTCTCTGGTATCAGGCCGCCTATTTATAACCAGTTCATGTAATAACTTTCTGTGAGGGAGCTTTTAGAGGCGTTAAACTCTTCAGACGTCTGGTTCCTATCACCATCACTGTAAACAATTCTGACTCGGCAAGTTTTTCTGGAAAAGAGCATTTCACGTCAAACCACTCTGAATGACTTTTTTACATTTTAATCAATTAGTTATTCAGATATTTTTACGAAACATCGTTATTGCACTTTAATCTGGACGGCTGTGCTATAAACAGGCTACAAAGGTGCGAAGTACCTATAACGTTTGCTAAAAGCAGTCTCGCCCACCTTCAGTCACTAATTAATCGCCATTACCCTGCGTGTTAACCGTCTTCCATAACCGAAGATCAGCCTGTAAAACACTGTTAGCAGTTGACGTTAATGGTTTAAAGGAGCACCGTGAAGTTTCCTCCTCTGTCACTATGCGGCGCTGAATTATCGAGGAAGAAAACACTGGGGAGCTCAGTTCTGGTGGACTGAACACTACGGTGCCCTTCGTCCGCACATTGAGAACAACAACGTAGCTGTCGTCTATTTCGCTTGATAAAAATGTCCAGTACGACCGGCGGCGGAGAGTTCGGCAATCCTCTGCGGAAATTCAAGCTTGTGTTCTTGGGCGAGCAGAGCGGTAAGCGGCCTCCGACATAGCAAAGTCAAAATTCATGAGCAAAGACAGAGACAGGCCGAGTGAAGGGTGCTGCTGCCCAATTCACAGACAGGGTTTATCTGTACAATACTGAGGCCAAAGATGGGCTAACAGTAGCATAGATACTCTTAACGATGAAGAAATTAAATCATCCTCAGTCATTAACAAAAGCAGGTCCCCATTATAACGCTGCTTCACTTAATTTGCTCTCTTGTTGTGGCTAGCAGAGTAGCTAGGTTAGCTAGCTAGAGTCCACCCTGTCCAAAAACTAGCTAACCTAACGTTATTTTCCCTAATAATTTTCTGTCCTTTTAGAATCAACGTAAAAGCGTTTGTCAGTGAAGAAACACTCCACGATTGCTTGTTTATATTTATTGGTAAAGCACATACCTAGGTTGGTTAGCTTTTTAACTGCAGTCTATTTGACAAAACTGCAGCTATCAAAGCTAGCTAAAAGCGATTGCTAAAGCTAGTTATCATGTAACGTTGCTGTTCTTACCAGCTGGCTAACGTAAAGCCACTCTTTGTGTATCATATGCCAGCGAATATTTGTGATATTCATAATGTTTTAAACAGAAGACAGACTTTTTATAAGCAGGGTAAATTTGATAGAGTTCCTTTAGCTGATTGTTAGCTAGGCAGCTAATGGCTAGCTACAGGTGCTAAATCGTTGGCAGTTTAATTTCTCAGCAACGTCAGCTTAAAAGGACTAACGTAAGCTAACATTAGCTGGCTAGTTATGACAGCGATGTGTCACGCGGCGTGACTCTCCCACACCACATATACGGCATCCTCCTTTTAGTTTCGTAAAAATCTGAAGTAGTGTATCAGTATTTCCAGGTATAATAAAGGCTTAGCATAACGTGCCTCTTTTTGTTAAGAGAGAGCCCTTAGCTGAAGTCGGTAGGGAATATGGCACCACCCATGTTGCCAACTCAGCCGCCGTGTTTCAGATAATCTAACGCTGGCTAAATGGTTGTCTATGTATTGTGTGATTTTTGTGGACCAGTACAGTTACAACTGAAGCACGTCTTCTTTTTGCAGTTGGGAAGACTTCTCTTATCACCAGGTTCATGTATGACAGCTTTGATAACACCTACCAGGTACTACTGATCAACCCACCAGGTGTCTTCAGGGTCTGAGATACTCTGGACATCCATTCCTGTAAACCTCAAACCAATGAATTGCATCATTCTGTGTTTTTGAAAGTTGTTTCTTCAGTTACATGATGCACAATTTTGTATTATATATCATTTTATGATGGAAAGGTAAATATGCTAGCTTGAACACTAACATCTGATTTAAATGTGTATTTTACTAATCATTGTTTCTTACCATAGGCAACGATTGGCATAGACTTCCTATCAAAAACCATGTACTTGGAGGATCGTACGGTAAGCATCCTTCACCATGGGTAATTAAGGGCTTTTACGGGTGTCAGAAATGCAAAATTGAATCTTATTTGTATGTGTTATATTTGACGATTTATCCCTCAACTGAATCAAAAGGTTTGACCCCTTGTAGACTGACTTAATAGCAGGGGTGGAAAAAGTACAGAAAATCTAAAAGTGAAAGAATGGATATCGTGTTCAAATCGTATGGAATTAAAAGTGGAAGCATGAGGCAAGCATATTTGAATGAAAATAAATTTGTGTAGATTCTTTGTGTACTGACATGAATTTGGTTGGATGTTTAAAAAAAATAAATAAATAAAATGTGCGGGAGCCTGAGCCATTTTCAAGGGAAAAAACAATCTTGATCTTTGAAATTTGTAATTAGTACTGAAGCTCTAAATGTAAATGTAAGGAGTCAAAAGTATTTTTTTAATAAATGTAATTGTGTTGATGAATAAAAATGAATAATACTCTTCAATAATGGAAAGAATAGTTAAGTATTGTAACAAAGTACAGTTTCCCAAGTATTTTCCACCCCTGCTTAAAACTGTTAACTGTTTTCCAGAGGTTGCCCACCCTGTTGTGTTTGTTCTTGTAAATAGCATGCCACAGCTTGATTTATTTCATATCCATCAAACTAGCCTGCCTGTTTTGTTTTGCCCCTCCATAGAACAGAGGCATTTCATTTGCATAGTTCTTTGTGCATGCCTTTACCTCATTACAGTCATGATATTGTGCCATTCATTTTAGTTTTTCATTTTGGTTTGGTTGTGTGTTTGTCTACTTTTACTTTGCCCATGGCTGTTTGCCGAATGGGGCCCTTGCGGCTTGTGCCATACGGATGGTGGTAGATTCGGCTACAGTTGTGGGACACTGCAGGGCAGGAGCGCTTCCGTAGCCTCATCCCCAGCTACATTCGTGACTCTGCGGCCGCTGTGGTGGTCTATGACATAGCAAGTAGGTAGCTGGTGCTCCTGCTTCAACCCATCATAGTGCTCACAGCATGTGGTGGAGTAAATATAGGCGATGCTGAGGTGAATGGCACTCTTGTAGCTTTATGTATGTGCTGGCTCAAAGCATCCTCCTTTTGAGGATGGAGAAGTACAGTAGCCAGTAGGGCTGGGTGATATTGATCAAGTTTAGTAAAATGATATTTTCCACATAAGCTTCCCAGACAAAAAATAGTTGTGTTATTTCTTCTTGAAGGCTTGCATTTTAATAACAGCTGCAGTCCTGTCAGGTGAGGATTACACCAGTGTTTTGATATGGTTTCTGTCCATTTTAGCCTAGTTTGTCAAGCAGAACACAACATTGAGATTCCTACATTCCATGATGCTGTAGAGTGTCCGGATGTGACTGGTTCAACAGACATGAAGAAAACCAGGGACAGTTTGAATGACCAACAAAATCACCAGACCTCAGTCCCAATTCTGAATTTGGAACAGCAGATGACACGCTGAAAAAGGCACACTCTAGTTGAAATCTGTGATGCTAAGTTCCCAAAAATGGACAAGAACTTAACTGGTTGGTGTTTTCCTTACCTGCCAGTGTTGGCACTGTTATTAATGTTTTTTTAATCCTGCTCGTATTGACTCGTATTGACTAGCACTGAATAGTTTCAACTATTCCTTTCCCTAACACACTTTGCCCATCTCATGAAGGGCTTGATGATCAGTTCATGAGCTGTATCAGGTATGTGTAGTGCTGTGGATCACCAGAAGCAAAATTAAAAAACACTGCTTTAAAATGAATATGAAGTATGAATATGAAATGAAGTTAATGAGACCATTCTTTTTGAGTACTGGTAGTCTGTGCCAAAGAATGTCTTACAAACCAGATTTTTGGATTTGGATTTCCATGCCTCCCCCACTAAAAAGTAGTTTTAGAATTACACCAAAGTAGCCGTGCACAGTATTGTAAATATTAACTAGACAAAGCATACAGGCGTATGCAAATATTTGTCCGCCCCTGGTGAATTTACGTTTTGTTGTTTTACTAAGTGAAAAGAAGTTAACACATCCTCTCCAGAGAACACAGTTCTGTGCAATTTCATGCACACATACTGTTTGATGAATTTTACATATTGGGAAATAAAATAAAATGTTGTGTGTGCAATGGTCATAGCACATTTATTTTTCCCCCTCCAATATGTTAAACTCAATAAATTGACATTGTGCACTAAAATTGGCAGAAAAATGGCAAAAAAAGTTAAATTACATGTCAAGTGAAAATAAGTTGACACATTTTCTACAGAGAACAAAAGTAAATAACCTTTGTTCTCTGTAGAGAATCTGGTGTATACACAAAGATATATATATAATATATGACTTCGTAAAAAAAGTTAAGCAAGCATGTTATATGTCAGTATCACAGTGTAAATATATATATACATATATATATTGCCCAGTCCTAAAATCCAGATAGTAATGTAATAGTAATTGATGATAGTCTGCCAGAAATTTGTCAAAATGTTTGAGTAGCTGCATAAAATAAGCATCTAGCTTTAAGGAGAGAAAAAACATGCTGAGCTTTTACATTGCAAAGGCTGGACACACAGATGGTGTTGCGGCTTGCAGAGGAGAGTCCAGTGTTGCTTCAGCACAGAGAGTGCCATTCTTAAAGCGTCTTGCAAGGAGCAGGAATGAGGGAATGCATCACTCATCCTAACCGCTTGTCTGCATGGAATGACTCCTCCTTACATCTTGAAATTCCCTAGATAATTAAGTGTGCTGTGCATACATGTTAAGGTGCATTTCTTTGATTTCTGTGTAGTTGTTTTTCTCTTATCTCCTCTTCCTTGATTTCTAATCTGCTCTTTTGTATCTTTACCCTTTTATATCTTCCCCCTCTGCTGCTCTATTTCTCTTGTTTTCTTCTGCATGCCGTTGACTGGCTCCTCAGGTTCGGCTGCAGCTGTGGGACACTGCAGGGCAGGAGCGCTTCCGTAGCCTCATCCCCAGCTACATCCGCGACTCCACTATTGCTGTGGTGGTCTATGACATTACCAGTGAGTCAGAGCGATACTTGTTGGGGCAGCAGAGCTTTATGTCCTCTTGGGATGAGTAGCATAGTCCAGTAGCTACAGTTGCTTCATGGTTGGTCACTTTGACAGAGCAGCTCTGTGGACTGGGAGAGTTTCTTCCTACTAGCTATTGTCTCCTGTAAACAGAAGTGTGATGCATTCTTTTAATGTGATACTTCCCACACATAATTAGAACAAAAAAAAAAACATACAATGAAATGTTTTAGGGACATTGCACCATACATCAACCTGCTTAGGTTTTTGGCCAGTCGGTGCCCTGAAAGAATTCAAGTTTCGACTAAACTGCCCTTCACTGTTTGCTCAACTTTATACTAACAGTCTACATCAGAGGTGTCCAGTTTTATTCGCAAAGGGCTGATGTTGCTGCAGGTTTTCATTCCAACAAAACAGGAGCACACAAGATCAACTGTTTGAAGACTGAGAACTGATTTAGTATGTAGAATCAAAGTGTGCTTCTTGTTTGAAATGAAAACGGCCCTTTGCGGATAAGATTGAACAGCCCTGGTCTACGTGTTCAATTTCTTCTGACAGCTTGCTTTTGATATGCAGTGAGTGTGCTCATTTTTGTGCAGATTAATCAAAGCTGAAATTCTAACCAGCGAAAGTCGACCTGTGTCAGTGTTTATTTTTTTTTTTTCTCTTCTCTCCTTTAGATCTCAACTCCTTTCAGCAAACTTCAAAATGGATAGATGATGTCAGAACAGAGAGAGGAAGTGATGTCATTATTATGCTCGTTGGCAACAAAACAGACTTGGCTGATAAAAGGTATAGTAATAATGAAAATTGGACCTTTTGTATTTGTGCTATTCATACTGTTCATACTAGTTTGACGAACATTGTGAATAGTACAGTAGTGTATTTTTCAGTAGTGTGAAAATCCTCTTCCAGCATTTCATTAGGTTTCAGGTTTGTCCCTCTTCAAGCCATATACTGTATGTATCGAGTGTCTCATTTCATTTTAATTACTCATTTAAACCTTATAATTTTGGTGCAGTCTCCTTATCATCACCCAAGTTGGAATTATGTTAATCTTTTTTTTTTCTTTCTTTTTTTTTAATAATTATTGCTTTTCCGATTTCCATGGTGTGCCATGTTTTGATTTGGTTTGATTCCCTTTTATCACTTTTGTCTTTCATCTCCATTATGATTTGAACCATTTCCACACCCTTCCTTTCCACTGGACTGTGGCAGGCAAGTTTCAGTAGAGGCTGCAGAGAGAAAAGCTCGGGAGCTCAATGTGATGTACATAGAGACCAGCGCCAAGGCTGGTTATAACGTCAAGCAGGTGGGTCACGTGTTTAGATACAACTAAGAAGATGAGCGTGTCCATGACAATATCCTTCTAAGACATAAATTGTTGTGGATTTGGCCACAAGTGTTGTTTTGTATGAATCTTTTGGTGCTTTGTCATTGACTCTTATCAACTTGTTGAGATGTTCAGTCATTTCTCAGCAGGGCTGCTGTTTCCTTTTCCCAGCTTTTGAAAGCGTATTATTAAAAAACTAATCTTTCCCTTTTTCCTCCTTACTAATTTAAACTTGAGTCTCTCCTTTTTCTCTTTTTCTGTCTTTCTCTCTCTTTTTTTTCCTCCCCTTTTTGTTCTTGTTTCGACCCACGCCCCCCTTTGTCTGTCTGTGTTCCACTCCTCCTGCTCGGACCCGAGCAGACAGATCACTACGGAGGAGGGCGAGCAGAGGGCTAAGGAACTGAATGTCATGTTCATTGAAACCAGTGCAAAGACTGGCTACAATGTCAAACAGGTATAGACTCAGTAAAATGAGGACAGCCCAGCCCCAGCTGCCTCCTCATTAGCCAACCCCCTCTTTCGTCTTACTCTGTGTCTCACTCTCGCACTTCCTTTTGTTTTGCTGTCTCTTTTGGCCTCGCCCATACTTGATGTTTTCTCAACACTTCACATGCGCAAGGTCCTGTGCAAAGGGCTGCTCTTTGTTTTCCTTTGCTCTTTGGTCCACTGTCTTGCTCAAGTTTAGCTTGTGTTTTGAGTGGCTGGTACTGCTTCTTGTGACCTGTGCCTTTGGAATCATCTGCATGTTAATAAAATAACGCAACTTGATTTGAAGTCTTTTATTTTTGTAAACCCAGTAGAATAACCCTGCCTGTCTCTCCCAGTATTCCCCTTGTAATCCGAATGTTTAGCTCATACATTTGACTTTTTTTGATAAAGCTGTTTGTCCCCATAGCACTAGATGTGTACACTCTCTGATTTACAGAGTTTTCATAGCACTAAGTAGATCAGGGGTGTCAAACATACGGCTCTATTATAATTCTTATCCGGCCAGCTAGTTGAATTTAGAGTGAACATTCAAAATGAAAATAATCATTTAGACGTCACTGGCTGTTTGCAGAATGTTGTTTGGTATGACGCTCTACCAGTCTCTGGATAAATTATGATAAACACATTTATGAAGAGCTGTTGATGTGTTGCTTGTTTACTAAATGTTTTTCGTCTCATTGGACCGAGTATAATGTAGCCCAAAAATGAGTTTGACACCCCTGTTGTAGTTGTATTCATCAGTCCACAATGCATAATAAAGCTTATATGTAATAGTGTGGCATAATAAAAGATATTTCCACTCTTTTTACAGCTGTTCCGACGTGTTGCAGCAGCCTTGCCTGGCATGGATAGCACACCAGAGAAAAGCAAAGAGGACAGTATCCTTTAAGAGGCAAAATTAGTAAGATTCTGTTGTGTATAGCTCTAACAACTCTATATATTATCTTTGCTCGCATCAAGTACCTTGCATATCTATGCTCATACTGTTCTCTCTTGAGATGTCATTTAATCCTTGCAAATCTGATAACAGTACATAGCAAACAAGTTTGTCTTATCAGATCATAGTTTGTTATTTCTGATAAAACACCCTTTGTACTGCAAACGAGGATGATTTTGGACATGTTTATGATGAATGGACGTCCTGCTTAAAGTGTGAAGTTGAAATTTTACTTTTGTTTTTAAGAGAAGTGCATTTTGAGTTTACATTTCACTATAAATATTTGATGTATATGAGTTGGCGGTCCTTAACCTAATTCTCTCAGTGATTGATATTAAACTGGAGAAGCCTCCAGAACTGCCTGTGACTGAGAGCAGCTGCTCCTGCTAGTAACCACCCCCAGATCCCCACCAGCCCTGCCTCCTCCCCACCAACAGCTTGTTTCTCAGTGGCCACTCGCTCCACTCAGTGGCCCTGTGCCATTAGTTGGAGAACCTTTTATTTCCCCCCCTTGACTCAGTGACTTTTCGGAGTAACCGTGTGGATGTGCTATTACTCTGTATTAAAACAGATCAAAGATTAAAACATCAAAAAAAAAAAAAGAAATATATATATGTTAAAGGGAAAAAAGTAAAGAAATCACAGCATAGGTTATAAATGCTCATCGGATTCTCATCTGACTGCATGGCATTATATAGGATTGCAGACTGACATGGCTCAATCGCTCTTGAGTTCTTGCACTTTTTTTGAGCATCAGTGCTGTCACACTCATTATTGTGAATTTTTGTTTGAGATTCTCCAACTCTCTTATGTTGGACCAAGGTCGCATACCTTGATTGCCTTGCTATTTAATTTCAGTGAAGAGAATGGCAAGGGAAACCAAGATGGCATTGTGTATTGGGGAACTGTAGTTACTGATTGATTTTTATTTACATTGACAGATGTTTCATTTGAAAGCAGACAAGCCAGACATGGAGTGAAAGGACAATTTAGCTCTAAACTAGAGTGAAGTTAAACATTATCTCAGCATCTGGAACAGCATACACAATAATATAATAGGATGTCAAGTTTGGTGTTGGGGACCAGTACAGTTTGAGTCTTTTGTTTCAAGATACAGGTTTATGGCCAAAGAAGACTTGATATTCGTAGGTTATTTTTAGACAAACCTCTGCATTCTGGTCAGGTTCGCTTTTGTACACAAGTCTTTTGGGGGATTGCATGGAACGTGAATGTACTTAGCCGGGGGTGAAAAGCTGTGCATATTCAGCTTCAGTAATTAAGTTATTCTAGAGACCCGATTTCATTAAAACACAACTTGTATAATTGTAACTTACCCATGAATTGTAATTACCAGACCTAACCTTAATAGTAAAGCACCACATGTACTAATGCATCATAAAATACTTAGATTAACACATGGCTCTTTGAAGTAAGGTGAGGAAGCAGCATTGGAAATTCCCTGTTGAGGATGTATTGAATTTCTGCAGCTGCATCTGGAATCTCTGTGCCCACTGTCCTATTGTTTTGCCTTGTGTTTGGTACACCATTATAGGAACAGCATGTTATCTAAGGTTGATTTTAACACAAAATACCTTGCTTGTTTTGTTTTAGTCACAGTGCACCAAATAAAGCCACAGCATTGTGGTTTGCAGAGGCCTGCTGATTCGCAAAGAGCTGCAGAGGTTTCATTGAGCAGAGTATTTGGAGTATTTTTCCTTATTAGCAGCAATTGCTTAGTGTAGAGAAATGTCTTGAGGAGTTAAACCTGTGTTGCTTTTGCTCGTTTTAAGACTGTTGGTTTTATGTGTTAATTTATTTATCTTGCTAGGAGCATAAAATATGTTGTGCTTGGCCTGAATGACAGTTATTAACACTTGGGAAAACAGTTGATTTTCTGGTTTGCCTTTTTGCTTGGCTACTGTGTCACAGAGACCTGGTCGTGTACTTTTCTCATCACTATGGTCACACTATTTATGACCTCTCCCTTTCAACTGTATGCTCTTTGTGTAGTTGTAAGAATATAGCCTGAGTGGGTCTATAGTCGCTGAAAGGTATCACTGCTAACATATGCACGCACGCGCACACACACACACACACTTTCAACTGTACACTTTCTGACTCCCAACAGTACACATGCCTATTAGCTAGCTTGTTTTACAATGTTGGCGTTCAACATTATTTGGATATGTAAGTATTTAATTACAAGAAACAACTCTCCTGAACGGCTCTACCACTTGTTGTCACCAACTGAAAACTCAGCTGTGTGCTATTCTGAAGTGTGTTTGTCTATTTGAAATATGCTGTCTACTAGTGTTTAGCAAAGTTTGTGTGGAAAAAACAATGTACTATTATCTGCTGTAAAAAAAAAAAAAGGAAGGTTAAAGAAACACTGAAGTGTATCACATGAAATAAAAGATATTTCACCAAACATGTATATGATTTGTCCTGATTACATTTGTTTAAATAATTGGTTTTATGAGAAAACATATCAGGAAAAGAACAACCAACTGTATGGAGAGAATTGCTTAAATCAGATGAAAACCCTTCACACCTGATACCCACCTACACCACCCATAAAAATGCAGTTTAAAAAAGGAGAGGGAGGAGTGAACTGGACATTGGCTACAGATGAGACATATAAGTCATGGAGAAGCGGAAAAAAAGATATAGTTGAAGCTTTGTGTCTCGCCTTTTGATAGTGTGCCTGATTTTATTCATAAATATAACAAATAGATGGCATCCTTTAGCCAGAACGAGAAGTTTGTTGCTTCCAGAAAAGGACAAGCCATCTAGCCAAGCAGTGTGAAAAACCTGGGACATGAGAGTGGGATATTACTGGGAGACAGGGTTCTAAGAGGATGCCCAGAACTGAGGAAAAATAAACACAGATCTCCAAAAAGAGGTTTAGGCTTGACAACCAAAACATGTGAGACAAAGTAACAGGAGCTTTCACAATTATTGTGGAATTTTGCCCAGTCTAACTTTAGTCCAGTAGACATGATGAAATGCCTTTTGCACAACCACTGTTATTGTCATCTAGTTTGGATGCCTTCATTATTGATGGAATTAAGTACAGCACTTATTTATTTTTATTTATTTATTTTTAATAGGTACTAGCATTGGTACAACAAAGCCATTGCACACCAGGCCTTGATCATTTGGTTAAGAAGTGGTAAAATATGGATTTAAAAAAAATGCTGGATCATATATATTTTGAGTTTAAGGGCACTGATGGCAAAGTGAGCAGTGGTCTGGCTGCTAAAACAGGAAGCATATCACTACTATTGCCTCGATCTTCTTTACCCATACAGAAATCTGATATATGACTGCATACATCATAAAGGGTCAGGCATATATTTTTAAATTATATGTACATTTATGTTGTGTACATATATGTACATTTCATATGTTGGACATACACATAGGTTATATTTATGTTTGGTACAATGTTAAATACACTTAAGTACCTTTATAATGGTTACTTTGTTTTCTGCTTGTTTTTAAATTTTAATGTATTCAAATGTCAATATTTTCATTTATTTCATGTTTTAATGATTTTATTGCACAGCTTACAGTGCATGTTTTTAGAGTTTAGACGCTATTCAATTAATTTTCACTTGGAGAAAACAATATACATAGTATCATATAACATCAAGCATGTATGAATAATTTCTGCCATCTATACACGAATAATGTTTTCTATCATATATTTTTAAATGTATATGTTACACATATATGTTTGCATATGTTTATATACGGCTGAAATACATGTTTCAAATAAGCTCGCGTTCATGCTACGTATATGTCCAAATGTGACATTATAAGTTGGATATACAGGCCTACGTGAAACACACTTATGCTATGTTATAGATTTGAAACCTATATATTGCCATATGTCCTATCTCCGTACGTGTATCCTGTACATTTATTTTAATTCATTTGCTCGCAGCTGAGCTGAAGGCCCGCGCCAATTGGTTTCGGTCAGGTGAGGAGAGGGGGTCTTTGGAGGGGTCGTCTTCATAGATACTGAAGAGTCACTACAGTCTGAATGAAGTAAGTTACAAATGGTGATAGGAAAGTTTCACCGACTACACCCACCGACACCCAGACCTGCCACACCCAGTGTTAGGAGGCGGTGAGAATTATCACCGTTTGTTCGACTACCTGTAAAAACGTATAAAAGGTAAAGGTGTCTCTGAGTCTCAGTGTTCAGTCAGACTGACAGTCAATGAAGGCGGTAGAAGGTCAGACGCTCCTCCACTCAGCTCGGACGCTAACAGTGGGCGTGCTCTCCTTATACCTCACACCTGTAGGACTCCAGGAAGTGAAGCCATTAGGTTTTGCTGGCAGGTGCAAAATTCACGACAAAAATCCAGTCAGACTAGAAATGTTAAACCGCGACTAGCTGTCAGGGAGAGCAGTATGAGGCTTGGCGCAGGACCTCTAACACAGTAACACCGAAACTTTGTGATTCCTCCGGTGGCGAATTGATCTGCGTTTGAAACAAGAACTGAAGACAATTTTGTGCTGTTGGATACTTTCTCGAGCGACCTTTAGCCACTTTAACCATGTCTCTGGGATCAGGAATTGTTCCGGACGAGTCCGTTTTCGCTGAATTGAGAAGACAGTGCATGTCGACAGAAAACTGGCAAAACAAATACAATAAGAACGGAATGGAGGTGTGGGTCGAGGTGCCCCCCTCAATAAACTCACCACAAGGGAACAAAACCAGCCTCTCTAAAGTGCACAAAGTCAAGGTAAGTGTTGTGTGTGCTTTTTTCTACTTTCCATTTATGTTTTAACTAACTGTTAAGATTTGTGTCCATTGTAAAATGGACAGTGTGGCATTGAGTTTATTCTGAAAAGCTTATGGAGAGCAGTGCGAAACCTGACATACAATGCTCTTTTTTTTAACCAGTCTGTAAACAGAAGAACCAAAACTGTTTTGTCTGGCTCATATCCAATAAAACAATAAAATATAAAAAAAACAAAACAAAACAAAAAAAAAACACTTAAAATTCCGGATGACAGATTGTTTCATTCAGCATCCACCTGTTATGTCTAATGGGTTACCATAAGAATACTTAATAAACTTTCTATGTTTCCAACAGTGTAAAATTGCCATTAGTGATGTATCAGCTGCCACAATGTATGATGTTCTTCACGACAACAAGTATCGGAAAACGTGGGACCCTGCTATGCTTGAGAGCTTCGAAATAGCTCGGGTTGCACCCAACGCAGACGTGGGCTACTACTCATGTGAGTTTTCCCATCAACAACTGACTTTGCTCACTTCTACTTCATTTTCTTTTGCTTATCTGTAATTCCTTTTAGGGCTGTTTTGTGTCACTTGGTCGTGAAATTTTCCATGTCTTCTGTACATGGCACTATACCTATTAAATGACTTTGTGGACACCATGCCCCATAACTTGATAACTGTGTTAGCTTGTCACAAGTCCCAAGGTGTGAAGATAAGATCTTGTTTTTTCTTCTCATAAGCCTGTATTTATATCATCATCAGTGCAGTGTTATTTTTGCTGTTGAGTCCATGCTACCTCTGAAATTCATGGAATACAGGAACTTGTGCCTCATTCTTGAAGGGTTCTCAGTGTTTTTACTCTTGATTCACAGGGCTGTGTCCTAAGCCACTAAAAAACAGAGATGTGATTACTCTGCGTTCATGGCAGGCATCTGAAGATGAATACATCATCGTGAACTACTCTGTCAAGCATCCGGTATGTCAGTCTCTTTACTTACAAGCTTTATCTGCCTGCTCCAGAATGGTCAAGTTTCATATTGGTCTAGTACTTTAAAGCATTCACTAGACAAGGCTTGTACTTGTTTAATTACAATTCTAAAATGACCCATGGTTCATGAGTGTTCTTGTTTACTATAGAAATACCCTCCACGAAAAGACTTGGTGAGGGCAGTCTCTTTTCTGACGGGTTACTTAGTGAAACCAACCGGGCCTAACAGCTGCTCTTTCACCTACGTCTCACAAGCTGATCCTAAGGGTAAGAAAATATCTTGAGTGTTTTGTACTTGGCTTGGCAGCAAAAATATGATTTAGAATTGAGAACATGTCATATTTACATTCTCATCCATTAGGTTCCCTTCCCAAGTGGGCAGTCAACAAGGCATCTCAGATCCTGGCTCCCAAAGTAAGTGAATGTTTTTTGTTTTAATCTGAGGTTTAGCCTGGCTTGACCATCCTGAAGCATGTCATCTGAAGATGTCAGCTGCTTGATTTTCCAAAAGCATTAATGACCAATTGTGTGCTTAGTGTAAGCATTTTGAACACTCTTTGCTTAATGCTAATTGCTATGCTGTTACTTAATCCCTCCCCTTCCCTCTGGTTTTGGCACAGTTTTGTTTATTCCCATTTGATTGATGTAAAGATCTACAGCTGCTAGTGCAATAATACAAACTGCTGACAAGCCCGCCTTTATCTTTCATGTATATTCAATCGTATGCAAAAGTTTGAATATGCCTGGTCAATTGACATGTTTTGCTGATTATCTAAGTAGTCTTTACAAACTTAAATATGGCAACTTTATGCAAATTTTAGCACACAGTTTCTGTTTCACATATTTGGGGGAAAATCTGCACAGGACACATTTTTTAATTTAATGTATTTATTAAATTATGCTGAATTCAGCAAGTAGAGAAACAATAATTGTAAAATTATTTTTACTTAGAAAATCAAGAAAATGCTATTTGACTGGGGTGCCCAAACTTTTGTTTACAACTGTATGTATGGGATTGCTGTGCTTAGTTTGCCACTAATGTGAAACACACTGAATAGAATGGTGCACAGGCAGAGTGATTGTCAGCATATTTTAGGGTAATGAACATGATGGTTAAGCACACCATTATGTACAGTCCTGAAATACTGCTTCTCAATGTTCTAGAATGAGTCATTTGTTTGGACTGACTGACTGTGAGAAGTCTTGGAGATGACTGGCTTTACTATTTCCAATGAATGTTGTATCCATAGAGACCTACTCAAAGTTCTTGTCCAGTATGTTTCTAAAACTAAGGTTCATGTAGAACTTGCTTATCTGGTTTCATCAGACTACATTGCCACAGTCATTTAAAACTATTTAGGCCAAAGTGTATCTATTGTGATACATGAAGGTCATAACAGGCTTAAAAATCTTGGTTCATTTAGTTCTTAATCATAGTTCCTTTGGAATTCAAGGTCCTAAAATGTCCACTGCATTTTCATCACTTGCAATATAAAAAAACTTGTAGGCCATGAAAAAGAAGAGCAGCAACCAGTTTATAAAGATTTGATTTTTTTTTTCTCTTCTGTTCAATGTACTACAATGACCAGTGTCTCAACAGGCCCATCAGATGAACTCAAGATACGTTTGATTCAGATGACAATGATTATACAATACTGTTAAGCATTAATAACACTAACATTCTCATAGTTCTCATTTGTCATAGAAGCAATGTTCAGATAGACAAAAATGCAGCACTAATCCAGATATGTCAAACAAGGCCTGAAAAGCAGGATTCCAATGTCATAAGCCGGCATAGGAACAACCAGCGCTCATTGTCACTGTCATATCCGTCGATACTCGTGCCTCCACCTCAACCCCACCCTTTCTACGTCATTCCACAGGTTATGAAAAGCGTGCACAAGGCGGGTCAGAACTACCCTGCGTGGAAGGCACTGAACTCTCCAGAACACAAGCCCTGGCTATACCCCATACAGAGTGAACTGCCCATGATGGATCCAGCAGAACTGACCCTGCAACGTGGAGATTCGCTGGAGAATGTGGATGAGAGTTCAACCTGGGACACACAGGAAAATGAGGACAGTAGTTGAAGCGTGGCAAAGTATAACGACGACATGGACTCTTCCCATTTAGACCCCCCCCTCCTGACCAGTTTGTTTGTTTGTTCTTTTCCTACTATGTACCTGATCCCTTTTGCTGGAATAGAAGTGTTTATAGCCACTGCTATCTGTGGCATGTATGAAGTGACTTATGCGTTTCCCATGTTTTATACAGAACGCATAAATCCAGATTCTACTGAGAGCTCTACTCTCAAGTAAGCGCACACAACTTATGAACAAACAATTTATTTATTTCTTCTTTGCTTCCTTAGAGTTTGAATATGCTTGAGGTTGCCAAACCTGAGATTTTTTAAAATTCTCCTAATCCCTCTCTCTCTCTCTAGAGATCAGCCAAAGTAATAATATTGCCAATGTGTTTTAATTGCTTAAAATGAAGGTAAATTATATTTTGGTCTTGTTCTGTAATTAAAAAGTAAATAGGCTTTTATCTACCTTAATGATGTATCTACTTACTTGAGACTAAAAAACAAATGGCCAGTGTATTTAAAAGTTGAAAGAACTCTACAACAGTGGAAAGGTTACTTGAACTCAAAGTACGGAAGCACAGTCATCCTTATGCTTCATACATCTGTTTGCACACCTTGTCAAAGGGTGTATTTATATTGGTGTGTGTGAAATGGTTAATTTGATTTTAGATAGCGATCCAGGGAAGCAAGGTGCTTAAGTGCTGTACAATATGATTGTATGCCTATTAGAAAAGGACTGTCAGTTTGTATTACCTCAGATTTATTTATTAATTTAACTGATTGCTAAAATTGCTGGTGAGAGAGATGGGCTAACATACAAAGGCATAATGGCTTTATTCATTAGTCCTAAAGCTATCCTGTAAGAAAGTTGTCTCCAGTCCAAGGGACCCCCAGTTATGCATGTTCTGTGCTGACTCAAGAAATTTTCTATTATGCTGATGAGTTGACTTACAACATGATGCAGACTATGGGATTTCCTGGTATTTTACAAAGCAGCATTAACCCGACAGATAACTAAATCCAAAGGTCAAGCATATCCAATTTGATTAGAGATAGAGGGTGCTCTCTATCAGCTTTCACGTTCAGCTTCTTTTGTCCAGTTGCTGAAAAAGTCCTGCTCTGTGAAATACCCATTAGAACACTAGTTTAGCTTCTGAATGTTCTTAAAGCAAAGAGAAAAAGCAATACTGCAATAAGCCATACTGGCACAAACACTGTGATGTCCCATGCTTTTGTTTCTCAGAAGTAACTGTCTTCCCCACCTTCATCCGTTCATTAAATGGGGTGCCATTTTGACCATTTTGAGAACACTCTGAAAAGGGATAGATGTGTATGACACATGAATGGAATATTATAACAATAAACTTTTTATGGCCTCTCTCCTCATTCACTGGATGAAACTTTTTAAATATTTCATAAACTTTGATAACACCACAGAATACTTGGTAATCTTCTTTACAAAGCAACAAAAAAAAGTACAGCGAAAGAGAACTAATTATTTATTAAAAATACCTCCACATATGATTATCTTAATACAAAGTTTAAAAAAAAAACAAAAAAACAACTGCATCAGTGTTTAATAATGTGTTATTCCTAAAAATAAAAAGTCCTCTGAGATAAGGCAGTACCACAAAACTAATGTGTGGAAAGGACAAAAGTTAGGATCATGCCAAACCATAAATTTCAAAGGATACCAATTATATACATTTGAGGTCCTCAACTAAACATAAATATACCGATTTCTTATATAAGTTAGTGATGGTTGTATTTTTCAGTAGTAAATCGAACTGTCAGCAGGGCATCAAGCTGCAAAAGAACATTCCATAATTAAAAACAACAAATATTAAGACGATGATGACTGGGATATTAAAGATTTGGCAATTCCCAATATATGCTAATACAGAGATAGTCAACAGTTCTCTTTGGCTGTGTTCACGTTAAAACAAATAATTATTCACTCTGTTACTGTTAGAGCTGGCTATAAAAATTTAATATATTTATGGTACTGAATGAATGACTTCAATATTACATATTGTACCGAAAAATTCCATGTCATTCAGTACCAGATTTCAATACCTAAGCTTTTATCAGTGTCAGTGAGCCAACAAGAATGTGTGTTCCAAAATCTAGAACGCTGTGTGGATGGCGAAACTGCATTCTACATGCATGTTATTAAGACTACATGCCAAATATTAAAGAAGATACATAAAAAATTGTCATAGTATTAATACTGACCACATTGGTTACAAATCAGATCCCATGGTTTCTGATTGTTTGACACTGCATTGTAGAGCTCCTGGGAAGATAATGCTTTCCCAAGTAGCCATGTCATAAGTTAGTTCATAGTGTTCTTTAACTTTAAGTTAAAAATAGTGTTCTAAAATCTTCCCTCTTTCTTATATCCAGAACATGTTCTTATCTGCATGAGGCTTTAACACAGCACAAGTAATAGTGACATTATAATACAAGGCGAGATAGACACTCAAGACAATTACACACTAATAATTCTCACACCTCTGACACCACGTGAATGCAGCTTTAGTCAAAGACAGCAGTAAAGATGAAGATGGAGTACTACTCCAGGTTAGGAGCAGACATCAACGCCTCAGTGACTCACTCATTCAGTCTTCAGCACATCTCTGCCACCTAGTGTACCGTCCTCTCCTTCTGTCGCTGGTAATCTAACAAGATTAAATTGAATAAAAGTACACTATAAATAAAATTACATACGTTTGTAGATAATTCTTTGATTTTTATTATTCTTTATTCTACACATTTATTCTAGTAGATATTCATTTAGACAAAATAACAGAACTCACTATAAGGGAAGTAGCGCACCCTCATCAAAATCTCCCTGGCTGTCTTCAGAATCTCCACAGCCTAAAGAATAATTAAAGTAGCTGGAATAATGTATGGAAATGAAAAAACATTAAATATACAATTCATTTTACTGATCATTACCCTTGAGTGCTCTATGTCCTGAAAGTCCACTTCATTAACTGATAACACCTGATCTCCTTCCTGAAGCCCAGCCCTGTGGGCATCAGAGTCTGGCACCACCTAATAAAACATGCAACAAAACAGTGTACTCCCCAAAAAGGGCATCCATACAGGGCTGTCCATCTACTGTGATTTTAAGGAACAATTACTTTAAATACAACAAAAAGCACAAACCGAGTTAGCTTGATGAAAATGCAATGAAGTTGCCAGGACTCACCTTAGAAATAAAGATACCAAGCTGTGAAGCCTTTCCACCCCGGATGTTGAAGCCCAGTTGTGCTCCAGGAGGCTTTTTCAAGACTATAGTGCGCGGTAAGAACTGTGTAAGCTCATTATTATAATCAGGGTGATTTATTCTCTGTGAGGAAAAATCAAAGGAACATTTAAGAATTAAATCATATTCTATTAGTTCTGTATAGAATCTATTGAATAACAAATGTTTCTTACATCCTGAGGAGGAATCCATGCAGGTGGATTTTCATAGGGGGGCAGAAAAACAACTGGCAGTTGATAGTCATCATAAGGAATTTTCTGATCCATACCTCTTGTGCTAAAAAGATGTACATTAAAGGGATAATTTCTTAGAACAACAATAACAAAGCAACTTTAAGTCTAATATGATACATTAGCTAGGGCTATCGGAAGCTTACATGGCTAACTTGTAGGCAATGAAAAAATTGTTGAAGTAGAATTCCACCGATTTTTCAAAATTTCATGATTCAGTGGTTAACATATAAACGAAGTCATTCTGAGTGATTTGACATGAAAACATTTATTTGCAGAGAAACTAACACAGATTTTCTTTACAGTGATGGTGATACGAACCAGAGGTCCACAATTTCAACAATGCAAATATAGCCATTTTATTTACTATCCATAACCATCAGCGAACGTGTCTTCTAGATGATGTTGACGATGCTAAATTAATGATGCATCTGCAAAAATAAGTTTTCTTTATTGACTATTTTTGTCTTAAAACACCCTGTATTTACCCCTCCACCATTAATGCATTCAAATCAATTGATTAAAATACGTTTTAGACTAAAACTTTCTCAAACAACTACCGTAAACCAATGGCTCAGACATCAGTCTGAGTATTCAAAACAATTTCATGTAATAACTTACTGTGAGGAAGCTTTTAGACCTTTACAGGAGGAAGTCTGGTTCCTATCACCACCACTGTGAACAATGCTGACTCGGTAAGTTTCTCCACAACGGAGGATGCTTCATCAAACCACTCTGATTGAGCGTTCAGACGTTAACCACCTAACTATACACACATTTTGAAAAATCAGTGGCGTTCCCCTTTAAGGGACACAACAACCACTATAACGGCTGCAACTAATTAATGCTAAGGGTGACTTTACAGCGATAACTACTCGTAACCTATAACATTATATGTAAGAAGCAGATGAAGTTAACTAGATAACTCGCATCAGTTACACTGGAACTCTGCGTTTTCACAATAATCTGGATAGAACAAAACAAATCTTAGTTAGCTTGCGAGCTAACACCACAGGAAATATTTGGACTGTGTTCCTCAAAAAGCAACGAAATACTCTGACAATAAACTTACGTAAAAACTTCCATGTATTCACAAATTAAGCCTAAAGTTTAAATGTAATATTTCTTACGTTTTATTTTAGTACTCTCCTTCTTTTCACTCACCGAGTGCCGCACCTTCGTCTTCTTCTTCTTGTACAGGATTTACTGACATTGTAGCTCTACCGCCCCCTACAGCATTAGAGTGGAGAGAGAAAAAAGACAGCAAAAAGAAAATAAGGACTGGAAAAAAGCAGGAAAAAGAGAAAAGGGACATGACAAAGAACTCGTGATTTGTGTAGCTGTCCTAAATAACACCAAACAACGAACTCTTACAAATACCTTTTGAATCACTAAACCCTGACTTCCTCCGACCTTCTGTGCCTTCATAGCAGGACAGCGCTATGTATCGTATTCTTATGGAGGTTTAATTAAGATAAAGAGAAACTATATGTTATTAGTTTGTGAATATAGAAATATTATACTCAGAATGATGATATCACATTTACAGACATCGCCTTGTAACGACACCATTTTTAAAATGTGTGGTACAATAATATGCAGGCGTACCTACTTAGCACACACTATTTAATTTGACCTGCTTAAAGAAGAAAAACAGCGAAGTTATGCTTATGTGCATGAAGTTGAAAATGCAGTAAAACCCATTTTGATGAGAGATATTTTAAGTTATTATATTGATGTTTTCTCTAAACAGAGAACAAAGAAATATTTAATTTCTGTAAAGGCTCTGGAAATGTTCAGGAGCACAGTTAAACACAGTGAAATGCAGTGAGCTAGATCTTAAACACAGATAATGTGATTAGAACAGGAAATAGTGGACTATTACTGAGACTGCTAGAAGAACTGTCAGGGTCCACTTCAGTAAAAGTGCATGTTAGTCTTTTAACTCAGTTTACAAGTAAAAAGAGCTTCATTTTGATGTACTGATCTGAAAAGGCTTTTTATCACCTCACACCACCTATATGCTAACATCTGTAACGAAAAGCCTACAAAAAATCATTAAAGCTGAAATGAATAATTCTAAAATTCTTTTCTCAATCCACGTGAAGGAAAACTGAATGTTTCTTTCCTTCTCCATATACTGGTAGCCTGTGATCTACTATTTCCTTGTCGGCCAAATGTTGAAGATGTAAAAGACAGGACGATCACAGGTTTTGTCCAATAATATTATTAAAATGTGTGTATTTTTCTTCCTGTAATGAAATGTAAGTAGTTACGACTTCCAAACATTAAGGACAGAGTAAAAAGATGTAGTGCTGATTTACATCATTCTGGAAACAGTAGGTTCTCCTATGTAGAGAGCAGCTGTCGTTGAAGAGCTTCAGATCACAAGAACAGTGCACAGCTTTGGGTTGATAAGCACAGAGTTAAATATACACACAAGAATGTCCTCATCACTTCATGAAGTGTTTACTGGTAAAAAGGTGGACTAAAAAATGACATTATTGAATGGTTTAAGTCACAGGGGATATCAATGCTACAGAAAGTCCTTAAAGCTCACCTTCACTCTCCATTTACTGTATCATAAAACAGGTGTATTTAAATGGTAGATGTGAACAGTGTAAGAGTTAGTTGTGAATAAAAATATAAATGGAGTTTGCTGAAGCTGACTGGCTAGTCCACTCATTATTTGGGCCTGAACGTTTTATTGATTTTTTCTTATATATTGATTTTTTGTGTCAAAATGCTAAAATCTGTAAGCCAACTTTGTGTAAGCCGCTTGCTAATGAGTGAAAAAGGAAAAGGGGAGCAAAACAAGGAAAGAAAAGAAAGAGCTTGAGTGTGAAAAAGCTTACAGCACCTGGTATTCCCAGGCGGTCTCCCATCCAAGTACTAACCAGGCCCGACCCTGCTTAGCTTCCGAGATCAGACGAGATCGGGCGTTCTCAGGGTGGTATGGCCGTAAGCGATAGAGACGCTCTGGATGAGGCTATTTATAATGCTGAACCAAGAGCAGCGTGTCATTTAGAGACTATTAGAAAACTCAAAGCGCTCTGCTGCTGGAACAGCAACACAGACCGCTGACTGACCGATGTGTTTTATCAAAATAAAAGTGCCCCCTCCAATGTCGTCGCAGTGTGTAAACCACAGAACCAAAGTTCTAGGACTGGTTTATAAAATAAAGAGCGGGATAGGAATATAACAGCTTTTGTTCAGTTCAAACTTAAAATCTGTCTCAAAGGCCTCCTAGAGCACCACTGACTTTATGCAGCACCTGAAAGAATGTCCAGAGGTTTCTTATCATTTACAGGTTTCTTTCCACAGTTTGAGCAAGAAAACATTCCACTGAGTTTCTTCTAAAGTGCTAGACTACAACAAATAAATAAATTCATGGAAAACCCTGAGCGGCCTCGCTGATATTCGCCTGCGCTTCTTTGGATCCTTCATGTATGTACACGTGCTCACCATTGCCCCCCAGTGTCACAATGAAATCACTGCACCTCATTCATTTTAGAATAAATCATGCACCAGTACAAATCCTACAGGGAAACACAGCAATCACTATGAGCTTCAAGTTCAATCTTTAATTTCCATGCGAGATTTTTCATCAAAGTTTTAAAAAGTACTAATCTCACAATCATTCATCTGTACAGGAACTGTGTCCGCTATGAGAGAAACACGCTGTTATTCTTTGTGATTACATGCCGTAAATGCGATGATTGTATTTTATTTCTAATTCATAATCAGCTCAGAATAATAAATGACCCTTCACAGAAATGACACTGTGGACAAATAAGCTGTAAGAAAAGGGTTCAAATGCTGAGCAGATAGTTGACTAATTACATTGGCAGGTCTTTTTTTATCATCTCACCCTATCAATACACTGATGCCTGTAACGGAAAGAAAAAAAAACAAAAAAACAAAAGAAATGAAAGAAAATAAGAGTAAAAGAAGAAAAAAAACTGGAAAGCGTGTGCTTCAGTGTGAAAAAGCTTACAGCACCTGGTATTCCCAGGCGGTCTCCCATCCAAGTACTAACCAGGCCCGACCCTGCTTAGCTTCCGAGATCAGACGAGATCGGGCGTTCTCAGGGTGGTATGGCCGTAAGCGATAGAGACGCTCTGGATGAGGCTATTTATAATGCTGAACCAAGAGCAGCGTGTCATTTAGAGACTATTAGAAAACTCAAAGCGCTCTGCTGCTGGAACAGCAACACAGACCGCTGACTGACCGATGTGTTTTATCAAAATAAAAGTGCCCCCTCCAATGTCGTCGCAGTGTGTAAACCACAGAACCAAAGTTCTAGGACTGGTTTATAAAATAAAGAGCGGGATAGGAATATAACAGCTTTTGTTCAGTTCAAACTTAAAATCTGTCTCAAAGGCCTCCTAGAGCACCACTGACTTTATGCAGCACCTGAAAGAATGTCCAGAGGTTTCTTATCATTTACAGGTTTCTTTCCACAGTTTGAGCAAGAAAACATTCCACTGAGTTTCTTCTAAAGTGCTAGACTACAACAAATAAATAAATTCATGGAAAACCCTGAGCGGCCTCGCTGATATTCGCCTGCGCTTCTTTGGATCCTTCATGTATGTACACGTGCTCACCATTGCCCCCCAGTGTCACAATGAAATCACTGCACCTCATTCATTTTAGAATAAATCATGCACCAGTACAAATCCTACAGGGAAACACAGCAATCACTATGAGCTTCAAGTTCAATCTTTAATTTCCATGCGAGATTTTTCATCAAAGTTTTAAAAAGTACTAATCTCACAATCATTCATCTGTACAGGAACTGTGTCCGCTATGAGAGAAACACGCTGTTATTCTTTGTGATTACATGCCGTAAATGCGATGATTGTATTTTATTTCTAATTCATAATCAGCTCAGAATAATAAATGACCCTTCACAGAAATGACACTGTGGACAAATAAGCTGTAAGAAAAGGGTTCAAATGCTGAGCAGATAGTTGACTAATTACATTGGCAGGTCTTTTTTTATCATCTCACCCTATCAATACACTGATGCCTGTAACGGAAAGAAAAAAAAACAAAAAAACAAAAAAAACAAAAGAAATGAAAGAAAATAAGAGTAAAAGAAGAAAAAAACTGGAAAGTGTGTGCTTCAGTGTGAAAAAGCTTACAGCACCTGGTATTCCCAGGCGGTCTCCCATCCAAGTACTAACCAGGCCCGACCCTGCTTAGCTTCCGAGATCAGACGAGATCGGGCGTTCTCAGGGTGGTATGGCCGTAAGCGATAGAGACGCTCTGGATGAGGCTATTTATAATGCTGAACCAAGAGCAGCGTGTCATTTAGAGACTATTAGAAAACTCAAAGCGCTCTGCTGCTGGAACAGCAACACAGACCGCTGACTGACCGATGTGTTTTATCAAAATAAAAGTGCCCCCTCCAATGTCGTCGCAGTGTGTAAACCACAGAACCAAAGTTCTAGGACTGGTTTATAAAATAAAGAGCGGGATAGGAATATAACAGCTTTTGTTCAGTTCAAACTTAAAATCTGTCTCAAAGGCCTCCTAGAGCACCACTGACTTTATGCAGCACCTGAAAGAATGTCCAGAGGTTTCTTATCATTTACAGGTTTCTTTCCACAGTTTGAGCAAGAAAACATTCCACTGAGTTTCTTCTAAAGTGCTAGACTACAACAAATAAATAAATTCATGGAAAACCCTGAGCGGCCTCGCTGATATTCGCCTGCGCTTCTTTGGATCCTTCATGTATGTACACGTGCTCACCATTGCCCCCCAGTGTCACAATGAAATCACTGCACCTCATTCATTTTAGAATAAATCATGCACCAGTACAAATCCTACAGGGAAACACAGCAATCACTATGAGCTTCAAGTTCAATCTTTAATTTCCATGCGAGATTTTTCATCAAAGTTTTAAAAAGTACTAATCTCACAATCATTCATCTGTACAGGAACTGTGTCCGCTATGAGAGAAACACGCTGTTATTCTTTGTGATTACATGCCGTAAATGCGATGATTGTATTTTATTTCTAATTCATAATCAGCTCAGAATAATAAATGACCCTTCACAGAAATGACACTGTGGACAAATAAGCTGTAAGAAAAGGGTTCAAATGCTGAGCAGATAGTTGACTAATTACATTGGCAGGTCTTTTTTTATCATCTCACCCTATCAATACACTGATGCCTGTAACGGAAAGAAAAAAAAACAAAAAAACAAAAAAAACAAAAGAAATGAAAGAAAATAAGAGTAAAAGAAGAAAAAAAACTGGAAAGCGTGTGCTTCAGTGTGAAAAAGCTTACAGCACCTGGTATTCCCAGGCGGTCTCCCATCCAAGTACTAACCAGGCCCGACCCTGCTTAGCTTCCGAGATCAGACGAGATCGGGCGTTCTCAGGGTGGTATGGCCGTAAGCGATAGAGACGCTCTGGATGAGGCTATTTATAATGCTGAACCAAGAGCAGCGTGTCATTTAGAGACTATTAGAAAACTCAAAGCGCTCTGCTGCTGGAACAGCAACACAGACCGCTGACTGACCGATGTGTTTTATCAAAATAAAAGTGCCCCCTCCAATGTCGTCGCAGTGTGTAAACCACAGAACCAAAGTTCTAGGACTGGTTTATAAAATAAAGAGCGGGATAGGAATATAACAGCTTTTGTTCAGTTCAAACTTAAAATCTGTCTCAAAGGCCTCCTAGAGCACCACTGACTTTATGCAGCACCTGAAAGAATGTCCAGAGGTTTCTTATCATTTACAGGTTTCTTTCCACAGTTTGAGCAAGAAAACATTCCACTGAGTTTCTTCTAAAGTGCTAGACTACAACAAATAAATAAATTCATGGAAAACCCTGAGCGGCCTCGCTGATATTCGCCTGCGCTTCTTTGGATCCTTCATGTATGTACACGTGCTCACCATTGCCCCCCAGTGTCACAATGAAATCACTGCACCTCATTCATTTTAGAATAAATCATGCACCAGTACAAATCCTACAGGGAAACACAGCAATCACTATGAGCTTCAAGTTCAATCTTTAATTTCCATGCGAGATTTTTCATCAAAGTTTTAAAAAGTACTAATCTCACAATCATTCATCTGTACAGGAACTGTGTCCGCTATGAGAGAAACACGCTGTTATTCTTTGTGATTACATGCCGTAAATGCGATGATTGTATTTTATTTCTAATTCATAATCAGCTCAGAATAATAAATGACCCTTCACAGAAATGACACTGTGGACAAATAAGCTGTAAGAAAAGGGTTCAAATGCTGAGCAGATAGTTGACTAATTACATTGGCAGGTCTTTTTTTATCATCTCACCCTATCAATACACTGATGCCTGTAACGGAAAGAAAAAAAAACAAAAAAACAAAAAAAACAAAAGAAATGAAAGAAAATAAGAGTAAAAGAAGAAAAAAAACTGGAAAGCGTGTGCTTCAGTGTGAAAAAGCTTACAGCACCTGGTATTCCCAGGCGGTCTCCCATCCAAGTACTAACCAGGCCCGACCCTGCTTAGCTTCCGAGATCAGACGAGATCGGGCGTTCTCAGGGTGGTATGGCCGTAAGCGATAGAGACGCTCTGGATGAGGCTATTTATAATGCTGAACCAAGAGCAGCGTGTCATTTAGAGACTATTAGAAAACTCAAAGCGCTCTGCTGCTGGAACAGCA